AACTTATGCCTCAGGAAAGAGGAAGTTGCTTTATATTTAGTCTTTACAATCTTAAATTATGCAGAATTCTGTTAATGAGGTCAGATGACCCACCTACAGAGTATTAGTGTTAAAAACATCTTAGCCTAAAAAGTCCTTTGATATGTTAGTTTATGAAGGAAAGAGGTCACCTGGGAACATCTGAAGTATTAGGATGAAGGTCGAGGGAGCAAAGGAATTTATTCTAGACCTTGCTGTGATCCCCTAGGAAAGTGGCTTCATGGTTACAGGAGAGGGGAATGTCATACTCAAGACTTTCAGAGGCTTCCTTTAAAAAGGCAGCAGAGTTGGGCGTTGCTTGGCACTACCAAGGACACACACTCGAGGGGGTCTGGGAATGCCAGCTGTCCTGGTGTTAGGCCTGCAGCTCAGAATGAAGTTTACCATGACACTGTCATTCCTGGTTTCATAAAGTGCTTCGTTGCAGATGACTGGAAGACAGTGTTTTCTGGAAGACTTAGATGGTTCTGGCACTTCATGGGGTGCCGTATTCTCCTGATACCTCACCTGTGAGGTGGCCCCCCTGACAGTGGTGCTGAGGTTGGCAGTGGGCTCTGTGTACCCGCCTCATCCCCAGGAGAAGCTCCCAGGATCCACTTTTCTGAAGGTTTCAGTCTCCACTGGTGATCTCTCCCAGGATTATTTTATTAAAGGTTCCCAAGTGGTAATTTTCTACTTCACTGATGTTCCTTGAAGCCGAGTTTTTCTATAAAGAATTTTCTTTTCTCAGCTATTTGGTTACTTTGAAAAATAGTTCAATAAGAAAAGGCAGAATAAATGCTTGATTCTGTCTATTAATTTTATTCTTACCGATGCTCACATTGGTACACTAGTGTGATAAAGAAGAGCCTCATCGGTTGGCTATTATTTCCTTTCTGTAAGTCCAGGATCTTTGATCACTTCCTTGGCTGGCCCATCTTGCATGTTTCCTTTCCCAGATCAGGAATCGGTCACTTTCAGGTGCCTGCTCCTCTCAAAGGCATGTGATGGCTAAGAACATGATCTGGCACTTGAGATGCTGGTTGCTGTTATGTCTCTGCTTCTAGGACTTGGAGCAAGGAAGAGGGTGTTTTTCAGAGAAAGAAACTGCACAAGTGTGTATTGGTATTTCCAGTTCAGATGTGATTAGAGGGTTTTCATTTAATTTTTTTATACTTCTTTCTTTTCCTCTTACACTGAAAGTCTTAGTTTGTAATAGCATGATTGATCCTCATATATTTTTTGTTGTATAGTGTAAAATGGTTTCTAGAATGATTTCAAAATATTAATATCACTACTAACAATAAGACTTCCAAATGCAGTTTGAACTTTCTTTGTGCTTACTTCCCCATAGAATAAATCATGATGTGTATATATAGTCAAAGTATGGTTTCTGAAAGTCACCTGAGTGGTTCTTTATCCTTTGTGACCGTGGTGCCAACTTGATATGAAACTAGGTCCGTTTGTTTTGGCTTATATTCAGTTTTTAGAATTTTCTTTTTTTTACATAGAGCCTAGCATTTCAAAATCAGAACTTTTATAAAAGAAGGTATGGTCACCAACATCTCACTTTTATCCCTGACTCTTTACCCTGGTTCCTTCCCTCCCCTATGGGTGACCACCACTAGTATTTTTTTTTTTTTAAAGAGAGAGAGAGAGAGAATTTTTTTAATATTTATTTTTTAGTTATCGGCGGACACAACATCTTTGTATGTGGTGCTGAGGATCGAACCCGGGCCGCACAGCATGCCAGGCGAGCGCACTACCGCTTGAGCCACATCCCCAGCCCCCACCACTAGTATTTTTTTAAAAATATTTTTTAGTTGTTGATAGACCTTTATTTTATTATATGTGGTGCTGAGAATTGAACCCAGTGCCTCACACATGCCAGGCAAGTGCGCTACCTCTGAGCCAAAGCTCCAGCCCCCACCACAGTTTTTAGTTTCTCATTCTAGCTTTTAAAAATTTAAGCAAGTACGTGTATAGAGCATTCCCCTCTCCAGTATTACATTTGCGTAGTGTAAAAACAGTATTTTGTATCTTGTTTCCTCTGTAAACTCGCAGTCACTAATGAGGCACATCAGTCTTCATGGTGGCTCCTGCCATGAGACATTGATGTCATTGAAGCACTCTGTCCACCAGCAATCTGTCATGGGTCTTCAGAGCAGCAGTATTCTCATTGCCCCCAGACTGCAGGTCACCCAGGTATGCTTCAGCTGGTGTGAAAGGACACTCGCAAAGTCCAAGAACTACACCACACACCAGAATCCCACTCGAGATTTATTGTCAGAGCATGGAGCAAACTGACAAGGCTGTCCCTCTGAGGGGAGCAGAAGTGAGTGTCACTTACAGAGCATCTTTATAGCCTGCAAGAGCAATTTCACAAGCTTGCTTTAGGGGTTATGTCATGGGTTGGGGTGGGGTGGACCCTTTAGTAGGCACATGTTCTGTGGGAGGCCAAGCAGCAGTTCCTCAGGATCTCTAGATAAAATGTCTCCTAAATCAAAACCCAGGATTCCTTAGATAAAAGTGGCTCCCGACCTGAAATGGCAGATCTAATGCCAGTGTTGACCTGATGCCAATAAGGTGACTTCATGATGATACATCCATATGTAGGATACTAAACAACCAACAGAATCAAACTGTTGATCCACAGCTTGGATCTTAGGGAACTGTTCTGAATGAGGAAGCTAGTCTCAGAGGTTACATACTGTGATTCCATTTACATAGTCCTCTTAAGGAGGAGACAGAACTGTGAGGTGGAGAGCAGGCCCTGGGGGCCCAGGTCAGGGAGGCGGCCAGCCGCAGTGGTTATTAAAGGGCCAGAGGGGATCCTTGCCATGCATCTCTTCTGTGTCCTTCCTGCGGGGCATAGCCAGTCAGGCATGAGTGGAGGTGTCTCTTGTTGCCAAAAGCAAGGTTGAATGTCACTTTGCTCTGTGCTTTGCCTGCCTTTCCCTTCAGCCCCTCTGGGCTCCAAGGAAGTAAAGCGCGTCTTTCCTGTTCAATGATGTCCTAGGACTCGTCACAACGTCCACAGCACAACAGAAGCTCAATAAATAGTTGGCAAGCTCATCAATAGCGTACCTTTCCAAACACTATATTTATTCATAGATAGGAAGAAGAAAACCTGCAGTACTGGTAGTACATGAAAAATCAAACACTAAGACAAATATTACTTAGGTAATGAGAAATGATAACTGAAATCAGAAAAGGAAAAATATTCTTAGGCTATTGAAAGGAAAGCGAGGAACTGGGAGACAGGCAGCAAGAAATGAAAGATGGAGACTTGGCAGAGATACGCACAAGAGTTTGTCAGAGCTGACAAATAAAGGCCATCTCTCCATAGACAGAGGCAGCACAAACTTGAGGTTTGGGACTTATATGGGAGGGCTCAGGGATTAGAGCTGGTATGTCCTAATGTGGGCAGTTAAGAATGGGGCTGGTATGAGGGAGTGGTGAGCCTTTCTCAGAAAGGTCCTTGGGTGGGAAAGCCTTAAATGGTGGCTGTCATTTAAGATGGACAGCCACATGCTAATCAAGGACCTTACAGATATCAAATATTTTTGTGGCTTTAATATTTGAGGAAAGGGTAGGTATGCAGCTCAGTTGTAGAGCGCCTGCCCAGCATGCACAAGGCCCTGGTTGAAACCCGAGTCCTGCCAGAAACAGAAACAAAATGAAGTTTGGTAAGAGGAGACTCTGGGGAGGAGGGCTCTACACAGGCCAAGGTCCCCATTTCTGTCTTTTCTCTGGGATTGGCCAACACTCCACACAGAGAGTGCACTGGGCACTGGCAAAGCCCAGGGGAACTAGCACTCTGTGAATTGCCACAGCTCTCAATATTTTGTAGGTGTTTATTAATATAAAAGGAACTTTTAGGGATCTGTTCTACAGGAATGAAATGCACTAACATGCAGGTATAAGCGTAAGTATTGCAGCATTGTGTGGACAACAACCAGGAAACAACCTGAATGTCTGCTTGTGAGCAGGGAAGAGCTGAATAAACCATGAGACACTGTTAAACTAAATGACTTCAGTAGATGTTTATTACTTGGTAAGATACTCATGATGTATTAAGTGAAAAATGTTAGTGTCATGGTATGATCCTTTTTATAAAACTGACGCAAGGGATGGTATGGGAGTCAGCTTTACATTACTGTAACAAATACCAGAGAGACAATCAGCTTACAAAGAGAACAAGTTACTTTTGGCTCACAGTATCAGAAGTTTCAGTCCATGGCAGCTTGGCCCTGTTGCTTTGGGCTTTTGGCAAAGTAGAACATCATGGTGGAAAGTGTACAAAGGAGCAAAATTATTGACCAATGGCAGCCAGAAAGCAGAGTGAGGTAGAGGAGGGGCCAGTGTCCCAATAGTCCCTTCAGGGCACACCCCCAATAACCTGATTCCTTCCACCAGGCACCTCCTAAAGGCCCCACTACCTTCCATGGTGCCATGGACTGGGACCCAAGTCTTCAACACGTGGCCTTTGGGAAGTTAGTAGATCCAAACTTTAGCAGGTGGGAACCTCATATATTGGTTTGTATGTGCATTCAGAAGGTGTCAAATGCATGTCCACTCAACTTTTCACACAGGTTAACTAGCAGGGTAAGGGTAGAGAAGGAAAGCTGCTGGCTTTTCTTTAGCTTCATGACTAAAAGTACTGCAAAACTTATTTTCCTTTGAAAGGGGGAAAAATAGTGTTAAATCTTCAGCATCATAAAAGAACCAAAAGGGACCTGTTGACAGAAAGGGATGGTGATTCCCGTAGAATAGGCGTGATTTAGTTGAACCGCAGTGTGTGTGTCTTCCATTTTATTTTCTGAATATGTTTAGTGAAGTCTATTTTTTGTATTTTCATTGTTTTTGACCATTGTTTTCTTGACTTTTCTGATGAAAGTATGCTTGAGTTTTTCCATAATAATGTCCTATCTGAATCTTAATTTTTTGAGTTATTAATATGATTGTTCAATTTTCTCTAGCTTGAAGATGACATTATTGTCAAACAGAATTATTTTAATACTATAAAAAATTTTGCACTCCAACTTTCTTCTGAGGAATGGATGATTCTAGAATTTTCCCAGCTGGGCTTCATTGGTAAGAAAAGTATAAGATTTATCTACTTTTCAGAAAAATAATTGATTCTCAGAATCTTAAACCAATTGCTTTTTTTGATCCTAAAGTTGCTTTTTTCCCCCCTATGGAAATGGATTGTTTTTGAGCATATGTTAGCTTCTTAGTATGAAAAGATGAAAGTCAGCCCCAGACAGAGTTTGGAGTATCCAGAGACCAACACCGTGCCAGCCTCCATCCTAGGAGCATGTCTGATTTCTTCTCCAGACACCCAGCAGTTCCGTTGTCACCCCAGGATTGGCATTCAGAGAGGGTTCCTTTTTAATCACTTTGTTTCTTTCATTAACTGCTTTTAGGTTTAATATTCCTAAATTATCCAACGAAGAGAATATGCTTCAAGTTTCAGACTTGAAGGAAATTTACATGTTTTTAAAAAGTACTCAGAAGAAGACATTTCACTTCCTATGTTATTTTAAAAAGTTAGGTCTTAGAGCCTGGGCCTCTGACCTTGTTGGTCACTCAACTCAGAACTTATTTAAATTCAGAAACATCTTGTGAAGGTTTTATTAAAAGCACAATTGGGATTCCTTTTCATTGTTCTTTTTTTATTTATTGATTTAGATAATTTTCTTTTTACCTAAACCTCTCTTGTTCCTTTCTTTATAGGAAGAATCTTAGTAAGACATGAAAGAAGACTCTGACTTGCTCTTTGACTCCTTTGAGCCAGTAGTGATAGATTTTGTAATAATGTCAGGAGGTCACTACTTCTGTTTATACCCAGGTGACAGCTTGAGCGAGTAGATGCCTAGCTAGAGCGAGTTTGTCTGTTCTTGATGGTGCAAGTGGGAGATAGGGGGATTTGTAGCTGAGAGCACTAGTTTTGATCAATGTACTTAGTGTTCAGATTTCACTTATGATTTTGATAACCTGTTTTTTTATTGCAGCTATTGACTGTAAGTGTCTTTTCAGGTAAAATGTTCCAAGCGCCAGACCTCACTCTGATCGTAGAATTCATATTTATGTTCTATAAGGAGAAACCCATTGATTGGCTCCTGGACCACATTCTCTGGGTCAAAGTCTGTAACCCTGAAAAAGATGCAGTAAGTTAATTCTGCGGGAGGCGGGTGGGAGTTGTGACTCTATTTTGTTCTGAATGAATGTGGCTTTTGTGGGTTTTGGGGAGCCAGATTTGGCCAGTGAGCGGTTGAATGAGGCAGCTGGGAGAAGACAGTGTTTCCACTGCTTGTGGTCTTTCTCAAATTGGTGAAAATTTCCAATGTTGCGAAGACTTTTAAAATATTGGGAAACCCCATGAAGCAGGGAAGCCTGTCGCAGGACAGTGGCCTTTCTCTGTTCTGTTATTATTGGCTGTTGATACTGATCCCACCTGTCCTGTGGGTGTTTCAGTTTGTCTTCTTATTCTCTGCCAATCCATATTTTCCAAATACTTTGGGGACAAATCAGACTCTATCTGGAATAATGAATAAGATAGAAGTAATACCTATGCCAAAATAATAAGTCAAGGCACTTCTGGTGTCTGACTGCAAGCAACATAGCAGTGTGCTCACCTTTGGGATGGGGGTGGCAGATAAGTAAGTGAATGATAGCTTTTGCTTTAGTCACTCAGACAGCAAATTCTTTCCAAAATTCTTAGTATAAAAAGTAAATAGAGGGCTGGGATTGTAGCTCAGTGGTAGAATGCTTGCCTTGCACTCGTGAGGCCCTGGGTTTGATCCTCAGCACCGCATAAAAATAAATAAAAATAAAGAGATTGTTTCCATCTACAACTAAAAAGGAAAAAAATACATCTATTTCCTTGTCCAATTTGAATCATGCCTCTGGGGGAATAATTCTTCAACTTTTTATGTATTTGGTGTAAGCATAATCAAAATATAAAAATGACAGAATTCTTACCAATTGTAATACATAATGTTGAGTGAATATTCTAAGCCCTGTTGTTAGAGGGTTGCCTTATCATTCATTGTAACAAATTGGCGTTTGTGAAATCTGGCTTCAGGCCGGTGTCCTGGGAGGTTTGATCATCCTGCCTGCAGGTTTTTAGGACTCTGCCTTCTGGGGTCCTTGAGGTATTGTTATGTTCTCTTTGTTTAAAAAACCAAAAGTAAAACCCACAAACAATAAATTCTTAGAGCAAATCATGGACCACAGAGAAGTAGTGGAGTATCTGTGAACTTTCTAACAGTAGTTCAGCATATAAATTGATTTGAACAAACCACTTTTAAGATATAGGCCTTAACTTATATTTTCTGTGTGACTTGCAGGATTTTTTATTATAGGACACAAAGCTGTTCACCATCTTCATCCTCCCAACAGTGTGCCTCTTAGTACTTGCAGATTTTTTATTATATTATCTGAGATTGTGAGGGGAATGGGAATAAAAAACAAGGAGAGAAATGAATAACAGTATATAGGGTAGAGAGAGAAGATGGGAGGGGAGGGGAGGGGGGATAGTAGAGGATAGGAAAGGTAGCAGAATACAACAGTTACTAATATGGCATTATGTAAAAATGTGGATGTGTAACTGATGTGATTCTGCAATCTGTATTTGGGGTAAAAATGGGAGTTCATAACCCACTTGAATCTAATGTATGAAATATGTATGTCAAGAGCTTTGTAATGTTTTGAACAACCAATTAAAAAAAAAGAAAAAATAAAGAACACAAATAAAAAATATATATTTGGCAAATTCTTTATTATATTACCTGACTTGAAGATATTTTGGAACCTCCAAAGTTGGTGCATTTTAACCTTCAAAATTAAATCTTTATTGACCTGCCTTGAAGGATGGGTGAAACCAGCCCTCTGCTCTTCCCTTAGCTGTGCTTATTGTTACCATTTTTTTATATTTATTTTTCAATTTTCGGTGGACATAACATCTTTATTTTATTTTTATATGGTGCTGAGGATCAAACCCAGTGCCCCGCGCATACCAGGCCAGCATGCTACCGATTGAGCCACATCCTCAGCCCCTATTGTTGCCATTTTTAAAACCTGGATCGTGGCCTTTTGTCAGGTGTGCAGCAATCTCTTCACACCTCAAAGAGGACCATAAAAATCACATGCCCTGGAATTGTGATTTTAATGTTCTTCTAAAGGACTTCTCATTTTTCCAGATAAAGACAAGGTCTCACTTTATCATGTAACAATAGTACTTTTTTTTTTTTTTAATATTTAGAAACATTGTGATAGACAGAAAGCAAACCTACGCATTCGCTTCAGACCATCCCTTTTCCAACACGTTGGTCTGCACTCATCACTGTCGGGAAAAATCCAGAAACTCACGGTTAGTGATTTGATTTGATTTTCTCATGATGTATCATTTGTTGTTCAGTGTATAGCTGGTAATTTTCTGCATGTGTTGTTTAATGGCGTATCTCTTTCCTGCTAGGATAAAGATTACATGAAACCATTACTTCTCAAGATCCATGTCAACCCTCCTGCTGAGGTGTCTACTTCCTTGAAGGTTTACCAAGGACACACACTGGAGAAAACGTACATGGGGGAGGATTTCTTCTGGGCCATCACCCCAATAGCTGGAGACTACATCTTGTTCAAATTTGATAAGCCAGTCAATGTAGAAAGGTCAGCGACTGTTTCTTGTTTTTGATGCAATGAGTGCTTTTTTAAAATAGGAAACTGGACGTGTTGGGCATAATGTTATGAGACTGAGTCTTCTTTAAACATTTCGCTTGGGCGGCTTCCTCCAGCGTGGCTCCTGCAGGGAGGGGAGCTGCTCCCCATCAGGTGGCAGTCTGGTTCTCTGGTTTGTTTTATTGACACCTGCAGAGGGAAGGCACTCCCTGATAGGGTGGCCCCACTAGACCTGTGCTGATGCCGACTGGCTGGCTGGGGCAGGTGAGCCTTGTCCCTGTTCTTCTGTGCCGTTGCCTGGCGTGCCACCCCTAGGTGGCCATGGAGCCCTGTGGCATGGCCTGGTGAGTGTGGAAGGCCAGCTCCTGCTCAGCCTTTGCAGCGCTCTTCCGTGTTTGGGTCTGAAGGTTATCTTGCTGGGCTGTGCTCCTCCTCATCCTTAGGCCGACAGCAGCCTTTGGGGGACTTTTGCTTCTGATCCTGGTGGCATTTCCAGGTTGCTGGCTTCTCTGGCTCTGAGTCTAGAGCGTATTAGTTGAAAGAAAACCTACCGTTCAGCCTGTTGTTCCCTGGCCCCCTGATCCCTCACAGGCTGTCATTCTCTCGCTGCCCTGGTCTTCTCAAGTCTGACAGAGTCCAGGGCTTCAGTTGGGTTTAGAGGGAGGAAGAGGGAAGCTACCTGCATCTCGCCTTCCCAAGTGGAAGTCTCAGCGAGCAATTTGCTTTTGAAATCAGGAAAAGAAAACGTTATTCTATGTATTGTGTTTTTATATATACATCTATATGTTTTCTATATATAATATAATATTTAGCAAATGAAAAAGTGTCCATCAAAAATCTGATAAAGAAATTACATATTGGAGGTTAAATTTCTTTACAGCCAGTATTTTTGCAATAACCCTCTGTCAGGTAATTTTGACCTTACAGTTATGTGGTTGAGAGGACAATATAACGTAGTGACACAGTTCTTCTGGAATTGTGGTGATATGAATTTCCTACTGTGTATGGAGCCCACCGATCCTAGGACAGAGAAAAGGAACCACTCCCTGATCCCTGCAGTGCATTATTTGCTAAGGGGAGGGTTGTAGTCGTCATTATAGAAATGATACATTATAAAAATATTTCCAGATTGCATATGTGTTCCTTATTAAAAAATTTAAAAGTGTGAAGAGTCAGAAAAAAAAAATCCCTACCCCAAAGCCACCATCATGGCTGGGTTGGCACATTGTTTTTATTGGTACTCCTGTATGCTTCTGCTTTGGGTCAGAGTCCATGGGTAATTTTTGTATTGTATATTTTTCTGTTCCAGTCTGTCCTGAGCATTTCAGTGACCACTTAACACCCCATCAATTCCTTCATCCATTGCTAAACTTCTGGTTGGTTTGGAGTTGTTCCACAGTGAATTGTCACCTGGTGAACATCTCTGACTCAGTCTAAGTCCAGATTACATTCATGTGCTCTTAATGTGGCTGCCCTCGCCCCAGCTTGGGCCTGTTTAGCAGATAGTGAAGGGTCTGTAGTTGTGTGATCAGTGTTCCAAGCCAAGGTGCCTTCTGGAAAAGCATCCCCACCTGCAGCCCCAGCAATGTGGGGTGCCGAGGTGGAAGGATCACTTAAACCCAGGAGTTCATTCTGGACAACAGAGACCCTCTCTCTCTCTCTCTCTCTCTCTCCAACAGAGACCCTGTCTCTCTCTCTCTCTCTCTCTCTCTCTCTCTCTCTCTCTCTGTCTCTCACACACACACACACACAGGTCTTTCTCATGGGAAAATGATAGGTATAATTTTAAATATCAGTTGTTATCACAGGTGATTTTTATTTACAAATATCCTTTTGTCAATCCTGTCATCACCTGTAACTTACACCTGGCTGATTATTTTCAACACGCAGGTGCTTTCTTGATGGTTCTCATAAACTCCTTGAAATAGTGGAAGGTGGGGATATCTGTAGGAGGTGGAAGAAACTAAGAAAACTAGTGAAAGTCACTCAAGGGATCAGGTCTCTGTGACTGCTAAGCCTAAACTTTTAATCAGTCACTGCAACTCACCCTAAGTTAGGTTTGTATTGAGATATACTTCTTGCTTCCTGTCTGGTCCCATTCCTCCCACACTTACAAATACCCACTATTTAGTTCTGAGAATGTCAGAGCATAAGGATGTCATGCTCACACCAAGTGTGTGTTAGGTTTATCTCAGTATGTCGCGTAATTCATGATTTTTCAAATGTTTGAAATAGTGACACATGATGTTCAGGTGTTTGGAAGAGGCTCTCTTTAGTTTCATTCTCCTAATACTGAAATTATTTGTATTGGCTGTAATTAGTCTTTGAACTTGCCGTGACTAGCACTTTTCCTATGAAAACTTTCTCTAATAACCGACACACATTCTTCTGTCTGCATTTCAGTTATCTTTTCCACAGTGGCAACCAGGAGCATCCAGGAGATATTCTGCTCAACACAACTGTTGAAGTTTTGCCACTTAAGGTACAACAATTCCTTCCTCTCTCCCTTTCCGAAGAGTTGATCCTTTAGCCCTGGTGTGAGGCTGTTCTTGTTAATGAGATGAAAGACACTCCCTGTCTGTAGGACTCCAGTGGGTGGGGATCTAAAATTGTCTTGAAATATGGAGCCCCAGCATATTGGCCCATGTCCTCATTCACAGAGCCTTCGTTTTGTTTTCTGTTGGAAAATAATGTGGACATTTGTTCTAGGGAAAAAAAAGACTGTTTACTTCAGTGTTTACTTGGTGTTTCTATTTTGAGTCTCCAGATACCACTGGGCATTTAAGTACCTGTTGGTGAATATACAAAATTAATTTATTTTTCTGTTAGAAATACCTGGTTTCTTTCAAGTCAACACACGTTCTTGACTGCTGTACAAGATTTAGTGTCTAATTTTCCAGCCATCAATATTTTATATCCAGATTCAGATGATGGGTAAACAAAGCACCTTTACTGATCAGTTTTTTGGTGACTGACACTGCTCTCTGGAGAGAGCTGCGCCCCAAGTGCCACTTGAGTTTGTGAAGACATTTTCATGACTCACGTCTATTTTCAATAGAAGCAATTACTTGTAAATTAATACTTTGGTTTTATTTCAGAGAGAAGGTTTGGAAATAAGCAAAGAAACCAAAGACAAACGATTAGAAGATGGCTATTTCAGAATAGGTAATACCTACTTTAGTACAATGTCTTTTATTTTTCTGAACCTATTCCTAAAGTAATTTCAAACTCTTATTAGCTGTTAAACAACTTAAGATGGCGATTAGCAGTGTGGGTTTGGCATCAAAGGCACCTTCACTGCCCCCCACGGGCCATGTCATTGCTGGTCCTCACTGACAGCGAGTCTGCGGCCACTGCCTCTTGCCCTTTGTCTCTTATTGGTCGAACTCTGCTACTGAGCCTCAGGTCTGTGTGGAGATGGCCAGAGACATTGGGCGGCCATCGCCACCTGTTCTGAGCACCTGTAACACCGGCATTTCTTCACTGGCCATTGCTGTCCTTGTTCATCTGGTTGCTGAACTTCTCCTTTGGAGTCATGCTCTACACCCCCTCTCCCTACCTGAGAGCCCCAAATTGCCCCATCTATGAGGATGCCCTGTGCCCTCTGTGTCTATCTCAGAGCTGGGGCTGTGTTGGTCACCTCAGTGATGGTCCTGACAACAGTGTGGACCTTGGCAGAATCTTCAGTGACTTTCCCCTGTCAGAGTCCTTATCCCCTATCCCCCTTCACTTCCTGTTTCCTTCCTCTTAGTCTTTGTATCTCCAGACCCGAGGCTGCTGTTCCTCCAGTCAGTACCTCCTGCCCTATGTGCAGCCGTGTAGCTGTTTCCTGCAGACCGAGGACACTGCCTCAACTGATCCTTTGTGGTTTCTCCTCCTGATGAATGCCCCCTCACTTCTGTTAGTTTTCTGTAGCTATGACAAAACACCTGTGGAAATCACCTTAGAAAGAGAACATTTTTGTTTGACTCAGTTTTGTAGGTTTCTCTCCATGGTTGGTTGGCCTGTTGCTTTAGGGCCTATGGCGGAGACATTAGTCATGGTGGGAGTGTGTGATAAGAGAAGCAGGGAGAGAGACTGGGAAATGATGGCTGTCCCAGTGTCCCCTTCAGGGGCACACTCCCTGTGACCTAACTTCCTTCCACTAAGCCCCACCAACTAACTGTCCCATTACCTCCCAGGAATGACAGAGCTGGAGACCAAACCTGGAGCATGTGGGCCTTGGGGGGACACGCAAGGCCCACCTTGCAGCACCCTCCCTCACCAGCTCAGCACTCCTCCTCTGTGTCATACAGCGCCCCGCGCCTCTGCTGTGTGACCCTCTCATAGCTCCTCTCTGTCACCCTGGGGAGAGGGGCAAATTCAGTGGGATCAGTCTGGGTAGCTGCCTATGCTCAGAGGTGTTGTTAAAAACAGTAGATGGTCCACCACATTGTCCCTGTGTCTCCTGTCACTTGGTAGATGCTGATTCAGTGAATGAGGAGACATTTCATTTTAAAACAGTTCCATGCTTCATTAGGCCCCACCAGCTGGTGGCTGCACCACCTCCCAGTGCCACACCACACAGGAAGGGAGAAGGTTGGCCAGTTGGCCTGTAGGTCTGGAGGGCGAGGCCTTCCTCGGGCGCCCCCTAGAGCAGTTACCTGTGGTATACGTCACCCAGCTGAGGAAGGGCTCCCCCTGAAGTGGTATCCCTGTGGTTTTGGCAGGCAGGATGACACTAGTTATCTTCATGCGCGGGCCATCTCTAGACATGTATGCAAAACTAGTTGAGTATCCAAGACATTTTTGACCCCTGTTACCTACCAGTTATTTAATTTTTGAGAGTTGTTCTAGATTATGAAAGCAGCATAGGAAACAGAGACGTGTATTTAATAGCGCTGCAGAAATTTGAAGACAGTGACCGCCTATACCATGAACTCACGTGTACTTAGACTCTGAAGAGAGCTTACGAGTTGTCAAACTGAGGACCTCGTGTAACTGAAAAGCCCCTCAGAAATAAAGAGCGTTTGATATTTGTCATCTGAGTATAAAAAACTCTCCTGTAAGGCGTGCGCTGCAGTGAGTAGTGGTGTGAGGGCCTAACAGACCTTCCCCAAACAGCTGTAGCTGGTGAAATCATTAAAAAAAAGTGTTTAAAACTCAAGATTGTCCTGGGGCGGGGGCGGGGGTGTACGTGAGAAGCTCTTATTCATGGGAATCTACTAAACCTCCAGTGTCCTCGGTCTGCAGTACTGAACCAGGCCCTCTGTCACTTCCCTGCCTGTGCTCATTGGTAGGAGGTCTGCTCTGCCAGGTGCAGCCCAGAGCGCAGGGCTCTCCTGCCAGCTGCTAGGTCAGGGCCGTGGTCTGTTCTCGGATGCCACTGTCATTGTCGCCAACTCTGTTCTAGACGAGAGCAGCTCCAGTCTCTACCCAACCTCCACTCATGGGATAGAGATGGAAGCTCAGACCCAGGCATTTTGGGTAACAAGGTTGGGCCTGGCTGTCACCCTTGTTCGGCCTCCTTGTTCCCGTGAAACCAGGGTTTTGAGAGGAAACGGGATTCCCTCCCTGCTGCTGCCCACAGGAGGGGTCTGCACAAGTGCAGGCAGCGGAAGTGCTGCGCTCTTACTGGCAGGCCACGCCCTCCAGTGTGGCAGAGACCCCGGCAGCTCATCTTCAGTTTCCTCCTCTTTCTGGGTTCCCGTGAATTTGAAGATTGAGTCCACAGAGCAGGAGGACGAGTGTAAGGGCAGGATGCATTGAAGAACAGGAGCAGGACTCCTGCGGTGCCGAGAGGACCCGCCCAGTGTGCCCTCGGTTCACTGCTGCTGGTCCACCTTAATTAGGGGTTGAAAAATGTATCAATGCTGTTGGTCCAAGTTTATGCTAAGTAGGGTTTGGAAAGATAGTAATGCTATTAGCCTTGTGTGCAGCGGCTCCTGCAGCAGATGTCCATACCTTGCCCAGGCCTGGCCACTGAAGGACAACAGTGGGAATGCCTCAGGCCCTGTGCTTTGCGTGATAGTAGGCCATGCTGGCTGTGTGCATCCGGCTGACCCACCCTGGCCCCCACTCTGCTGCTCAGCAGGGACCAGTAGGCCACCCGCATGGCTTGGCAGCCAGAAAGCCACGTCACTAGCACACTGGGAAGTGATCCCAGAATACCAAAGGCTGTCACAGTCAGCACTCTGCTCACAAAGCAGGTATCACTCTAACTAGAGGGGTGTTCTCCCTGCCGGAGATGGTGGGGGCAGGGTGGGGTGCAGATTTTGCCCTGGTAGAGGCAGACCAGAAGGACAGGGCACTCCTCAGCCTTCCCTCAGGGGCCCAATTTGGAACAGAACTTGGGAAAGTTCAAGGCTAAGGGCGCCATGGACTGTGGTAGAGAAGTGGGTTGTAAAAAAGTGGAGGACGATGGCTATGTGCAGGCCACCCTGGAGCCCAGCTGGACACTCACCAAGGAGAGCCAGGAAAGAGTACAGAGGAGCCCCCTCAGGCGGGAGCCAGTGCCCAGGGTGGCCTGCAGAGGGGCCTGAATCCAGAGGGATCAGACTGCCCGAAGGCATTGTGGGAAATCACAGGGTGTCCACTGGCAGTTGGTGAGCCCCTGCTGGCTACCTGAAGAGGACAGTGGTCTGATGGAAGAAATACTATTTATTTCAGTGGTTCAAGTTCTGAGAAGGCAGAGGAGCCTTCTGCAGAGAAACGGTGGAAGAGGGCAAGGGCCCTGCCAGGGCGGGGCAGGAGGAGCCTACAGACTGCAGGACCTAGCAGTCCTGTGTCCCTTCTAGTGCCAGGAGCCCGGACTCCAGTGCCAGATTCTAGTCACTCTGGTGATCTCCTCCTTCACTTTTTCCTTCTTTCCATCTTTCAGTCTTGTGGATAGTTGGGTTTCAGACAGAGGCTAATTTTGCTGTTTGAAAAGAAGGCTGGCCCATGGTTCCAAAGGCCAGTTTAAAAACCGACTGTGCCTCCTCCTCTCCTGCCTGTTGTACCCAGGGCTTCAGCAGCAGGTCTTGCGGTGCTTGTTCCTTACAGAAGTATTCCACGCACAGATCTGCAAATGCACAGTACATCCTTTAAAATTATGATACGAACATCCCTCTCTAGTGGCCCATGAACTAGAGAGGGATGAATGTCCCCTTGCGTGACATTCATCTGTGTGGTTGCGTTCCTGTGTGGGTTTCCATGGGTGAGCGTGTGGCTCTGTTCTTTCTTTCCATCTTCCTGCTGCTTTGGTCATTAATTTTCTAAAGAAATGAGCTCATCAGGAAATGGTGTTAGATATTGCTTTAGTTAAAATGCTCCAAGTTGCACTGTAGTTTTCAACTCTGAATCCCCTGCCCCGTTCAGTACTCAGTAATCCTTGTATGTCACACATACTCGACCCCCATCCAGCACAAAGTGTAGACAGACTTTTATGAAATAAGCTTATTATTAATTTTTGAATTAATGGTGGACGTGTAAGCTTCCAAGTCCACCATTTACTGTAGCTTACAAGTCCACCATTTACTGTAGGAACCAGCGTAGTCGTCACCTGCCGTGGGTTTGGTGTGCCTTGGCATACTGGTAGTCTGTCAGTCCCTTGCAGGTAGCTCGGCAGTCAGATCTGGCCCACTGTCTGTTTTTGAGTGGCCCATGAACTAAGAATGTTTGTTTTCATTTTTAAGTAGTTAAAAAATAGAATAAAGTGTGACATGCAGAACAAATAAACTTCAGATTTCACCTCCCAGGAAGTCATGCAGAGCACAGCCATGCCATTGCTTGGGTCTGTCTGCGAGTGCCTTGGCCACACTGCGGATGAGTGAGCACGTGCAGCAGCCATGAGGGCCGTGCTTCGCTGGTTGTGCCCCAGCTCGGTGTTCTAGACACCAGGAAGCATTTGTAAACAGTTGCACGTGCCACACCTGTCACCAAAGTGTGTAACTAAAAACAGACTGCCAGTGCTTCCCATGGTGCCAAGACGAGGACGTTCAGCATTGTGCTTTTGAACTCACTGGAATGTGGGGCATCAGGCAAAATTAAGTGGCAGGTCATGGTGGGCATTGTGCTGTGTGTCTCAGACTCAGCCCAGCAGGATTCCCAACTGCCCGGGGAGAGTGTGGTCAAAAAATTAGAAAATTTAAAACAGAATGTCTTATGGCAGAATTTCTTGACAAAATTGAAAAGAAATGATGCTATTACCAAAGTGTTTTCAAGAAGCTTGTTAACCGAGCGAGAAAAACCACTTATCAATTGTGAGTTAATTAAATCATGTCTAATTGCAGCAGCCAAATAAATGTGTGCAGAGAAAATTAACTCATTTACGACAATGAGGTTTTCAGCAAAAACAGCTTCTTAAAGAGTCAAGGACACTGGGAGCAACGTCCTTAGTCAAGAAGCTAAGCTAGGGCTGGGTTGTGGCTCAGTGACAGAGCGATGGCCTAGCATGTGTGAGGCACTGGGTTCGATTCTCAGCACTGCATGTAAATAAATAAAGTCCATTGACAACTAAAAAAGTATTTTTAAAAAATCTTAAAAAAAAAACAACAACAAAGCAAAGCAAGTGGCTTTGAGTGGTTTCCGTGGACCCTGATGGTTGACAGGTGTCCCCAGCACTGCTGAGTTGTTGCTTGGAGTCAAAGTGACTGAAGAGTTGTTCCTCAGGATTAGTCTGTTGGGAACAACCACAGGCAAGAATGTTTTCACACAGTTACGAAAACACAAATCCAGTTCAACCTGAAGTGGAATCTACTAAGTTGTAACAAATGGTGGTTAAAATACGTGGGAGGAGAAGGCTGCTTAGCTGCATTAATTTACAGAGCTCATGGAAATATGTGGTGCCTAAAGTCTGTGGTTATTGATTCTAATATTCACCAGCCAGATACTTTGCAGAAAATATTTGAATCTGTCATGTGTCATTGAGCCAAAGTGTCAGCAGTGAGCTTCATTTGCTCTTACGGATTTGGCCGGGGTCAGTTCTGTGACACTTTGGCAGGCACGGGAACTGAATATTCTGGCTTGTCCTAACTGCAGCAATTCATTGACTCAGCAGTGGGCAAGTTCAACTGCAGTTATTTTGAGCTCAGGACCAAGACTGATATTTTTCCAGAGAAGAACTGCCCTCCACCATCATCATCGCTTTGAAAGTCAGTGTTTGCTGCAGCCTTAATGATGCTTCTTAGGAATTCAGCCAAACTAATGTTGCAGTCAAGTCACTTTGATGACAGTGAACGTTGTTTGAACTCTTAATATCACACTCTTAATGCACTTCTGTGCTTTCAAAAGTTACCATTCACATTTACAGTAGATAGGTTTCCCATACTACAGGTCCAGCAGTGATTTGGGACCTCTGTGTTAGTAAAAAAGAAATTTCTATATTTCAAAATCCTCCTTAGAACACCCATAGTATAAAAAAATTATACTTGTTATTATATATTGAATTTCATCAATGAAGAATTTGTGGGAGTTTTTTCTTTTTATATTAGTACCTGCCTCCTTTCCTCAGTTTTCCTGGTGGCTCACAGAGACTGCCCTTTATGGAGAACATTTGCCAGCCCTTGGCTTAAAATGACTTTGACCCTGAAGGAACCATTTTCTCATCACTTGTGAAAGCATGCTGTGTTTTTTTGTTTTTTTTTTTTTTCTTTTGTGAAGGTATTCCTTACAGCAAGAAAAATTTAATAGTGAACATGTCCCCTTGACAGAAGATCCTGGCTTCACTCCTTCTCTAGGAGAGCCATTTCAGCTTGTCATTTCTGGTGGCATTAAAAATCGACACTGTAGATGAGGTGCTCCTTCACAGCCCCTTCCAGACAAGTCCTTGAAAGAACACATGTGCCTTGAGCCCCTGCTCAAGGCCAGCCTGTGTTCTTGACCTGATTCAAACACTGAGGTTTGTTATGCCTGACTTAACCTTGAAGGCAATCAGACGGAGTCACGTAGGTCTTATTTTGGCAAGGTTTTCCAAGTCACAATTTGCTAAAATGTTGGTGATGCAGGAACACACATTTTTGTTTTGTTTTTTAATTTAAACAAAAGTATAGTTCTACCTAATTAAATAGGTTTCTTCCAATGTCTTTAAGCATACCCTACTTGAAAACTCTTAAAGCTGAGTGAAAGGAGGAGAGTAGGGAAAGACATCCAGGCCCTGACTAGAGACACTGGACAGAAACATTTTGGTGGATTCCTGTCCCGTCTTCAGTCAGGGATGTTTCATGTGTGGCTATCACAGACTGTCCAGCAAATATTGATTTTTGTTTTGAAGGAAAGTTTGAGAACGGTGTCGCGGAGGGAATGGTAGATCCTAGCCTCAACCCCATCTCGGCCTTTCGCCTGTCAGTCATTCAGAACTCTGCTGTTTGGGCCATTCTTAACGAGGTAAGAATACACTAATCAGGGAAACCACTTAGATGCTGAGTTTTTATTAGTTTGATATTTCATGTAAGGCCTTTTTGGAGTTGAGCATTAACTAACTGCCTTATACTTTTCACTATTTTGTGTTTCAGATTCATATTAAAAAAATCACTAATTGATCATCTAAGAAACCAACACGTTTTTTCCTGGTGACTCTGTTAAAGATAGCTAAGCATGTACCTTTTTTTTTTTTTTTTCCAAACTTGAACACTACCTCTGTGAATCTACTGTAGATAAGACGACTGCTGTTTCCACTTGGAAAGCGAATCTCCCGAAGATAATTGTATTATTTGAACTATGCTCTTCTCCAATTTTAACTTGATGCAAACATTTTACAATTATGACAGCCTGTTAATAGGACTTGTACTGTTTTGGTATTATACTAATACATACGAGTTGTACATATTGTTACATTCCTTAAATTTGAGAAAACTAATGTTAAATACATTTTATGAAGGGGGTACTTTTGAAGTTCATTTATTTTACTATTATAGACCCTCTTTTATAGATTATCAGGGATTATATATAAATATATAAATATACATAAAATGTATGGAATTAATTTATTAGAAACACTTAAGGAGTACATATTTTTGTGCAGTAAATTTTTGAATCAATACTTTTTTTGAGAACCAGTTACCTTGCTTTTTTAAGTTCTTTCTATATTTTTCTTTCAAAATGCAAACATTACAAATCAATGCCATTTTTCAAATGCACTGCCATTTAAGATTGATTATAGATGGATTTCTTAACTGAAGTACTTTTATAATCACAGCGATTCTAAACAAAATATTTTCAAAGGCATTTGTCATTCCTTAAAGCCAAGATTTTAAAGACCAACATCCTTCTTGAGGGTTGCTTTACTGTACTGCGTGTGGTATGTAGCCACAGAAAATCAGTCTGAGGACTCTCAGTGTGCGGGTGTGACGGCGCCAACCTGAATCGCCACGGACTCGCTCGCTAAGTCTCTGGTAGGGAAGGTGGCAGACCCTTCCTTCCTTTTTAATCTTTGTCTGTAATCCATGAGTTAGATGCATTCTCTTTTCTTGTTGAACCTTTTATATCTGCTCTCATTTCTGAGTTAGTGTTTTTAGGTAATGCTATTGTATGGGTCATAATGTGTATAATTTTAAAGAAAAACAAAATTATTATATAGATTTGTGGCAAAAGGTAGTATAGCAGTTGTGTTTTCCCAGAATGCTTTATTCTGCTGCATTGTGATCTGACCTGTTTCCAGAAGCATTCATCACCTTCAGCGGCAGTTCCACATCCTATCACTGCGGCCAGCAGAGTGTGTCACCGGCTTCAGCCATCGATGGTCTCCACAGAGTACTTCCCTTTCAAACAGTTAGGAGCTGTCAAGCCAGCCAGGCTACTCCAACCACCTGGGGTTACAGTGTGTGGCAGGTGTGCACAGGTGGATCCCCTGAGCTTTCTGAGTGGCCCTGGCCGAGGCTGAGGGCTGTGAGAGGTCCCACAGCTGGTGACCTCTGGCCTGGAGTTTACTGCTGCCCAGTATGTGGGATGCATGGCGTCCAATGCTGCCCTCGCTGTGCCAGATGAAGGGGAAGCTGGGAAATGCCCATCAGGTTCTGTTGTCCCACTCTGTTGTAGAATGTTTAGTTTCCTTGGTCAGCAAACCTACCATGTGGCCCAGGATTTGATGTCACATTTCAGTTGAAGTTTTTAAATTCCCCATCGCAGAGCCTATCAGCAAATTTCTTTCAAAACAGGGACTTGCCTTTTGTTGTAAATGTTGGCACCAGCTTGGCATTCTGAACCACTACTGAAGCAGCTAAAAATCTGTGCAGATGGAGATCCCCAGGGTCCCTGGTTCCTCAGTAGCAACTGGGACTTCAGAAGGAAAGCCAGCCTAGGACAAAGTGCTGTAGCTCCCTGGGCTACTCGTTAGGGCTTCTTGAAGACTCTGGGCCCAGCCAGCGCGGCCCCCACCCCAGCCTCTGCTCCTCTCTCCAGTTCCTGGAATCCTTTCCATCATTTACGGAGACTCTCCTTCCTCCCATGGCTTTGTTCCCTGTTTCTAGAATGTGTCCGGCACATGGCAGGTGTGGTCGCCTCTGAGCATGTGAACCAGCTGTGCCAGCCTCTCCCCTCCCTCCGCTCCCTTGGCCTTTCACCCTCCCACCGTGCACACGCATCTCCCTGCCTAGTTGTGACTGACGTGTCGTCTCTGAGCTCCTGCAGCCAGCCTGCACCTCATTTCCTCTCTGTCTGTCCTTCACTGCAGCAGTGGACTCACCTGGCCTCAGCGTTAGTTGCTCCTCCTTTCCACCAGGTCCTCTGCTAGGCAATTGAGAGCAGTCTTGCTTTCCCTAAGCAAGAATTTATAGTGGTGGTCCTGACGGGTAGCAGAGGGCCAAGAACACTTGGAACCAGAGTACCTGAACTTGACACTGAACCACTTGTACCAAAATAATGAATGGGGAAAATGTCACTAATATGTTAGTCCCACCACCTGACATGGATTGGCATCTGGTTAACTATTTAACTATTCCAGGTTAACTATTCAGACTCCTGAGCAGTGCATGCCTGCCTAGGCACTAGTCACTAGATGCACAGTAGCTTTTTAAATTAATAAAAAATTCAGTTCTGCAGTTGAACTTGCAATGTTTCCAGTGCTTTGTGGCCACATGTGACTAGTGGCTATTACATTGGCCCTAGAGATACAGAACATTTCCATCATTGCAGAAAGTTCTGATGGGCATTACTGTGTGGAGTACAATGTGAACACTTTAGAAACCAGAATTAAAGGATTCTGAGGACAGGGTTAAAAGCAGATGGGCATACGCTATAATGCAAATGATGAGTATTTGGAGCGAAAAGAGAAAGTCAAGGACCAATTTCTAGCACCTAAGATCCAGGCTTTCTTGGTTTGGATCCAGACGGGATAGACATACATGTATATATTCAACCCTTAGAGACGTCTTTGAACCAAGGTTCTGTACAGCTTTTCAGATCAGCGGCTGAACTAAAAAATTAGAAGGTACAGTTATTTTAAAAGCCATGAGCAAATTTGTAAAGACTTCTTTTAAATCTTTCATAATAACAAAAACCAAAATTGTCTCCCAACAGTACTGTCCCCCAAAGAAGTTTGGTGATATGAAAATAGCATGTTTGGGGAGATCGCTCCGGTTAATAGCAGTGTGTTTAGTAGACAGAATTCTAAGAATTCTCCCTCCCTGGGATCTTGTATTATATCCTCCCCTTTGAGTGTGGGTGGAACTGTATGATCCATGATTATGTAATGTTATGTAGCAAAAGATTATCTGGGGGCGACTAATCCAGTCTCCTGAGTCCTTTAAAAGCAGTTTTCTAAGGCTGGTAGCCCAAGTTAGACTCCAAGCATAACTCCAACGCTAGGCAACTGAGTGGAGGGGGTCACAGGGGAAGGAATACGGGCAGCCTCCAGGAGCCGGGAGGCTTTGGCTGCCAGCGAAGAAAATGATATGTACAGCCCTATAGCCACAGGAACTGACTCGGGCCACAAGCTCATACATGGGCGTGGAAAAGGATTTGTCTCCACATAAGAACCCAGCCTGGCCAAGCACCTCGATCCCAGCTTTGTGAGACCCTAATCGGAGAACTCAAGTTGAGTCTGCTGTGACTTCTGACCTGCAGAACTGTAGGATAGTAAATGGGTGGAGTTTTAGGTTGCTACATTTGTGGTAGTTGCTGTACAGCAATAGAAAATGAGTATGTCATTTAGAAGAGGTAAGGAGGAGATGACTTCGCAACTGATTGTCTGTAGTAATGTTGGGTATTTCTTGGTTTAAAAAAAAAAAAGTGCATGAATAGTCTCTACTAGCAAATTCTAGTCCTGGGCCTCAGCTAGGATGTTTTGTGCCAGAGATCTCAGTCTTTGTTGGAAGTTTGTTGGTAAAATGTAATGTTTTATACAAGAACTGTTAGAACAAGATTGTAGGAATAGAAATGTGAGGAGCCTTTTTTTCTAGGTGAGATATTCATGATTTAGAATAGACTGCTCTGAACCTGTCAGAAGTATACAAAAGAATAAAACAGTGGTATTTCAGGACACCAAATTAAGAGAAAAATAACTCCTTCCTGTATGTAGAGATTACATAATTTATTGTTATGAGGGACTTATTTTTTTTAATCAAAACTTTATTACCTAGCACAGATCAAACCCTATTTGTGCCAACCCCATTTTTGTACTTTGAGAATGTTTTCCAAAATACCTCTCTGCTTTCAAGCCGTTAATTGCAAATGGGGTTCACTTTTAGTTTGGTTTATCCATTAATTTTTGTGCTCATCTTTACTATATTGCCATACCCTTGATTTAAGAATAAGGAAATTAGAAGCTACAAACTTTCAAGATTGCAAATGTGTCATAATCACATCTTTGTGTTAAAAGGAAACTTAGATTTCCAGATCAATCCCTTTATAAAAGCAACTTTTCCAAGCTATGTAGCAGTATTTATAATGTGTAAAATTTAGTTTGATAGTGTGAAATTTTAAATTCTTAATCTTAACAGATATATGCTATGATAACTAGTATGCTTACTTTATTTCTTTAATGCATGTCAACATACAATGCTAAAAATACTACTAAAGCAGTATTAGGAAAAGCAGCCAAGTGAGGGTTTGTCACCCAAACCTGTGTCATCGTTATATTAAACTCTTCCCACTTTTGGCACCCCCTTCTACGGTTTGGGCACCAATCAGACCATTGTCAAAGAACAGACAGAGGAGAAGCTGGCGCTCTGGGTTGTTGGAACTGAGAGGAAGGAGATGTTAAAGACAGTAGGGTGGGCTAGGGTGCAGCTCCGGGGTAGAGCACTGGCTTGTGTGTGCCAGGTCCCAGGTCCTGCCCCTGGCACTGTAGGGAAAAAAGGCAGTGAAGTGAGCTAGGAAGGAGGCAGAGCATTGTGCCTGCAGTTAATGCTGCAGTCCAATGTCCAGAGCAGCGGTGCTAACGGCTCTGAGTGAGGACTGTGGTGAACGCTGGAATACCCTCAGACATCAGGCAGGCTCTTTTGTACCGCTCGCTCCTAGGTGTTTCACTGTATTAGTAATTAGCAGCTGTCCCAGAATCAAAGGTTGGTTTGTACCTTACCCTGATTAGCATCCTGTTATTTGTTCAAAGTGCTCGATGTCTGTTCAACTTTGGTAAAAATCTCTTGAAGACATTCTCTTTGAGCCTTAAAAATGGCGGATATCGATAGTACTGTAAGATGCACTGCCAGCAGATTTGATACTTTCATTTCGGTATAGCCAGTGATGTTTTCTAAGGAAGATTTAAAGTCTGCTAAGCCTAACAGTTGTGTTTCCTTCATGGAATGAAGAACTAAGCATGTCTCATTCAGAGCAATTTCCTTGGAAAGGCTGTCTTTGCATTTGGGGATGTTTCTGGAGGCATCCCTTGGAGAAGCTGCCTGAACAATCTCTGCCAGGTTGTACCAGATGTTTTTTTTTTTCTTCCTAAATGTACATATTTTCCTTAATGTCTTCATGTGTTGAACGGTTAATATTTGTAGTAATATTTTAGGTACCTATTGGATTTTTAAAGGAAGAATATTTATTTTCAAGTTGCTGCTATAATTGAAAACCTAATAACTGGTCCTGTTGACTGTGCCTTTCATCACTGTTTCTCTGTGCCACAACTGTTCATGTGTATTTGAAATAAAGAGATTTAAAAAGCTGTGCTGATTCAAGATTCCTTCTAATAAAATTAGCACTGAACCAAGGAGTGGATCCTATGTGTTTTGAAAAGGGTAAAGCCCTGCTGTCAGACCCAGATGGACACTGTTTATACAGGTGTTTGCTTAGCCCCCAGCACTGACTGCCTCAGGCTAGTGTATCATGGGAGTTTGTGCTTTGTGTCCTCCTTTCTCGGCAAGCCACACTGTCAGTGACAACAGGGCCTCTACTACGCAGCTGCACTACAGGTTAAAGAGGCTTGGGGGAGACTGAGGGTAGCCCCTTGTCCAAAATCAATTCATATGAAAGTTATGTATAGCTCCTAGGTGCCCATATTACCACATGCATGCTTTAGTTTAAAAAATATTTATTGAAGGAATGTACTTGAGACCACAGTGTTAGCATATCTCCTCAAATCTGTAAACTTTACACCTTTAAGATATCTACAAAGAGTTTATTTACAAGTTTTACAAGAAATCATCACCTCACCAATACTGTTGACACAGTCAAGCTGGGTATTGCCACCTTTCTCTTCATTTCACTCGATACTTATAGAAAGAACACAGAGCACGGGTGAAGTTCCAGCCTAGTGCCAGCGACAGCCCATACAGTAGGATCAGAGGTGCAAACGGATAGAGAAGAATTACTGTGTTTTTCAAAAAGGGCAATGCTGGAAGGGAAACAAATCCAAATTATTTCTTAAAAAATGAACATTCCAAAACACAGCTTGCTCTTCAACATGTGGGACCAAAAAGCACGTGATGCGGGTCTGTGGCTCAGTGGTAAGAGCGCTTGCCGGGCACATCTGAGGCACTAGGTTTGATCCTCGGCACCACATTAAAATAAAGGGGGGGTCCTACAACTAAAAATGTTTTTAAAAAGGTACATGGTGCTGTTTGTAGAACTATAAATACTGTTTTGCTACCCTTAGGACTGAGCGAGGGACATTACAAATACTGACCAGGACAGTGACCACCTCAGAAGCCTATCTTAAGGTACTGAGACAGATGATGATGGAGGGGAAAAAAAATCTTAGCCATTTGAAAGTTTCCAGTGCAAAAGCCATTACACCCCCACGGTTCCCAGATATCACTTAGTCTGGGGGCCCCCTCTGCACTCGACTTGGAATGTCTTGCCCACAGGAAGATCCCAGGAGAGCGTTCCCCACATAGGAGGGCCAAGTGTTGCACCACGACACCGACCACAACCTTCCCCAATTATGTGACAACCAGAAGCTTGAATCTGGTCACAAACCCGGCCCTAGAGCAGGGGAAGGACTGGCAGTACCCACACCAGGCAGTGCGGTGAAGGGGATAAGTGATCCTGGCAAATCAGCTGAGAGCTGGGAACAGCTCTATCCAAAGGACCAGTCTGAGGAAAGTAAAAGCTGCTGACAGCAAGGTTCTGACCACCCAGAAGAACAGGAAGGGCTAAAATATGTGGGAGCTCTAGATTTTATTTTCCACTGGAGAGCCTTTTTTGGAGGCTGGTACTGGGGGATCAAACTCAGGACCTCAAACATGCTAGTCGAATGCTCCAGCTCTGAACTACATCCCCAGCCTGACCTCCAGCTTGTGACTCTCCTGCTTCCTGAACAACTGAGATTATAGGCACGCACTACCACACCTGGCTCGTAAGAGATAATATGCATGAAGACTAATGTAAGAACGTTATTCATATTAAGAAAACTGAGCTGACAACAGGATTTAAGAGTAAATTGGCAGGCCAGGCACCATGGTGCACACCTGTAATCCCAAGCGGCTCAGGAGGCTGAAGGAAGAGGGTCTCAAGTTCAATGCCAGCCTCAGCAAAAGTGAGCTACTAAACAACTCAAAGAGACGCTATCTCCAGTAAAATACAAAATAGGGCTGGGGATGTGGCTCAGTGGCCAAATGCCCAAGTTCAATCTCTGGTAACAACAACAAAAGTAAATTGGCAAACATCCTGAGGTCAATAAAAGTTGGGTCTAATTGTCTGTGATCATCTACAGAACCATACACGATCACAAAAAAAGAAAATGGTGCAAAAAGGTTTTCAACAGCTCCAGTCACAGGCCTGCAAGCCCAGACCCTTCCCCACTCTGCCTTGGTATCAGTGACCTGGAACTGAATATGCAGAAGAGACTGGAGACCAACTCCTGCCAGCAGCTTGGAGATGTCAGCATGATTTAACATGGTGCCAGGAGATTATGAAATTTATCATATACCAGCTAGACCACTTTCTAGCTGGGAGACCATAGACAAGTTAATCTTTCGCAGTTTCCTCACTGGAAAATGGGAACAAGTGAACCTGTATCATCATTGTTATAAAGATTACATAATATACTTGGGGCGGGGCCTGTCAGTGCTCCATAATGGTAAACTGGGAGTATGTGTTACAACTTGCCCCCTCCCTGTCATCTACGCAGGCACCCACCCAATTTCTTACGGTACTTACCACTGTATCCTAGGAAGGTTACATAGATGTAATAGCCAACTGCAATCAGCCATAAGGTATTTCCAACTAAATATCCAATAAATGTGTCTGTTAGGATAACATCTGCCAGGAGAAATGCACAAGTGAGTCTCTTCCCAGTGCACACAGGGAGCATGGGCGACAGCTGAGAAGTGAGTCTTACTTACGGTTGATGAAGAACAGCTGGATGAAATGCAGAATGACCAGGAGCGGGTAGAAGGCATTGAGGTGCACGTCAAAGGCATAGCCCCACTCCACGTCACAGTCTCTGCTTTGTCGCTTTACTAGATACTTGTTGGAGATGAACCTAAAGGGTGAGATTAAGATTCCCTTCATAATACAGTAAAATTAACTCTATTTGCACTTACTGCCTTCTACAGACCAGACGCTGCTCTAGATTCCGGAGCTCAGGGTGAGCTGGCGCTCCAGGCTCTGTCTAGAGGGAGGACACGGAACGCTGGCATCTGTCAGAGGGTGCCATGGAGAAAAGTACAGCAGCAGCAAGGACAGAACATGCGCAAATTTTCTAGTCAAAGTTTATGTTGGGGTAAAGACCAGAGGGCAGTGGTGGCACCTGGCTTCCTGCAGGAAAGGCTAAGAAGGCAGGTGTGCCTGGAGGGATGGGCCAGGAAGGGAAGCCCGAAGAGAAAGCGGAGCCAGATTTCCTGGTGCCTGTGGCCACTCTAAGACGTGGCTTTCAATGTTGGTGGAGAGAGAAGCCATGGGCTGGCAAGCAGGGCCTGGCTGAAGTGTTCCGCAGGTTCTCTGGAGCCAGTCTGAGAACAGACTATAGTGACAAGTCAAGGAGGGAGAGGGAAGGCTGCTGTGGACAAGAGCCCAGAGCAGTAGGAGCAACGGAGGTGGGGGATGCAAGACGCTCTGGACCTGGGAGCGGAGCCCACAGGATTAATGTCGGAGGGGGTCTGAGAAATAAGGAAGAGTCAAGGGGAGCCTGGAGCTGGACTGGGGACGTTGAAGGAGCATGGAGTCCAGAGATGGGCAGGAAGTCCGCAGCTTGGGGGAGAGCGAGGTCAAACTAGAACAGAAGCTTCAGTGTGGGGGGATCTTGACAGCCATGAGCCCGAAGGACATCACCAGGAGAACACCGTGACCAAGGCAAGACTGAGGCCTGTCAACTCTATTAAAAGGTGAGGAGGACAGGAAGAGACAAAGAGAAGAGGGCCGGCGGCATGTCCAGCCACAGGAATACGAATTACTCAGCTGTCACTGTTCTCCGCGCGGCCACCAGCTCAGGTAATTGGTGAGTGATTGAAGGGGATAATGTCCACGAAACAAAAAGGGAGCTCTTCAAAGAACAACGCGGGTCATTTGTGGAAATTCAATGTACCTTTTCTATGTGCCAAGGCATTTCAATTCAAGGACACAATTAAGAAAATTCTCTTCCTACAGAGGAGATAAAAATAGAAAATAAAGAAACAGGGAGAACATGGTGCAGTGTAATACACAGTCCCTCACTTAGTCATCTAAAGAGTGGAACCAGAGGCAGGGAAGAGCAGGGAGGTGGTTGCAAGAAGCTGGGTCTTGGGTATCCAAAGTCAGTTAGACAGGAGGCGTGAGCTCTGCTCCACAGCACAGGGGGTGCCTACGGTTCACATCGATTTATTGTACACTTTACAAAGAACTAGGAGTTCAAAGGTTCCCAACACCAAAAATTTAAAAATGTTTAAGGAGCTGGAAATGCTAATTACCTTGATCTGATCATTACACATTGTATATACGTATCCAATCACTGCAGAGAACACCACAAATATGTATAATTAAATAATTTTGAATGAAAAAGACTTTCATGTAATAGCATGTGGCTCACCCCGAGGAGCTCTGTTCCCCTGCTCACCGTCAACGGGATAGAGCTGTTCCTTCAGAGAGCTCCAAGACAACTGTGGCTTCCCCTCCCACCTGCATCAAGGACACCACTCACATCCACATCTTGGGCCAGACTCTGGTCTCCAAGTTTCAAATCAGAATAGAGACCTCAGGCCCACTGACCCTCACTTCCACTAAATACTCCGCATGCCCCCTGAACTCCACGGGCCCCCTGAGCTCCACACACCTGACATGGCATGCTCATTTGCACTTGTCGAAGGCCATCCTGAAGGAGGCTGTGGCCGCCCCATCTCTTTCCTGTCCCCCACCATATCCTGTTTCCATAGGATGCTCTTCAGTCCACCCCACTGTTACCACCACACTACTCTGGGCCCCCTCTGCTCTTCGCAGAGCCCCTGCCAATTCTCTGGCCTTGACCCTTTTCCACCTCCTCGTTCACTGCCAGGGAAGACTTTGCCTAAGCGTGAAACTGACATGATTCCCTCCCTTCCGAGCCCTGAGCTCCACCTCTCTACCCTCCAGTCACACGTGCAGCCTGGGAGAACAGGTCCTCTTTTTTCTGAATGGCATCAAGGTTGACTTCTCTAGTCTCATCTCCTCCCTAGTCACCCTCAGGGTCACTCTCCACCCCAGACCTGGCATGCTGTCTCTCACTTCTGTGCCTCTGCGCCTGCAAGTCCAGGTACCAGCGGTCAGAGGTCCCATGTTTCCCCACCCACCACTTCATGCTGGTTCCAGTGGACCTCTGGTAAGGCCGCGGTTACATGGAATCCTTTCTAGTTTTAGTTCCTCACAGGATTCACAGCTCAAACACTGGTTCTCAAAGATAGTATCTATTTAACTCACACTATGATATAAATTCATATCGAAAGTGCTCAACTGGACAACACCGTTTCTGGGGCCTTCAGAATCTGCATTCAGGGCAGAACACTTGCTATAAACGATTCCTTTGAAAGCCTCATTTCTCAATTTTTTTTTCATAGACTGTACCATTTTCCTGGGTAGCTTTGTAATAAATGTAATTAGTTAGCAATATTAACTATGGCCTCATTTAAAAATTTTACATTAATAGTACAAAGCATTTATTAACTACCTAGTATATACAAAACCTGCACTTTATGAGTCAGAAGTTACAAAGAAAATAAAAGGTTGGTATCACCAAAGGTTCCAGTCTTGGAAGTTTTGTTTAAGATATTAATAGCTACATTAGACTTAGCACTTAAGTACATTCCAAGTGCTTATTATACCACAATCCTCTCAAAAATCTGACAAAACAGGTAATTCATTTTACAAAAGGTGAGACTTGGACTACGCATGACACAAATGGCTGCACTGGCATTTGAACCCAAGTCGCACTGTGACTAAAATGTTCCATCCTGTTTTCCTAATACAGGGGCCACCACTCCATCTTGGTGTCACTTTCCATCAGGTATGTACCTCTAAGGTGAACAAATGGAGCCTCCACAGTAACTGCAAAGCCAAAGTTAATTACTTACCACATTAAAGTCGATATCAGAAGACCAACACCCACACAATCTATGAACACGACCCATAGGAGAAGCTTTATCGTCTCAAAAAATCCCATGTCCAGCACAAAGCCAAATCCTATAGTGGATACTGAAAGAAAGATTCACAAGATTCACTCAGACACTCGCTGGGTACAGAGCACTGGCCTTGGTGTCACGGTTTGGTCCTTACACGCCCCCCAAAGGCCCATGTACTAAAGGCTCAATTGCCAACCCTGGTGCTACCAGGAGCTGATAGAACCTTCAGGAGGTGGGGCCTAGTGGAAGGAAGTTAGGTCACTGGGAGTGTGCCCTTGAAGGGGAGATTGGGACCCTGGCCCCTTCCTGTTTCCTGGCCATTGGGAGATGAGCAGTTTTACTCTACCATGAACTCCCCACCATGATGTTTTGCTTCAATACAGCAACAGGGTCAAGTGACCATGAATTCATACCTCTGAAACCATGAGCCAAAATAAAAATTCCCTCCTTATAAATTGTTTCTCAAGTATTTTGTTACAGCAATGGAAAGGCGAGTGACAATCTTGGCCTCCAAAGACCCATAGTCTAGTGAGACAGAGAGACCAAAACAAAACTCCCAGGATGTGTCATATGTAACTGATGTAGCAACCGGGAACCACCCTGGGCTATAGATAGATAGTTTGTCAAGGTAGGTAGTTTACGGTGACAGGCCAGCATTCCAAACACCACCGGACAGAAAAGGCACTCATGTATTTTAAGTCCAGTTAAAAGTGAAAAACACTCTATCACTTTTGACTGATGCACTTTCATTATACTACTGGAGAACTTAAAAACAGGTTTTCAAGTTCATGTTGGTATTTTGGAACTCTCTGGATTTACTTAATCGTGAAATACCATGTCCAATCCTGACATTCCTTTTCACAGCAAGTTGGAGTTTGGGTATTGGTTCACTATAGTTAAAAGACATGGAGTGAATTTTTCCCCCTGCTCTTCAAGGTCCCAAAGCAGCAATTTAATTTACTCTGGCATTGGACTGAGACCTGTAGAACTAGGAGGAATTAACCTTTCCTGTGATTTTTGAAGGTACAGAAAAAACAGCTTCAGATATCCCCAAATTTGAACCCAAAACACATTATATCAAAGGATCCTTCAAATGATAAGCCTAATCTGAAAAGCTCAATTTGTTCTTCAACTCTATTGCAGAAACTAACACTTACCACAGAGCCAGATACTTAATAAGACCAAGAAAGCAGGGTCATCTCTGGCCCACTGGTCCTTTGTCTGCTTCCGGTAATGAAAGTTCCTATAAACCCTCTGTGGGGAAGTGAACAGGTAGAGCATCTGCCAGGCAGCAAACTCAAAGTCCATCTGGCGAAATCGAAAAAGCCTCCTGAGGTATTTGTAGCGTTTTGCTCCAGCTGTGTGTCTTGCTGCATCCCTGGAATTCAAGACTCCGTTCCCCTGCACTGAGGAATTCACTGAAGTACTTGGTAACATCTTCCTAGATGGAAGAAAACAATTCTTTTACATGCAATATGAAGAAACGTTTGGCTATCAGCACCCCTCTTCTGTGTTATTTGGCAAGGAGGTCACTTTACATTTTCTCTTCCACCCTTCAGAAGGGTCAGGGGTCAAAAGCAACTGGAGTTGGTTGAGGCTTGTCTTGAGGCTGGAGAACTGCTGCCCACTTCAGGCCAGGGCAACACTATGGGATTCAGAACCATCTAACACTTATCCAGGGTCCAGGCTGTTCCCACACTTCACCTCACTCGATCCTCAGACAGCCCTCCCAGGTAGCTAATGTTGGCAGAGGGAGAGGCACAGGGAGGTGAACTGACCTCCCTATGAGCACGAAGACAGTGATGGAGCCACGATTGGAACGTAACCACCAAGCCCTTAAGGGAAAACCTTAGTTGAAGCCGATTAGAACGCAACGTTACCGAAGAGGTACAATAGCTTTTCCACACAGGTCCATCAGCGTAAGGCCAGCAAGCTCCTTGTTCATCAGAATGCGACATAAAAACAAAGCAAATATCCAATCCCTAGCGCTTTACTCCCAGGGCAGTTCAGCAGGAGGCATGACAGCGTGGGAGACCAGTCGGCCAGGCCAAGGCTGGTGAGCGCAGCCCGACGCCCCTACTACGCTTCGTCGGCCTCCAGGACGCGGACAGTGCCCCGCCCCGCCCAGCCCAGCTCTTCTCCATTCGCCCGGGGCCTCGGGTATGGCTGCCAGGTTTAGCAAATAAAGGTACAGACCGCCCAGTTACATTTGAATTTCGAGCAAGGAACGAATTAGGAGTCCCATGCAACATGTCGGACATGCTTATACTAAAAACTCTCTGAGATTCCCATGTAAATGGGCGACTTTGATTTTCTCCAGGAATTCGACCGCGGGCCTAAGGCCCGAGAGGGGCCGGACACAGTCATGGTCACTCCCCAGCCGCCGTGACGCGGGGCCGCGAGCAGCCGGAAGACACGGCCCCCGGCGCGAACAATAGTCGCGCGCGGGCGGAGCAGTCCTCGGGGCTCACCTGGAGCTCTACTGCTGCCTCGGCCCGGAGCCGAGCTACCCGCCACCTCCGCCTAGCAGCCGAGCCCAGCCGCTGCCCGGGCGACTTCCCTTCCGCAACGTAGCCGGCGCTCGGGGCGCGTGTGGTTGACGTCACGAGCGCCCATTTCCGCTACGCATGCGCTGCCCCTCGGGACTCGTAATGTCTTCCGCCCGACCGGGGAAGACCTTCCGGAAGTTGTTGTAGTATCTTCCGGTGCCTTCCGCTTGGGGTGTCGCTCGCACCTAGCCAGGTGATTGGGGTTGAGCACCGAGAGGGTCGCGCCGCCGCGGGCGGGAGGCGCCGTCATGCCCCGCTATTACGAGGACAAGCCGGAGGGCGGCGCGTGCACGGGCGTGAAGGAGGACCTGGGCGCCTGTCTGCTGCAGTCGGACTGTGTGCTCCAGGTAGCGCGGCCGGGCGCTCTGGGTGGTGACGGCGCCTGCAACCTGTGGCTGGGCTCGGCGAAGGCCTCCCAGTCGGCCCGCGGTGGCGGTCCTGTCCAGGTTGTAGGGCACAACACCAGCTGCTCCCCGTGGGCAGATCCCCTGAACTCTCAGGACCTCAACTCCCCGCCCGCGTGGGGAGGGAGATACGATGCCCGCCGCTTGGGCTTTTGTAAATAATAAGCGGTTTCGGTTCAGGAAACTTTTTTTGAAGGCTGGTATCCCGCACAGTTCTGGAGACATAGAGGAGACGGGTTTTTTGCTTGCTCGAAATTGTTAAGAGACTTCCATAGTCACGCTGTTCTGGCCAGTAGTTTCTCCTGCCTGTGCTCAGTCGTGCCTGACCCCGTGTTATATTTGTCATGTGTTGGTTTGAATTTGTTTCTGAGTTGAAGTGCTCTGTGTGCCCAGGTGTGAACTTGTAAATGAAGCAGCTCAATATTTTCAACATTTTGTATATTTCCTTACATTCTTCCCTCACAAGTCACCAGTCTTCTCAGTACCACATCTGAGATCAGTGAGACATACAGTGAGCTTCAAAGTTGACCTAGAACCTGGGTTCTGGTTTAGAGCCCAAGTAAAGCCCACAGGTGCTTCTTCCAATGACAGGACCTATGAGAGGGCAATCAGTTGTGTGCAATTATCTTTGCTTTAGGGGATGTCATTTCAGAAAGCTGCCCCCAAATGGACATCTACAATTTATCAGTGTTTGAGTCACAACTTATATTCTGTTCACTGCTATTTGCAGCCAGTGAGGATCTTAAATCATACCAAATGGCAACTAAAGCTAGAGTTTAAAAGGCAGTAGTGGGGCAAAACATTGAACTTTGCAGGTTCATAACAATCTACTTGGGTGGTGTCCCTGACACCCACTACACACTATTCCTCACCAGGGACTCAAAACCAAGGGAAACTGCTGAGGTCTGTATCAAGTCTGTATGGCCACTTCATAAAGATTTTTGGTTCCTTAGTTTCTGGAGTAAAGAAGTTAATTGATCATATGGCCGATGGGTGGTATAGTCTCTTCTTGCTAATCTTTAACCACCTGCAGCATCTTACGGATGTCAGCAGGAATTCTGACACAAGTGAATATTTAGTTATAGGAGCTGTCAAGGAAGAGAGTCAAGGAAATAAAGGGGCCAGAGAAATTCAGGATAATGATGGTAAGGCTGTAAGTTCCAGGAATCTGGCAAGGAGAAAGCGATTCAAAAGTCATTTCTGGGGTAGACTTAGGGTTTTATGACTCCTGGGAGATCAAAATGGTTGAGGCAACCACAAGGTTGGCTCTTGGGCTCAGCATGTTTGGGAGCACTGGCTGATCTTGAGAGCATTAGGACATAGGGTCAAACATTACAGAGACCCACCATAGTCGCTTAAATAAGGTAGAGAATTCTGGCGTTTGCTCATGTGCCTGTAAGGCCTGGGTGGCTTTTCTGTCTTCCTGGGCCCATACATTCTTGATCTTATGGCTGTGAGTCCTGTGATGGGAGACAGGATGTTACTCTCATAGTCCCAAATTGCCTCGATCCTACATCATCAGGACTTGTAATCTTAGGGAGTAAAAGGGGCAAGCCTCTTTAAAGACCAACCCAGAAGTTTTACATGTTTCCCACACATTCCATGGCTAGGACTTGTCCCATGACCACATCCAGCTGCACAGGTGACTGGAAAACCTACCCCAGCCACATGCTTGATAAAAAGGAAGAATGGATATTGAGGGACAACTAGTCTGTCATTGGGAGTGGAGGGGATGAATGAACGTTTCATCTCTAGTGTATCTAGATGGATCTTTTCACCAGGCAGCCAGCAATGTAAGTTGAAGGCTTGTGAAAATGGTAACGTCTTGGACATGGTTTGAGGAGGCATCAGCTTAGTCTTTTGTCTACCCCCACTTGGTCAGCACCACCCATCTGCACTGCTTCAGAGTTTGGGGAGGAACACAGTGGTGCCAGGAAACTTTGCCACTCACTGATGTAGATGATAGTTGAAATCCAGGATTTAGGGAGACAAGGAGTAAACGTGGCCACGGTTTCTGGGAATAGGTACATAGACATGGTACCCTGTAGCTTTTTCCATAATGGAAACCAGGGGAATGTGACTGTCACTGGCAAACAGGCATTGGGGGAGTGGTTGGAGAGGCAAGATCTGGAGGGGAAATCCCTCTGCAGAGCAGGCGAAATCTGGGTTATCTTCCTGGAGGGAGCCATCTAGCCTACCTCATCAACATCCATGGAAAGTGTTTAGTTAATGGTGTTCTGATTTTAGGGTGCCTAATTCATAATTTTCACCCATAAAGAGATGAAGATCCCAGTTTCTGAGAAGACTTGTGAGGGAAGAATGTAAGGAAATATACAATATTAAAGAGCCTCAAGGAAAACCAGTGTTTTCAAAAACTCAGGAACCCCTCCAAATTAGACAATTTTTGTCATTCTGTCCCTTCCTCTCTAAGCACCAATAGTCAAAATGAATTAACTATTTACTATGTAACTGTTTTCCTCTTAACATTTTTGAATATAACTATTTTCAGAAGGACAGTTGCTTTGTGAAATTCCTAGGCATTTATACTGTTTTATTTGTCACAGGAAGGAAAATCTCCTCGGCAGTGTTTGAAGGAAGGATACTGCAAAGCTTTGAAGTATTCATTTTTTGAGTGTAAAAGATCAATGGTAAGTGGCTAAAGATTTTTAAAAGCTTATGTTACAAATCAGCTACCTGGAGTGAAATGTGTGAGTGACTTAAGAGTCATCAACAGGTTGCAGTGTGGTATCATTTGGAAAAAAAAGGATGTACACGTTTCTTCCTGTGAGTTGAACGTTAGGCCTATCTCCCAAGGGTTCGTGAAAGCCCCCAGCCTTTCTGTCATCCTGTCATGATGCTGATAAATCACTGACCTTCATGAGTTTCTCCAAGTGTGAATCTTGGCAAGTACAGGTGGGTAAAAGTCAGTGGTATTCCCTGTGAACCCAGGTCGTTGGCAGATAGACAGTTAGGGTCTAGGGTGTGTGCCCTTCTGCCTTAGGTGACAGAGAGAAAAATGTCAGTGTCTGTCTGCATTCTGAAGTGGTGGTCGTGGATATTGGCCCAGCACACATTGCTGACCTCTTGGTTCTGGGCCAGCATTCTTTGATCTGAAAGATCCAGAGAGATTTGGATTGGGAACTGAGAGCCTTTTCTTGGAGAGAGACGCATGAAGTTGGAAACTGAAGCATGCCTCCAGAGAAGGCAGCAGCGGGGACTGAGCCTGCTTTTGTTATTGAAGCACACTGCAAGTTCCTTCCCTTTGTCCACAAAGGAAATGAGAGATGAAAGAACTTGAGGACATCGGCCAGCAGATCTGATCCAGGGAGAGGGTGAAGTTAGACTAAATTTGGCCACACTCTGTTTTCCTTTGTCAAGTGTCAGTTTTCTGCCTTTAGGCAGAGGATTTTCTTGCCTTGCCTCACATGGTTTTGTTACCCATATAAAATGCAAGCCTTTGACTTGTGAAGAACTTAAGCATGTTTCAAGCATTGAGGAATCATAAGGAATAGTTAGAGTAGGAGATAACGACGCGTTGTACTCTGGAATCATATGAAATGACTCAACAGTAAACTCCCCAAAATTCCCTGCTGAAAGCTCAGGCTTGGATCTCCAAAAGATTCAGAAATCATAATCCCCCTGCAGAAATTTTTAATCTTAGATTAAACAGTGAAAGTGCTTCTGATTGCTGTCAGTTCAAGGCAGAGCTTCAGTTGACACTGGGAAAGACTGTCTAAGGAAGTCTCTAGCAGACTAGTAGATCCTACACCCTCTCTCCAAGACTGTGCCTCCTTGAGTCTTCCACAGTGAGTGGAATCATGTCACTCTTCATGACTGCAATGCCATTATACAAGCTTGACAAAACCTAATCATTTGAACATAAACTTTAAATAATGGATAGTTTTGCTTAGTTTCAAGACTGAGTTTAAGTCCCACTGAGGGTGAGACAAGAATTTGAATCTGCTGTTTCCTCAGTATGAGCAGCCCAGTCATCCTGGTCATGATTCCCAGGTTTAAAGATTTTTATTTCTTTGAAAATATTGTTCTTAGCTACTTTATGTTGTGCTGAGAAGAATGAATGGCTGGCTGTTCCAGGGTGGCTATGTTGGACTCATGGATAAGGCCTATCTCCCAAATAATTCCTTCCTATGGAATTTCTGGGGAATGGTGTTGACTTCCATGCAGCTTCGTTGTATGATTTCAGAACATTTTCTGTAACCACCACGGTTAAGAAGTGGATCTCTGTGAAGCTTAAATCAAATAACATGCTGTCAGCCTAGGAGGTTATGCGCATTACGGATCTGTGATCCCAAGATGACTGTGTCTTAAATGTTTCTTAGGGTTCTGTCCCCTTTTCTCAGTTGGTATTGATTTAAAGATTTCATATAGGGGCTGGGACTGTGGCTCAGTGGTAGAGTGCTTGCCTAGCACATGTGAAGCCCTGGGCTCGATCCTCAGCACCACATAAAATAAATAAATAAAACAGGTATTGTGTCTAACTACAACTGAAAAATAAATATTTAAAAAAAGATTTCATATACATTTGAATATTAACTGAAATAAAACTTAATGAAGGCAGGTTTGCTGAATGTATGTTTAGTTTAAAGAAAGAGATAAATAGAATTTGGATTCTACTCAAGAAGAAAATCACCTTGAAGTGAAACTTGCTTTTTAGTGCCATCTTTATAATTTTTTTTTTTCTTGGTAGCTCTTGACAATTGCCTTTTTTGATTTTATTGGAAACTGGTTCATTTCTCTAATGTGGTGACTGACACCCTTTACCAAAGTTGTGTTTAATTAATTACACCATATCAAATTTGATTAAATTGTTCATTTATTTTCAGTTGGATGCCAGATCAAGATTCAGAGGAAGAAAAGGATATTGATACCATTACGTTGAAAGCAAGATGAAAACACCAAAGGATTTTTCCACAGAAAAGCCACAATAGGAAATAATTTTTGCTACATCTGTTTGGTTGAACCAGTTTTCCCTCCATGGAACGCTGGAGAAATTGGATGAATTTTGGTTTTGAATATGTATAAAGCAAATGCTTCTCTGAATCTAAGTTATTTTTAGAAGATAAGTTTAATTGAACACTTATAGGCCTGGAATATAATGTGTTTTGAGATTTTGCCTAAAGTACAGGAAATGGAAAAACTGCTATTTTCAAACCTGACTCTTTAATCATATTACACCATTTATACATCTGGAAGGGACTAATGTGACACTGGAGGCTGTCCACAAGATGTTTATTGAGAAAGTTTATTTAATCTATCCTATTTAGTTCTAGAATAAATTGGTTCCTTGGAGAAGAAATGCTTTATTTGATTGATTCACTGAGGCTAAAGTAAAACCTCAGAACTTTGAAATCTGCCATAGGGCCTAGCTGGATCCCAAGCCCACACGGTGTTGCCAAGGACTCTTCTATCTCTGACTGATTTTCCCTTTCCTGGTTTCATTTTTAGGGTGGCCCTCTCCACATACAGGACCAGTATCAGCTATAAGCTCACATCCTTAAGATCTGTTATTCAAAAAGGAGAGAGTGAATTTCCCTTTCCAAGGACCACAAATCAAATCCTACTAAAGAACTCTGGTCTTCCCTGGGTCACCTGCACTGTGACTGACCACTCCCAGCAGAATCCCAGTGGTGGAATGGCAGGCCTCTTCCCTGAAGGAAAGGGGGATTTTGAGTACACGGAAACAACCGGTGTGTACTGTAGACAGCAGATACAGAAAACATGAAGTGCAAGTTTCAGATTATGGTAATTTTATCAGGATCACTTAATACATAAGAGAGCCAAAACCTTTAAATAAAACTTTAGGTTCACCTAAAGTTGTGAGAATCCCCCAAAATGCCACTGAAGTCTGCTGTGTATGCTGCTTTTCACTGGGGAAGGGAAGGTGGTGGATTTCTTCAGCGACTCCTTATACCTGTTTAAGTGCTACGACTTTCTTGGTTATTGCAGTGCTGGGCTGGGCCTCAAGGCCTTGCAATGAGCTACCCACCCCCCACAGTGCTACAACTTCTATTAAATGTAATTCTGATAAACTCTTTAAGGAGTATTTTATAAAACCTTTGTTGAATAACAGCTTTAATGAAGAAGTTCATATACCACAAAATTCACCTTTAAACCATTTCCACTTGGTAGTTTTTAGTGTATGCATAGTGTGTGCAGCCATTATCACTATCTCTTCCAAAACTTTCCACCACTCCAGAGAAACACATACATACCAGTTAGTATCTCCCTTACTCCCCTTCCCTCAGCAACTACTGATACACTGCTGGTCTCCACAAGCTGCTCTATCCAGAACCTGTTATATAAATGGAATTATATAATATGTGGCCTTCCGTGACTTTTTATTCCACTTACCATAATATTTCCAAGGTTCATCTGTGTGCAGCATCTATCTCATCACATCCAGTGGTGCAGGTGGTGCCACATTTTATTTATCCATTCATCAGCTGATGAACTAGGTTGTTTCCATTTTGTGTCACTGTGACTAATGCCGTGAGCATCTCTGAACAAGTTTTGTGTGGACATGTTTCATTTCTCTTTGAGTATATAACTCAGAGTGGAATTACAATATTGTATGAGAACTCCAACTTTAGCATTCTCCCCAGTGGCTGCACTACCCTTTTACATATTCAACAATCTCCACATCATCTCCAACAGTTGTTGCTATTTATTTTGATTACAGCCATTCTACTGAGTATGAAGTAGTATCCAACTGGGATTTTGATTTGCATTTCCCAAATGGCTAATGATTTGGGCATGTTTTCCTGTGTTTATTGGCCATCTGTATGTTAGTCTTCAGAGAAATGTCTATTCAGGTCCTTAGTCCAGTTTTCAGTTGCCTTGTCTTTTTATTGCTGATTTGTAAGAGCTCTTTATACGTATAAATACGAGTCCTTCAAAGATAACTAATTAGCCAATGTCTTTTCCCAGTCTGTGGCTTGCCTTTTCACTTTCTAATTGACACTCTTCAAAGCATGATTTTAACATTGGTGCATCGCAATTTATTTATTATTTTGGTGTATCTAAGAAACACCAAAATAATAGTGGTTTCTTAGATACACCAAAATAAAAAATAAATAAATAAATTGCGATGCACCAATGTGGAATCATATGTCTTTTTTTTTTTTTTGGACTGGCTTTCATCATTCAGCAAAATGTTCTCTAGGTTCAGCCACGTTGTAGTGTCAGAATTTTCTCCCGTTTTAAAGCCAAACAATATTCCAAATAATATTCCAGCTCATGTCGATATCACGTGCTCATGTGCTCGTCCATCAGTGGACACCTGCTCGGTCCCACCTTTGAGCTGCTGTGGACATGTGTCCACAGATGTCCCAGGGGCCCTGCTCCAGTGTGGGCACACACCCAGCAGTGGAGGTGCTGGGGCATCAGTGATTGTCTTTGATGTTCTGAGGAACTGCCATGCGTTTTTCCATAGCAGCCATGCCGGTCTCCATTCCTGTCCGCGGCGCATAGGGACTGCAGCTTTATCTTGTTAACACTGACATTTCTGTTCTCTGAATGGTGCCATCCTAGGGGACATGAAGTGGCATCTCACCGTGTTTTGGTTTGCATTTTTCTAATCAGCAATGATGACGACATCGTTTCATGTGCTTGTTGACCCTTTTCCTGTCTTCGGAGAAATGGCCTTAGGTCCCTTTTCCATTTGTAAAATGAGTCATTTCCTTTTTTGGTGTCATGGTGAAGAAATCATTTCCCAATCCAATGAAGCTCTCCCCTTATGTTTTCTAGAAGTTTGAATGGTTTTACCTCTTAAACTTAGGTCTTTACTAGATTTTGTATATGATGTAAGGGTCTAACTTTTATATGATGTAACTTTTTATATGATGTAAGGGTCTTTTTTTTTTTTTTTTGCACGTGGATATCTAATCTCTCAACATCATTTATTGGAAAGACTGTCCTTTCCCCCATTGAATGGTGTGGCACCCTTGTGGAAAAACATTTGCCCATATATGCCAGGGATAATTTCTGAGCTCACTATTCTATTACATTAGTCTATATCTGTATTTTTGCAGTACCAGAGTCTGAACCCAAAGGTTCACTGCCACATCACTACCCTTATTATTATTATTTTTACTTTGAGACAGGGTCTTGCCAAGTTGCTGAAGCTGGCCTTGAACTTGTGATCCTCCTGCCTCAGCCTCCTGATTCGCTGGGATTATAGGTGTGCGCCAGTGCACCAAGCTATATATGTTTTTAAGCTAGCCAGTTTCACACTGTTGTGATTCTTGCAGTTTCGCAGTAAGTTTTGAAATCATATGAAACCTTCAGCTTTGTCCCTTTTCAAGACTGCCCATTTGGGGGCCTTTGGAGGTCCCCTATGGATTTTTCCATTTCTGAAAAAATAAAAATGCTGATGCGATTTCGATAGGAAGTGCACTGCATCTATGCACAGCAAAGCTGGGCCCTGCGGGAGCTTCTTGCAAGACCAACCCCATAGCAGCTTAAAAGAGAGACATTTTCGGAAACAAGAAAGAAAATGTGACACAAAAACAGGAGTTCATGTTACTCCAGATGGAGCCTTCTGTGAGGGCATGGCTGGAGACGGTGCTGGCCGGAAGGGCCACCCCGGGAGCCCAGCAGTACATCCAGACATGGCCAGGCTGGCCAAGAGGAAGGAGTCACTCTGACCTTAGCAAATTCAAATACAGCATGTGCCTTGTGCCAAAATAATTCCAGGTGGATTAATCTAAAAATTCAATGGAATAAAAAAATACTGGAAATAAGAACAGGTGAATATTGAAAACACCATCTTGAGGCAAGAAAGCCAAGGCAGAAAGCATGAGTAATATCCGAGCATGCATAGACTGGGTCATGCAAGTGCCAGCAAGACACAAGTCCAGGCCCACAGTGCACACAGGCCACACTCCACTTCAAAGGCAAAGATGTGGCTGCCCACCTGTGTCACCTGTAGTGGTGAGTCGGAGACGTGTTTAGAATAAGCATCAAGCAGGACAGGCACACTACTACATAACAGCTTCTGCATACTTCCCCCATAGCAAAGCCAAGACGGCTGACCATCAGGTGTGAAAAATCTGTTACAGGCGACAGACGAGTTGACAAGCGGAGTTGCAAAAACATGAACATCATGAAAGTATAAAAAGTGTCTGATGTTCCCACTAATCCAAGACACAGGCATTGAACGATGTCGTTTCCAGCTTGAATGAGAATAAAGGGGAAAGGCAGCGGCTTCTCTTTCTGGGAGTTTAAATTCTCCTTGCGCAGATGCTTCTGTTACTGGGAGCTTACCTGAGAGACCCCTGAGCTGTGTTCCTAGAAGCAGCTGTGGAGCTGCATGCAGCCATCCTGGTGAGGGAGCAACCACGAGCCACCTGCATTCCAGCAAGTCACACGGCAATGAGCCATGTCTGCCAGCGGGAAGGTGACCGAGCCATGTCTGCCAGCGGGAGGGTGACCGTAACACACACAAGATGTCAAGAAACCTGCTCCAAGTCACCAGTCAGTGAGGAGCAGAACCTCGGGCTGTCTGCTGCTGACTTCCAGGCTCTTAACCCCACACCCTGCTGCCTCTCTGCTTCAAATTAAGTGAAAATGAGACTAAAGAATGAGTCTTGTGTGGTACTCAATGCAGTGGCCGGCAACAAGGGTCCTGTACAACGAGTCTTTTCAACACAGGAGAATGAGTCAGGCAAGACCAAGTTCTGTGTTCTTGTCAGTGATTTATTGTCATTCTAAGGACTAGCACATTTACAGCATACATGGCTTCGAATGAGCTAAGAATATATAAAACAGTAACTGTATGTTTATATATTAATACTGCCCAAAACAAATAAATAAAAGTATTTTAATGCACTAAGCTTGGCAAATACAACTGTGTGGGGACAAAACTGTATTATACAATGTTTTTACATCTTCAAAGGAAACTAAAGGCAACTGTGCTGCAGGAGCTCTGACAGAAACCCTGTGACATTTCCAACTGTCCCACATCTGGACATTTCTCTTTCAAGTGGCTCGGGGAGGTGCAGTGGGTGGAATGCTGCTGCATGGTGACCTGTAATGGCGCCTGCCCCACACAGCCACACTGGGCTCCTCCTCCTCCAGCTGCTGGCACCCTGGCTGTGCAGCGATGCCCCTGGGAGCCAGGCACAGTGCCTCCAGAGAGGATCCTGATGCCTGAATCTCCTTAAGAGTTATGACGACCCATAACATAAAGCAGAACTTGGGAAGAAAATTCACATAAAGGTGCCACATGCAAAACTGCTGACAGATGAGTCAACATTTGCCATAGTCCCTTTATAAATGCAGATAGTTAATGCTCTTTGGACAAAAAGAAGGGCAGAAAACAATATGGGTAACATTTAATTAAAAGAAAAACAAAGTTTTTCAAAAGGTTGAAATGAGAAAGAATGGAACTAAAAACTTACAAATTAAATGAAATGGTGGAGAGGGTGCCTTTGAATAGGGAGTGACACTTAAAGAGGAGAATCTGATGCTAGCTGAATAGCCACCTGTGTGTGGGGGGGGTTGGTGGACAAGAGTTTCTCTGCCACTCTCCCTCCACCATGAACTAGCATCGAGGGAGGGGCAGTCAGCCACAAGCACCCCTCATTAGTGTCCTCCACACACCAGCTCACTTCTCCCTCCCCGCTGGCACCAGGAGACAGTGAGCTCTGTTAGCACCTGACTTCTGAGTAGGAAAGGCCCAGAGGGTCACCCAGTTCCACCCTACCTTATGCCCACTCCTCTGTGTCCCTGCCAAGGACTGGTCCTGCCTGTGCCTCAATGCCCCAGGCCCAGTGACTCTACTGGACATTTCTCAAGGAGACAAGAATATATCTAGACTTCTAGACTTAAGATATTTCCAAGGTGTTTACAAATCATTAGAATCAGAATCATTAATATGTGCCATATATATTTCTTTTACAGCCTCTTAAATAACATGTAAACATAATCGTAAGAAACAACAGAATCGATAAAACACATAAACTCCTAAAGAAAAACAACTCTGCTAAGTGCAGAAAGACTCATCGTCACCTTTTATAAGATGACAAGACATAATTTCTATGAAATTCCTAAGTTTCCTGGCCCATAAATCCCTTTCAAAATCTCATTTGAGGAGATACTTTCAACTGTTTCTCAATAGTCATCTTACATAACAGAATGAGAAGAGGAAAGTAACAATTATTGCAAACCTAAAAGTAAGACACTTTGTCAGATATTCAGACATGATTGTATTGTCTCGCAGAAGACCTACAGGATATCCCGCAAAATCTGAGAATATTCAGGTATCCACTACTCTACAGTCCCCAATTCCCCACTGGAGTGTTGTTCCTCAGACATCAGACACACCACGTTTAAGGTCCTCAGTTGGGTAATAAAGGGAGATGTGTGCTGTGGGCCCTAGGAGCAGAGACTACAACAGGGACAGTGACAGGGACCTCACTGCTAGCTTCATGTCTCAAGCGACACCTGTTCTGGAGCTTGTGTGGGATGGAGAGAAGAGTGGCCCGAGGTGTGGGCTCCCTGGCAGGGGTTTCACCTCAGGTGGGCTGACTGGTCTTTCGCCTCTGGGTTTTCCAGGTGGTGGTGGCGCAGGTGACTCACTGGAGCCGCCGTCCTCACTGCATGAGAACAACTAGCGTCTTTTCCCGAAAATATGAGTTAACATTTATTTTTCTGCCTGGGGTCTGATTGTTTTACTGTTTTACATTCAGATTTTTTAAAAGTAGATTATAATTCAGTGCTCACTTCTAAGTTACTCAGTAGAAAAATAAGTTAGGTGAGCAGTGCCTACATGGGCATCTGAAAAAGTCTTCTGGCATTCCAGACAAACCTAGCTGGAGGCTTACAGGTAGCTGTGGACGCCTGCCAGGTGGTGACAGCTGGAGGCTAATTAACTGGGTGCTGCTCACTATCCCCACTACTGAGCCACACATTACCTCCTATGGACTCCAACGGAAAAAACATGCTCCGTAGACTCTTTAGTGAAATATTTTAAAAACACAAAAATGAAAACCAATCCTTCAGGTCTTCTTGAAGAATTCGTGTGTAACACTAGAGGGTACCCACATTTATCCTGTAACAGCTACTGAGAGGACACCGTGCTCACGTCTCAACTTTGCCGTAAGTCCCTTCGGGAGGCCTGTAATGCCTGGGGAAAGCCTTCAGCTGCAGGGAATTAAATGCATATTTGCGACTTCCAACATTCTTCATTGTATTTTCTCTCCGACAACCCTCACTGAGGAAAAAAACAAGCACAAGAAATGACAGCAGTAAAAAAGGAAAAAAGAAAAGACTTAAACTAAGATGAAATGAATCATTTTCATAGCATTAAAAAAAAGTTAATTTAAATGGGTGCCGGACTCGTCTACGACAAATACACACAGAAGATGGCGGGTTTCTGAACGAGGCAACTAAGAAGCACAGAGATGGATACATGCTGAAAGGGGCTGGGAGTTTTGCATTTCTAATGCAGTGCTGTACCCAAATGGAAGCAATTATTTTTAAGTTAATATCTCATCCTGTATCTCAAGCCTAGTTATCTGGTTCAAAGGCTGTATCACATAGCAAATTAAATGGGACAAGAACTCCTCCTCCTCTTACCAAAGTCTTTAACGAGCTGCACTTCTGCATGTTAACAACAGTCGTAATCATATCAAATGCAACATGCTGATTTTCCCTGCAGAATCAATCCAGTATGTAGCAAAGCCATCTGGCTAAGAAGGCTGTCCTGACACCCACCTCCACCTAGGGGCCAGCTGTTCTAGGGTAAAGGGACCCCACGGGCCATGCACTGCACGGCTATTGGGGCTGGGGCTGTGGCGGAGTGACCCCACTGAGGTCACCTGGTAATACCAGCCGCCTTCTCTGGGTAGACTGCCCTCACTGTGGGCACCTCAGGTGCCAGGGGGAGCCACAGTGCTCTTCCCTAGAGAACTCAGTACCAGAATCATCTTCAGGCTGCTCTTGATGGCAGGTTGTCATGGCAACCCGCTGGCAAAACAGATGGTGCTGGGAGGATGCATGGGCAAGGCAGACTCACATTCTCAGTGGCAGAACTCAGGGGAATTCTCTGGGAAAGGTCCTGGTGCAGACATAAAATTAATAGGCAGAAGCAATTCTGAATGTAAATGGCTTCCCACAGCACAGTGTGACTTGGTACTGTTACCTTGTTCTAACATTGGCAATGAAATCAACTAGTTATCAAGTTTAGTATAAAATCCCCCTTATGAGATGTAAAATTTGCAGTTACAAAGAAACAGTGATTTAAAAAAAATACTTCAAATTGTATGAAGACCATTATGTCATGCATTTAAAAAAATATCAGTGGCAATTGCTCAAGCCTTGTAAGTGAAAAGGACAGTCTCATTATCAAGAACATGTAAAAGAGTTTTTGGTAAGACAGTAATTTTTATTCAAAAGATAAGCTTGAGTATTTTTTTAAAAAGTATCCACCTGATTCTTTTAACTAACATAGTGACTCAGGTGTGCTTCCTTGTCCCAAAGCCTCAAGCCCTCAGCTGGATGTGTGTCATCTAAGCTGAACACTTGGGCCACATGAGCAGGGTCCCCAGAGTAAATAATGATCATGTTTGTATAATATTCAGAAATCACAGAAAAATATAATTCTATTTAAAGCAGAAGCTGTAGGCTCCTACACAGTTAATATCCGTTAACCTTTGGAAGCTCTTACATTAATGGACTATTTCAGATATGGCTTCTCCATTTACATAGAAACATACAAACATCTCAAAAACTGCCTGTCACTAGTAAATGCCAAACTCCCTTGAGGAGCAGGAAGAATAATTTGGGAACTTTTATGTTCTCCTGTATTTACATGTGAAAGGAGCTAACCCCTGGTTTAGCTGGCTGAACAGATTATACATGAAATTATAATCAAGATTATACTGTCATTTCAATTTAGTTATAAATCAAATTTTTTCTCCCAAGTATTTGCATTTATAAAATCTGGCTGCTGTGGCTGATCTGGTTGACAGTAACATACTGTCAGTGGTCACCTAGTTCCATGAGCTGGCACTAAAGCTGGGGACTGCATATGCTGAGATGATCTGGGATGGATTTTAATTATTCTGAAGCTACGTGATTTTTAAAATCCTACCAGCAAGTTATTAATTTTCAAGGATTTGGATGGAAACCCTACATGACAATTAATTTTAAGGGAACCACTGGCCTCCCTTTCCAGTAGGGATCAGTACCTCAGAACTCATCTGGAGACCTCAGAGCCTCAGCGATTCCACATCAGACATGGGGAGTTGCCTTGTGGAAGGACAGTATGCCCATCTTTTAAGATCTTGGCTTGAACGAGCCCCCAGAATAAACAGTGACAGTCACACTAGTTGAAAGAACTGGCACCATCCAGTGGGAACTGCTTCTGAGTGTGGTTCTCTGATTCCAGAGGGATGACTTAATGCCGAGGTCTGGGTGGCTGGCGCCTAGGATGCCTCAATGCCTCGGCACTGGATTGCTTCTGAAGCATCACCCATGGCAGTGCCTCCTCTGTCCTGAACCAAACCCCATCCCTGCTCCATCCGGCCTGATTCTCACTAAAGCAGAGAAGATTTTGAAATGTATTTGGCCTGATTTCATGAGCAAAAAGCCTTAGTGACATTTAAAATTCAGCATAAAAGGAGAGTGTCCCGAAAGAAAACAAGCTAGCTTCCCCTCCTGCCTAGGCTGGTATCATGGTGCTTCCTAGGATCAGTCTTCCATGACTGGAGGCTCCTAGAAGCGACTGGAGGAGACGGAACACCCCATCCTCCCCTCCTTCCATTCTCTCTCTCTTTTAACCCAACAGCCACGCCTGTGCTGGACAGTAAGGTGTTGCTGGCACCATGGCTGGCGAGGATCAGGCCTTGCTGTCCTGGAGGCCCCCTCAGAGGGTTCCTCTGGCCGCCACAGCTCCCCTTTGCTATGAAGTGGGGTTCCGAGAGGAGCCCCTGCAAGGTGCCATAGAGCACCTGGGCTCTGCGGGAGGGAGGGCGCTGTGTGTAGTCAGAGGGCCTCCCTCCTCTCCGCCCGGCCACTAGCTCCACCCTGGAGGTAGGCGTGTGCATGGGCTGCCACCACGGGCATCAGGATGCATCGCCCAGATGGGAACAGGAGGCTGTGGGGGTCCATTTTCTCACTTTCAAATGAAGCAAATAAAATGGCCTTAGAGAGCTGAAGTACATACCTTGAGGCAAAAGAGGGCAAGCATCAAACACCTTCCAGAGAAACACAGACCGGCAGGACACTGCCTAGTGACTAGTGTCAGTGTGCTACAGCACAACACCACCCCTCAGCTGGCAGGCAGTGAACCTTCACTGGAGGATGCAAGGAACCATACTTATTCCAGAGGAGACAAATGAACTCTCCCATGGTGTGACAGAGGTGACACATGTCCTTGGAATCCTGCCAGTGCTGGGGGATCTAGAAAGAAGGGCATCCTTGGGATGTGGCTGTGATAAAGATGGTCTTACACTATATCAGTTGGATTCTGGCCTTTGTACTACTTCTGTGTTTCCTAGTGTGCAACTCCAGGCTGATGCTAATTCAGAGAAGCCCCAGAGTAAGGGCTGGAAGTCTTGGAGAGAGGAGAGAGAGGCCAGCTTCTGTAGTGAACTTTTTTTTTTTTTTTTGTGCACCAAGGCATTAAGGTTCTGGGAAAGCCAGATTCTCTAATTCAACCCAGTTTTTCCAGAGTGGTAAAAAGAAATCCACTCATAAAACACAGCATATGGGGAAGTGACTACCTCCAGTGTTCCAATGCTGGAGGAGCAAAACCAGAAGCACAATATGATATGAACTGAACAAGAGAGAAGCCACTGTTTCTTACACAGGGCGTGTGGAATTTCCCCAGATTTATGTGGTCACCTTTACAAATGTGATGTCAATCTCCTGCCACACGTTGAACATACTGTTTTAGGGACACTGAATGTTAAAATCAACCAGAAACCACAGTGACCTCTCTTCTCAGCTCCATCTGCCACAATTGACCAAAAGTTAGACTTTCCATTTTTTGGTAGTTTTCCTTTGATTAGTTTTTGTTCATTATTAACCATATTTGATTAGTAAGAGAGAAAAGCTTTCTGAATTTCAATTTGGAATTAAAGATATCATTTTAAAAATGAAAAATGATATCTCAAGAAAAATAAATGTATATGACTTTAATGGCCTTTTGTTATTCTGTGCATGAATTCTTGGAGCCAGTTTTAATGAATTTAAAGAGTCAAGATGAACCTGAGTCTCGTGCCGTACGTAATCTTCATGTGCCTGACTTGGTACAAGGTGTTCTGTGGTCACAGCCTGTTGTTACCCCAATAAAAAATAATAAACACAAGCAAGGAGATGTTAGGATTCTGCAAACTGTTTGCTACTATAATCCAGGGACTACGCTTTGAAATGAAAGCAGAAAGTACATGTCCTATTAAATAGGTTAACTAGATGAGCCAGTTATAAAGCATCTATATATGTCTTTTCATTTTTCTTCAAAAGGAAAGGAAAGTTTTGCAGTACACTTAAAGAATAGTATCAAATATACAAATATTTCCAGACAGAACTCCTTTCTCTTGGAAATAGGGCACATTGAGATGTACAGGTAATAAATAGTTTTACATCAGAGGGTAAGAGATCTGGTACAAGTAATTGCAAACCAGCTAGATTAACGCAGGAACGTTAGGGTACCATTGAGAACATGTTACAAGCACTGAAGACGCTATGTGATTAAATGAACAAGTCCTCTTGATGAAATAATTTGGCAGGTATTTACAGTTGAGAAGACAAAACGTCAAACTGTAAGGCATGAGATATTTCTTGGCAGACCACGCTCTGACACCTTCCTTCTGTCCATTTAGGTACTCGGTGGCTGGACATATTCGGGCACTTTTGTTTTTCTTGTGACTTATTAATTTTTCATAATGATATTCATTTGCAACGCAATTTGGTCACCAGGTATGCTATGCTCAGAAAGAGCCACACAATCAGTAAATTGGGGCTCAGAGCTAATAAAGGAATGGAACAGAGGAGGCTGGGGTCTAGCCTTAAGTCTCGGATGGGCACCAGGCCGCTCAAGTTCTTCTGGGTGACTACCTCCCGTGTTCCAATGCTGTGAAAAGGAAAAAGTTTGGGAGAAAGGAAAAGAAAAAAGGAAAGGACGAAAGAAAAAAGAGACACGTGCGATGGATTTTACCCAAAAGTATGGAAAAAAAGAGGAGAACCAAAATATAAAACAAAAGGAAACAATGGAATGGAGCCACAACAAAAAGAAAAAATGATATCAGAGAGGGGATGAAAGGAGGACCAAACAAAACCAGCACAGTTACGGGAAAAGAAAGGAGAGAAAGAGAAGTGAAAATAAGAAAAAATACTGCAGTTTACTGAAAATAAACACATGTAGGTTGAAACAATGGTTTTCCATGTTCACCCTCTCTCGGTTGGCCAAGCACAGCTCCATGCCGCCCACCATGCCCCACATGCTGCAGACGGGCATTTCTGAGACGCAAGCTGAACATGAAGAACCATGGGGGTTGACCTTCTCACAGATGCCTGAGCATCAGCTGGCACGACACAGCAGGCCACAGCTGCCTCTTGGTTAACTACACAAACAAAAACCATTTACCCAAGGTTCCAAAGGAGCGTCCTCCCCAGACCCACCCTGTCGCAGGCGAAGCAGTGGCAGAGCCTGAGCGATGGTGCCTCCAGTTTGCACACATCTGTTTTATGTGCTAACTCCTGAGAAGGAAGTCCAATACCACGCTAGAAATTTTATCTTTCCCCCTTTTGTGCTAAAGAAGAAATGTACCGGGGGCTGGAGGTGAAGGAGTAGCTCAGGGGTATAGCACTGGCAAGGTGCTGGTGCTGGGTTCAATCCAAAAACATGAAAAATAAATGCACCGAGATGAGATGGCACCTAGGACACCAGACTCCAGAGCCACAGACACATCCACCAAGTAGCAACAGTACAGAGCCAGAGGCCCCAGGGCAGAGCAGGCAGCCGGGAGCGTCCATCTGGAGATGAGGAGGCCCAGGGCCAGGGCCCCTCCTAAGCTGAGTCCTCTGAGCTTCCCAGGGAGGCCCTGCTGGGATGTGCTGTCCTGGCAGGGAATGCTCTCCCGGCCGGCACTGGCTAGTGGTCTCATTTCCTGCCAGTACAGGCTGCTGGGTCACTGTGGCTGCTCAGGAAGGTCTGCTGTGTAAGGGTTCCAGCCCCAGTGGGCACAGAGGAACACCACTGGTGTGTGCTGTACACTCCCAAGGCTCCAAGAACTGAGTGTGTGACTCTCCTCCCAGCTCTGTGGTCACAGGTACCACACTCAAGGCTTGAATGGGCCCCGGTAGAGTTATTTATGCCACAAAAAGTGGGAAACACTACAGATCAGGTCTTTTTTGGAGAGAGCTTGTCACTGGACGTTTAAGCACAGTGCTGGCCACCACCCTCAGTCTCCAGGAGTCAGTGGGTGTCAGCTTTGCTCCCCCTGCATCCCACTTTCGCATGCCACACTATTCCATCTAGTAAAATGTGAGGGAGGGAGCAAGAGAACCAAAGAGTTCCCTCTACTTAAGGGCACAGAGGTTGTCACTGCCTTCTCAGGGCTCTCAGGTGACCTGTGGGTACTGGTGATCACAGAGCCAGATGCCAGCTAGCAACGCAGCCACTCAGGCTTGCAGTCAGCTAACAGGTACATGTCTCCTCCACAGTGGACGATCAGCAATCAGAGTCAGGCATGGCAGTGTCACTCAGAACAAATGCCTGGGACACTCGCTGCCTGTGAGAGCCTGAGACACTGCAGGGTCAGCGCTCTGTTTTATTTTTAAGACTTCTTAAATAATTATTAAAGTAAGACATGTTCGCTGTAGAGATTTTAGAAAATTCAGAAAAAAATGAAAATTTAAAAAGACGTCTGTCACTGGAAGCAGAGGAAGGTCAAAGGAGTGGCACCCATCCCCTCTGAAGAGGGTCCATCTCTGTTCAGGATCTCAGGTCCCCTCAGGAGTAGAGAGAGGCACCCTGACTACAGTCACTGAAGTGCTGGGAACAAGGGCAGTGATGACAGTTCTCAATGAGGGTGGTGGGTGGGCACCAACCCCGGGCAGAAGTATGACTGGTCTGGGAGCCACTTGCCAACAGGTATCAAAACTACTGAGAATCCTCACAAAGATTTATGCTTTTTAATCTAAAAAATCAATTTGGGGGTTGGGGTTGTGGCTCAGTGGTAGAGCGCTTGTCTGGCATGTGTGAGGCACTGGGTTTGATTCTCAGCACCACATATAAATAAATAAAATAAAGGTCTATCATCAACAACGAAATATTTTTTAAAATCAACTTGGAAAATGCAGGTAGGAAAATATATAAGGATATTCACTGCACTATTGATTTATAATGCTGTCAAATCATAAGCAGCTTAAATAGTCAATAAAAAATTAGATTTATCATGATGTGTCAAAAGGGATAAGATCTATATTTATTAACCTGAAAAGAATGCTCACAATAATTAAATGAAAAAAAGTAGTCTATAGTCAGGGGTGGAGGCCAGGCCTATAACACCTGACTCATGAGGCTGAAGCAGGGGGATTGCAAAGCTCAAGACCAGCCTCAGCAACTTAGCAAGACCTTATCTTAAAATAAAATATAAAAAAGGGGGTGGGGATGAGGCTTTGTGGTTAAGTTCCCCCAGGTTCAATCCCCAGTACCAAAAAAAAAAAAAAAAAAAAAAGTGGGGAGACTGTGCATATAACTGCATTTGTTTGTGCATATGAGTGTATTTGGCTTATGTGTTATTCAGGGACTAATTAACCAAGGTATGCATTAACCAGCTCACACCCGCATGTATGTATGTATGTATCCATCCATCCATCCATCCATCCTAAAGAATGTATCTCAGTTGTTAACATGGCTATTGTTTAATAGTAGGTATAGAGGGTTCTGCAGGCTGTGTGTTTGTGTTTTCTAATTTTCCTACTAGGACTATCAATTACTTATGTGATTAAGAGTTATAGAAATTACTTTGTGTGCTGTAATAGTTGTGATAGCTATCCTGGTCTGGGGATGTAGCTCAGTGGTACAGCATATATGCTTATTAGTGTGCTTAAAGTTTGTGATAGCTATCCTGGTCTGGGGATGTAGCTCAGTGGTATAGTGTATGCTTATTAGTGTGCTTGAAGTCCTGGGTTGAATCCCCAGCACAAAAACCAAAATAAAATAGCTGTCCTGCACGAAAAGCCCCAAGTGGCCTTGGGGTGGGCGGGGTGGCCCTCCCAGGTATAGGGCTTGGCAGGCCCTTAAGTTAAACTGGGTCTCTCTCTGGGGTCACTTTTTCCCTGGTCTCCTGAGACCCTGATGCTCAGATGTAGTCAGAATGGATTGTTGGTTTTGTTGAAACTGTTCACAAGCTCAAAACTGGAGAGCAACAGGCCTAATTTGGGGCTGTAACGACCTACTCAGTAGACCTGACCTGGGCTTGGCCTCCACAGCACAGGGCCCCTGTCTGGCTCTCCGTTGCCTTTCCACTGGCAGAGGACTCCAGCTCCTGTGCCCTCTCCCCACACCCCACAGCTCCTTGAGTGCGGGATGGCTACCAGGCTGTAGCACCAGGTCGCCTTGGATGGACGTGGAGCCTGAAGGACCCTGAAGCTCCTGAACACATGTCCTTGATCAAAAAAATTTTTTTAAATTTTTTTTTAAAGTGCTCCCAAGCAGGGGTTTTCCGAATCTCCACTGCTTCTCCATTGAGGGGCAAGGGATGGAGAGATGGACTGACCTTAACAGAGGCTTAGATGAACTTAGACAAAATGATGCCATTTTTACAAAATGCTGTCCTCAAGAGGCAAGAGCTCATGCATCACTTTTGTGCATTATTGTGAGAAGGTCAAATGTCAGAAACATACAGAAAGGATAAGAGAGAATCGAACACTTTAAAGAATTTGGTGAGAGGACAAATGATACAGAACACTCAGTAGAAGTGACCGTTGGAAACGAGACTTTAACAGCATTGGTGACTACATCGAAGGAGACAGGAAAGCCAGGTTTCTTATCCTTTCTTTTGGTATGTGAGGTAGGGCTGCCCAGCAGTGCTTGAAACAAGGCATCGATCAACAGTGGACAGTCTGAGTTCTGGGTTTCATTCTGCAAATACGCCTGCTGCCTCAGAATCAGGACGTCATTAGGGGGACGTGGCCAGGACACACTGACAACTGTCACCATAAAACACTCACTGGACACTTTGCTCATAAAAGCAAACTGTGCCCACTGCTCAAGAGGAAGCAGAGCAAACCAGTGCAACCTGCAGACGTGTCTCTTCACCCAAGTTTGGAAACACATAATGTACATATGGAAGGCACTGAAGATGACCCACTCGGAGGCCAGAGCCACGCACAGGGTCCCCTACAGAAACAGAAGAGGCCTGCAGAGAAAGCACAGGCCCCAAGACCCACCCACAGTCAGGCATGTGGCCTGGGGATGCCACAGGTGTCCCTCCTCCTTAATTGCCCGCCCTTCTGCATTTCAGTGCAGTCCTGCTCAGGAAGACGGCAGCTCCTCCCCATCAACTTATGAGAACAAGAATGCTGCCTGAATTTGACAGGGCCAATGGTTTGACCAATGGTCAAACTCTAGTAGGTGTCCGCGAGTGCGGGCCCGGCCAGGCGCGGCTCATCTGCAGCTTACACGGGGAAGGGCGGGCAAGCAGCCCGCAGCGGCACTCACCTGCGCATGCACTCCAGGGCCTGCGTGAAGACCTGCGGGGCCATGCCGTGCTCGTGCTGCAGGATCAGGCACTGCTCCAGCGTCACCGACATGGCCGTGCGGTCCTTGGCACTCTTGCAGCTGGTGAACCGGACCCCGTTAAGGCGGCGGCAGATCTGCCAACAGGAAGCAGGCTGTGCTGAGGAGGGGACACTGCAAAGGGGAGCATATCTGCTCCCAAGGGGGCTCCCCACAAGCCTGGCAGGGTAGCTCCATGCCCAGTCCCAGCAACAGGAACCAAGTCACCTGCAAACAGGTGCTGCTTGGAGGCCCTGCTGCCCCAAGGCTCTGTCTTCATGGTGTCTTCCTGTTCCTTGAGTGCTTTCTTCCTGTCCTCTCCCATGGGACACGCCTCCCAAGCCCAGCTTTCCTCCCTCTTGCAGTATTACTGCTCTTCTTCGACCCTCCCAGCTGTCCCCTTCCAAGCCATCCTGGGACCTTCCTGGCATGTCTAGCCCTTTACTGCCAGCCCCCAAGCAGAGAAAGCATTGAAGATGACCACACAGGGGAGGCCAGAGCCACTCACAGGGTCTCTTGTTGCTGGCCAGGTCTCCAGGCCTCGGGAAGGCAGGGACAGACCCATTGGTCTCAGCTCTCCTTTACCCACACAGAGGGGAACAGCCCAGAGAAGCCACTTCCAACCACAGGCCCTTCTCCACTCCCACCTCCCTCAGGGTCCTGGGCACAGGGTCAGACACCAACAGATCCCTCCCAGACTGCTCAGTCACGTGGGTGGAGCATGGCAGCCCCAGACTGGGACAGGTCACTCTGCACCTCTTCTCCCAGTGGGAAGAACACTGAGGGCACTTCCTTTGCACCAGTAGATATAGTCCTAAGTTCACATCCCCAAGTCCAGTCAGCTTTAAAAGAGGAAAGAGGCTTTTTTTCTTTCTAAGTTTATGGCAGACTCTCTTAGCAGTACAACCAGACCTGAGCTGATGAGAGTATTTATACTTTTTATATGAATATTCATACTTCTCAATGAGGAAATATAAATGATTCTATGGGGCTGCCCCAGACTCTCCCAAGAACAATAAGGCACAGTGGGCCCATCTGGGGAGTCAATCAACTGCAAATCAAAAATACCAAAAGAAAAACTGCCTCTATTCTGAACATGAAGACTTTTTTCCTGGTCGTGACCATCTGCACAGTGTTCACACTGTACTCAGTGTCATAAGTCACCTAGAGATGATTCAAAGAGCACAGGAGGATGTGTGCAGGTTCTATGCAAATCCTACACCCTTTATATTATATAGAGACTCAGCAGAGCATCCTTGGATTTTGGTATCTGCAAGGGGCCCTAGAACTGATCCCTCACAGTGCCATGGGATGGCTGTATTTATATGCACATATGTATTAGGTATATTATACATGTGTATACAACTTTGCACCGTATTACTGCCCTAAAATCTGAAAAATCTGTGCATTTCAAAATATCTGGTCACAAGAAGTTTAGATAAGGGCCTGTGACCCTGTACCAGATACCGTACTGTGAGAGCAGGTCTGGCATTTAGTGAAAGATCACCTAAGCTATACAATGGTGGGCTCTCAGTTACCTGTTGAAATCCAGAAAAATATTAGAGTTATCATTGACTGTCCTGAAAACAGTGCTGCCCCTGCCTCTCAAGCCCGCAAAACCACTTGACATAAAAACAGTGAAGCCTTAAGAAACATGTTCAGAGAAAGGCAAATAGTCAAGGTCCTGGTTCAGATGAGACAATCAGGAAAAAAGGCTTCTTTTAAGATTAAAAAAAAAAAAAAAAAGACCAAAGTGACCCAAAACTAGCAAGGGTAAAACACAAATTTTGAAGTCATAATTGACAAAGTAAGGATGAACTTGAACTTGGTGAGCTCACTACATCCTATAGATTGTTGACTTCATGACTCAAATATGAGGCATAAGCTGGAACTCTAAATAGACTCCAAAACCATTTAAATGGCACTTGGAGAGGCGGTGCATCCAGAGCTGGTGTGCGTGCCCACAATGCACCTGCAGTGCCAGGCTGCTAGCCCAGAGGGCCATCAGCCAGCCCTTGAGCTCTGGCCAAGTCTCCCTTCTATGAACTGAAGGGTCACACCCGACTCAAGGTATTCCAGCTCTTTAGCCAGAGACTCTGCTCATATACAGAAATGAAAAGAAATACGATCCAGAGAAGAGAAGCTCTGGGAAACTTGGTACCTCCCGCTGAGCTCCAGGGCTGGGCGGGTTATGCTGCCACAACCTGAATTAAACTCACAACCTCATCAGAAGTGAATTGAGTGACTAAGTAGGAAACTGCTCTGAGACCTAGACCCAAAGCAGTGACTTGGAACTCCACAAGTAAAGTTATGAAAACATATTTGCAGTGTAAGTACTTGGAGAACTGCGATCAGAATGGCAATACAGGCAAGGACTGTTTAAAGAGAGCTGAGAGTCTATCACGGTCTCTCTTCAAACCCATCACAAGCCAAAGGAGGCGGTGAGGTTGAGCTAGTATGCACTGTGTAGGCTTCTGAAGGTGCTGCCTGCCACCAGCCTGGCTCCATGCCCCCAGGACAGACTGGCTCAAGCTTATCAGTGTCCTGGCAGCCCTAATGCAACCAACTCAAAGGCAACGTTCACCATTTCCCAGAGTCTCAGAGCACGTTCAGTTACTTTCTTTGTATCCTTAGGGAGGAATCTGCTCTCTCCACCCTGGTTCAGATTCCCACTGTCATTATTTTTGCTATGACGCTTGGTAGCAGGCGTGGCTATAACCGCTTCCCTATCACAGCAAGTACCTCGGCAGCTTGCCAGAGGATGTCCACGTTCTTATTCTTCCGGGCATGGACGTTCTGACCCAGAAACCGCAGCAGTTCTGGCAGACAGGTCTGACTTCGGGATCGAGGTAGACCTGGAAAGTAAGAGGAGTCTGTGGGAGTGGGAGCCATACCAAGGGTGCTGCTGCCAAGGACGTGGGAAAATGACCAATTCAGAGCCAAAGAAGAAGGGAGGGAGGTGCCGAGCAACTGGACATGGCAAGCCCTTGATTTCTTTCCCTGTGACATTAGTGTCACCTTCAAAAGTGTCTTCATTAGTGTCTCCTCTGAGCTCTCCCAAGGGGCTAGGGAGCAGAAGCTAAGGAACTATGGGGTACTATGGCCCTGGTACCTCTTCCAAGGGAGGTGGTTAGGAAGGAGTGAGGATGGTCCAGGTAATCTCCAGAACCTCTGCCAAGGACGGAGAACCTCTGAGCCAGGGTGTACAGACCACTGCGCAGCCTGGAAACCCTGGGGGAGTCTGGAATGTGCAGCCTTCCCCAGGGGACCTCCACCCACACCTGGAGGAACACATTTCTGAAAGACCTAGGAGCCTCTCCTTGCTCTAACAGCCTCCCCTCCCACCACGGCAGTCCCTTCCAAGGCCCCCTGAACCCAAAGACCTGTCAGATGGCCTCACCTAAGCAGCCTGAGACAGACAAAAATCAAGGAAACTGCAACCATTCCTGAAGGCCCTCTAGGATCTTCACCATTGGGATTACCAAAGACAAACAGCAGAGCTTCAGGTCAGCAGAGCCTCAGATCAACAGAGCCTGAGTAATCAACCAAGTCCATGGCCTCCAGGATCTAACCCCTCCATACCCACACAGCTCTCACCACACCCCAGGGGACCAGGATCCTTTGCTGATTGTTTCCTTTAGGGCATTGGGCAGAACCAGAGAAACAGGAAGAAGCCTCCTGCCTGTGAGAGCTCTGTCTAGGACAGAGGCCTTAGAAGCCCAGAAGATAAGGCTGGCCATAATCACCCCCCACGAGCAGCTGCAGCCTCCGCCTGGCCTCCCAGTGAACAGCTGCCCACCAGCAAACCACAAGGGCTTGGGGGACATTGGGCTGCAGGGGCTCCAGCATCAGCCTTCCCGATCATGATTCTCTCTGAAACAAAAGGGTACCTGGGCAATGCTCCCCAGCTTCCTGCCCTGCTCCTGTGCACCCCACCCTGGCTTTCTTCTTCAGTCCACTTGAACATCTCTGGGGCCTCAGCAACACCACACTGCCAACTCTCCGAAACACAGAGCTCCCCTTCCTAAGACCAAGCTATCTGCTCCCACCTGCTGCCCAGCCTTGGGTGGCCTTGGTCTCTCCTCCCCGCTGACTGTCTTGGTTTCCTGGCTGATGTGCTGAACCCCTAGTCCATGGCCTATCCCCAGTCCCTATGACAGACAGGGTAAGATGCTACCTGGCTTGACATGGCTCCTGGGAGACTCACCCTCCTTCCTCAGGTCCTCATCTCTAGGTGCACGCCAGAGCAGCACCCACCTCCCAGGGCTGCTGTGAGGATCAGATTAGATAATCCACATAGAGCAGGGGAAGAGGGCCAGACATGGCGAGGACCTGATGGATCTATCATTTTTTCTAACTGTGAGCACTGCTGAAAACCATGAGGGCGCCTCAGCAACTGGGTTGAGCCACTCTCTGCCTTAGTGACCGCCGCAGCTGAGTGCCTGGAGGGTCCCTGCACTTAGCTCCATCTGACCCTGGCTGCGGCGCGTTGGGATTACCATGGGGATCTGGGCCACACCGCCTTCTCAAGGTCCTGTGCTCCCTTTCCTGGTGTTCCTGCAGTTTGGGGAGACTCAGGCTACTCCACCTGAACTCAGGCATTTCCTCCATTCCACCCACACCTCTCTCTCCTTCCCTACTTCCCAGGGCACCTCTAACTGGGCTCTCCAGGACCTTGGTCTATGGCTGTCATCCTCTCACGTCTTCCAGCCATTCTCAAGTTCCTTCCTCAGGTGTCAAGCACAGTGCCAACATCCAGGAAGCTGCAGAGGTGTTTCCAACCTCCCCCGCCCTTGTCTTTCCAGGCACTGCCAATCTTTGGGACAGAGGGGTCCATTCCAAGGCATCACCATGTCACCATCCACATGATCCCCCAGACCACTCCTCACCATTCTGACTGTCCTGAGAGGTCACCAGGGACTCCTGTCCACCAGTCCAGAGCCTACCTGCACCCTCTTGCCCTCCCTATCTGGCCGTCCTGTAGAACCCCTTGTTCCCCATTGATATTGGAGCACGTGGCTTCCTCCAGGCCCATTCCCAGACCTGTCCTCATCGGGCCTCTCAGTGAGCTCAGCCAAAGGGCTTCACTGGGGTTCCAATCTGTACTTCCCATGGGCCATATGCCCAGGTCACACACCCAGCCAGGGCCTGAGCGTAGCTCGTCCCTGCCCTCCCACCTCTCCTCCCTGTGGGGGCGTCATTCCTGCTGCTGCTGTCTCTGCAATCTTCACCCAGCGCCAGACTCTGTCTCTCCTTATGCACTATGTTCCTCTCTTGCTCTGAGGTGCTGGCTTCAAACACTCCCTGTGGAACAGATGCTCAGTCTGAAACCTTCCTAAATACTTCCTCCTCTGTGCACACCCATCACGGTACCAGGTAAGACTAAAGAGAGCAAAATGCGATCTCAGCCGATATCTCCCAGTCTCCCAGGCTACCAGCCACCTGTGTCCTCCAATCCAATCAGCACATGGTGAACCAGCTGTCCCCAACCCTGCTTCCCACCTGAGCACCACCCAGCAAATACACATGCCTCCAGCTGGTCCCAAGGTGGTCCCTGGCCACAGTCCCTCCTAACAGGGTGGCATCCTTCACTGCCCAGGCACATGGGAATCAGGGCCTGGCACCCTTTCTTCATCTGGACATAGGCACTAATATGGACTTTTCAGGGCTGCTGTGGACTCAGTAGAGAACTGTGTGCAGGGCTCTCAGCCCATCAGAGACCTGGGAATGTTCACTGATTTACTACCATTTCCCAACTCCAAGACCCACTCAGCCTTCCAACAGAAAGCAACTGGAGCTGGCATCTTCCCAGCCCATGTGTTCTCCCCTCTCTGGGCCCCATTAGAGGAATCTGGCCCACCTCCAGGGCAGGACAGGTCTCCTTTAGTCCAGCGAGGGAGCCCATGGCTGGAGGAGTGCTGCATGAGCAGCAGTGCACTTCAGACAGGTGCAGGTCACACACACTCTCGGGTCTTGACATGCCTCACGCATAGCATGTGCTCAGTGAGTCAGCTGGACTGAATTCAGGAGACTCTCGCATGTAAAGGTTGTACTGTGCCCTGGGTTCCTGAGTTCTGAGTTGCCAGAGCCTTCTCTGTAGCCCTCTCTTCACTGGGAGCAGAGAGAGCTGTCCTCAGCAGAACTTACCTCCAGGGGATGCTACAACAGGAGCCATCTTGCTCTCAAGCGCCCAGCAAGGAGTATCTTGCCAGCACCTTACTTTCTAAGTACCATGGAGGAAGGTGTGTGGGCAGCTCAAACAGATTCCCTGGGCTGAGGGGGATGAGTCCTGAGTCCCTCATGCTCTCCCAGCAGGTGCACAGTGTCTACCACCAAATGTAGTCATTAGTGTCAGTGCTTCTGACAGTGTGTGGGAAAGCCCCACGTCATACACACTGGAAGAGAGACACAGCGGCTGCAGTACCAGGAGACTGCATTACCAGTGGGTGGGATCCGAGCTTCCAGCCAGGTGAACAGGCTGCCATGTATGTGACAGGTAAGGAAGGAACAGCTTAGCATGCGCACGCTTGTGCTCTGCGCCCCCGCCTACACACCAGCGAGGTGAGCCTGGTGGTATCAGGAAGGTCAATAAGCAGAGAGAACTCAGACATCCAAAGTGGTGAAATGGCAAGAGGCAGGGCCCATACCAGTGAAGGAATACTCACAATCCTCAGGCAAAACTTCCTTGAACTGTTCAAAGTAGGAATTTAATCGCACCAAACTCTCCACGTTGATAACTTCCTGTAAAGAGGTATCACCAAACCTTGGGAGGTTAAGGGAACACCATTAGTTGGCTCATGTTACTTTTTTCAAAAACATGCAGAATTGCATGAATGTGAACACATTGATTCTTTCTAACATTCCTTGCTCACATCTAAATTCTGAGCCACTCTCCTCCTTCTGAGCATGAAGTCATCTCTATAATGCTGGTGACCAATTTAATACAGTTTGTGGGCAGGAACAGTTTTGTGACTAGGAGGTTATTAGAACCTGACCTGTGCCAAACCCAAGGACTCAAAGGCCTGCTTTGTGTGATGTGGGCACAGCTGTTCAGTGCAGAGTCCTTGTGCCTTCCTGCCCCAGAAGTTAGGAGAGGGGATGGCAGTGAGGTGTGGCTGTAGAGTGAGGACAGCCCTGTACTCTGATCTGAAGTCACTCTGGGTCTGCCGTGGGACACTGTTCTCTGGGCTACCCGAGGCCCTTGCTATCTCCTGGTCACAAAGGGTCGCCTGAGTCCACCGCATGCTGCAAGCACATTTGTGCCCAATGCCTTGGGGAAGAGGGAGGGAACGCCACCTGCGAGAAGGCAGTCATTAAGAACTGTGGGCTCTGAAGGCCGAGACCTGGCGTCCCCAGCTCACCCTGCCACTTCCCTGCTGTGTCTTCCCTGAGCATCAGCCCCTTTGAGGCTGTAGGACATCTCTCTGAGGGCAGGTCTCCCTCTCGTGGGTCACAGCCCACCTACCTCTCGAGCCTGTGATGGGCTCTGTTTTCCTCTCTCTACCTGCTCTCTCTGGGGTCACCCACCCCTGGGCCTGCTGACTCCCTTCTCTGTGAACTCTTTCCACAGCTCATAAGTAAGCACGGTGGGCCAGTGCACCAGGCACAAATGAAGGAGCCAAGCCAAGACCCTGCACCTCCACCTCTTCCCTGTCCCCCGTCTCTCCTCCTCCACTTTGCCCTCTGCTGCATCAGCTGGCCCTGCTTCAGCATTTCCAGAAATGGCTCAACAGCTGCTGGGTGCAGGGAACATTCCTGGACACCTGCAGCTGGGGTCCCTGTGAGAGGCCCACTCTCCCGGAGGTGGGCTCCTTTGCCTCTGTACTCTGGCCTCAGAGGGGTCTGCTTCCTGCCCTTGCCTCAGCCCAAGCCCAGCTCGCCATCTGCAGGGAACAGGATGGACACACTGCCTCTCTGACACACCAGTCTGAAAACCAGCATGTCACTGGTCTGCTTGCCTCACTGTCACGCAGCCTGGGGAGAGGCTGTGTCCTTCCACTACCCCCGTCGTCCTCCAGCCAGGCCCTTCTCAGAGCACCTGCATGCCACCTCTGCGGCCCTGATCCATGGTACTGCCCATGCCTGCCTCTATCCAGCAAGCTCATCACACATGTCCCTCACGTGTCCTTCCAGCCATGGCCAGCAAAATGACCCACTTGACATGTTAATCTGATTGTGTCCTCCCCGACTACAAGTCCCGCAGCATTTCCCACATGGCAGAGCACACTTGCTAAGTGGGGGTGACCCAGACCTAGGGTCCATAGGTCTGTGACCACTAGGTACCAAAGGGCCTTCATCCTGGAGACTGAATTCCTTTAATAGCAAGTACTTTAAGATGTCTTTTTAAGTTAAAACACTCATGTCACATGAATGCGAATGGTACACGAGCAAGATGTGCATTTACTAGTGGAAGGCCACACCACATGCCACACAGGCTCGCTCACTCCTTCCACTCCCCACTTGTGCAATGCCAAGGGATTCTGGAGGAGAGTTCACAGGCATGACTCCTGGTTGGGCACAAAGGCCTTTCCCCTCGCCACTGCCAGTCCCTGCCACAGACAGTGCCAGACCCCATGCTGCTTTCTCCCGGCCTTTGCTCAGCCTTTGCTCAGCCTTCCTGGCCCGAGACAAGCTGGTCCCTCCTCTACCTCCTCGTGTAACACCCACTCATATTCAAAACCCACTTCAGGGGCCAGCACTGTAGCTCAGTGGTAGGGCACTTGCCTAGCACACGTAAGGCCTGGGTTTGATTCCCCAGCGCAACAAAAATGCCCACTTCAGTTAAATAAATAATGCCCACGTCAGGCACTGCCCACCTCCTCCTCTGCAAACCCTCTTAGATCATGTTGTGTGACCCGACTCAGGACCCATAACTGCCTGCATTTATCTTCATCATCATCTCCACACCTATCTCTGAGAACAGAGACCACGCATGGGTCATCTTAGGGGAGATGATGACAGTGCTGGGTCAGGGCTAGTGTGAAAGCATCCTGGCTGATGGAAGGGAGGATGAGCTGGGAGCCTGCAGAGGGGCAAGTCCACATTCCACATCATCTCATGATCATTCCAGGCACTCAGGCACTCAGGAGTGTGGCACACACCTCTCAGCCAGCGTCTGCTGCTCGTTGATGCCCACATTGAAGAGGACAGGCTGCACCCGCAACAGCATGCCACTCTGGATCTCCCGGGGCAGGGCGTCAAACAGTGGACCTGGCAGAGGGATCCGCACGTTAAACCCATCGCTGGAAGAGAGCAGAGAGAGGAAGAGCAGGGGTGAGACCCAGGCACTGGAGGGCTGAGCAGGGACCCCAAGCATCCCCCTCGTGAGGCTGTGGGCAGCCCCTCTGGCTCAGTGATGTCCAAACCCCCAGCCAGACCTTTACAGGGGGAAAAATTAACATGGGATACCTTGACCAGTGCTTTTAAGACAGTGAAACAGAATAAATATAAAACAAAGGGAGCATGCATCCCACAAAATAAACATGACTGAAAAAAAGTGCTCTGGATTGAAGAATTCTGAATAAACATTTCTACCGATTTCCTGTGATGACGGGCAGCATGTCAGTTGATGCATTAGAAGTGGCCTGTGTGACTTTAAAGGTCACATTCCTCAAGTCCATGATCCCAAGGCTCATGTCCTCCAGCATTGCCAGCTCCTCACCTAAACATGGGGGGTGGGGAGGAGGCTGTCAGGCAGAAGGGCCTGCCTCTCTCCCCACAGACTGTGCAGAGGAGAGGTGATGAACTCAGGGGTACGGACATGGACAGGGACTCCCTAAGCCCCTTCCCCAATGACTCACTGCTCTGTGAGTCCACAGGGCAGCTGACCCCCATGCCCACACTGCAGGCACAGCTGGGAAACACACTCTTCTGTGGTCAAGCCCAGGATGGTGAAAGGGGAACAGAAGCACACAGAGCTCAGGAGGCAACTCCAGCTCAGAATGGAGAGGAACTGCAGGCAGGCTTTGCTACGGCCACAGCTTCCAGTGCACTGGGCTGGAGGCCTATTAATTGTCCTACAGTTTCAGAGACTAACAAATACCTTTAAAAAAGGGCCCATTTTCATGGCTCAGAAGACATCAAAGGAGAAGAGAGCCCCCCCAGAGCGATCTGGAAGTCAATCTTAACTCTGAACTCTCCTGCCCTTTGACCCCACTCTCCTCCTGGTGATTTAGAGGCTGCAGAACTGGGCTCTCAGTGCCTTCCGTGTCACGGGCATCAGTGCATAAAGGGCTAAGTAGAAACAATTCAGAAACAACCAAGTACTTGGAAGAAGGGCCTGGGGAGAGAACACCATCCATCCTCAACCAAAAGGATCTTCACCACCAATAGCCAGGGACAGGGCGAATGTGCGACTGTTCAGACATCCACCTGGTTCCTGTTACGTGTTCTGAAGGTGTCTGGTTCACTGTAATATCTGGGAAGAAAGGCTGGAACCACCGCTGCCCCGGGGCCCACACTCACCGTAGGTGCTCAGCAGGCTCTCGAACTGCGCCAGCAGCCCGATGGTGTAGAGCTGCCGCAGGAAGCCGTCGTCATGCAGGCAGTTCCTCAGCTTGATGATGAAGCCGCAGATGAGTGCGGTGAGCTGAGGGGCACATGGGGATCGCGTGAGCCCTGGGCCAAGCTCCCGTGTTTCCACCGCAGCACCTCCTGTCCCTCGAGCCGTGGTGCGGATGCCCTGGCTCTGAGACCATAGTGGGCAGAGGCCATGGGTGGGCAGGGCATGTGACACTGGGGGCTTGCTGCACCTTTCACTCCAGAGGTGGGTAGGTTTGGGCCCAGTTTCTGACCTGACCTGCCTGGGTTACTCCTGGGCTGGAAACTTCTAGAAGCCCAGAATCAGTTTCCCATGAAAGGCTCTATCTTCTCAAAGATCCGCACCGACTCTAGAAACTGAGTCAGTCACAACCAAGAACAAAAGTGAAAGAAGGTGGCCCTCAGCTTCCTCAGCAGAAGGTGTCTATGGATGAAACAGGCCCTCAGCAAGGGCGGGGACCTGGAGACCCAGCCCACCCATGCTGCTGTTCTGATCTGTCAATTAGATTACTGGCATCTTTAACTTGTGACGCTAACACTTCACTGAAAGATAACAGAAATCATCAGAAAAAGTCCTGCGACAAGCCAGAAGGTGCTGCTGTTTATGAGTGAGAAAACAGACTGCGCTGACAGCGAACAGTCACGTTGCCCTTGCTGCATTCCTTTGGAGGGAAAAAAGAAAAAGATGGCAAGGAGGCCTCTGCTGCCTGCCACCACCTCGGAGCAGAGCCCACTGTCACTGCCAGCCCTTCAGGAGCAACTTGCACTACGGATGGAGCAGGCGTGCTCCGTGCTGAAATCCAGTCTGTTAGACCAGCTTAGAGAACGGCAGGTGGAGAGACACGGCCATGTATGCTGGCACAGTGATGGGAGAAGAAGGAGGGCCTCCCAGGCCTGTTTCTTCTGAGGTGGGAGTGCCCGTGACCTCCCGCAGGGCCCTCCCAGGGCTTACGGTTTGGCAGAAGACCACGTCGCGGCGGTACTGCAGGCTCAGGTAGGAGGCGATGGTGGGGGCGCTGTCCTGCATGAGCAGGAAGACCATGGCCTTCTTAGCCTTGTCGCTCATCATGGCCACGCAGTCTGTGAGGGTGGTCAGCAGTGGGTAAAGAGCCTCGCTCCATTCACCTGGGCACGAGTGAAGGAGTTTTGATTAGAAAAAAGATCTTACAAATTAGTGTCTGTAAATTAGTCGCCCAGCCCCAACCACTGATCTGTCCTCCCCTACCACCCTCAGCCCCTTCTGACCCTCCTGGCCATCTTAACTCTGACCCTCACTCCACTGTCTTTCCAGTAACCTCAACACCAGTTCTACTTGGGTGCTGCTTTTACACGCCTGGTCTAAAACTGTTGGGGACGCCCACCTCAGCACTCAGGACTGCCCTGCTGAGGAAAACAAGAATGCCTCCGGCCCTGAGGCGGCCAGAAAATGATGCTGTTCACAGAGGCCAAATTCCACAGCACCTCGGTTCCTCACCTGGGCTGAGAAAGACACCCAGAGAGGGAATCTGTATCTCACATCTCTTGACCACTGTAGAGACAGTACCCCCATCCTTCTGGAGCAAAGAACCAATTCTGTGACAGTTCGCCGTGTGTGTAACTGCTGAATTCTCGCCTTCTACACTCTTCCCGCGTCCCCTGCTTTTGTACTCAATTTCTTCCCTGTTCCCCACCTCCCTGCCCAGTGCCAACTATTTCTAGATTAGTTTTCTTTTAGAAATATAAGGAAACTTTGACCCTGGACTGGAACAACTTTTTAAAAATAGAACCTCAAGGGAGAAATCAGGGCTCGGGGCATCTTTGGCTCTTTCTTCCTTCCTGTTTAGAAGGCGTTTGAAAGAGAAGACATGCCCTCATCAGTTATATTTTTAACAGATCACTGAGTCCAGAAATAGTCATGTGCTCATCCCCACTTGGTGAGCCCAGTGCACCAAACAGGCTCAAGGCCCTGGAAGCACCCACCCTTTAGGGCTGAGGCCCCAGGCTGTCACCATGATGCAGAGGGCCATTCTACCTTTGATAAACAGACTTTAGAAGGCAGAGGGAGTGGGATATGGCTGTGCTCTCCCAAACTGTCTGACTAGCACTCTGTTGAGAAACTTACAGATAACACCTGGAATGTGCACAGGAACTTGCCTACACTCCATGTTTGGTTAATGTGGATTAAACGCATATTAACTGCTCAAAGGTTGGGAACTAACTGGAGGCAGGCATGTTGTATGTTGACAAGGATTTATAACCGTAATGGAAACAAAGCAGACTTAAATTTAGAAATCAGCAGCAGAAAGATCTCAGCAAATAAGTCACGGTGACAAAGAACATTGGACTGAGAAGTGGAAAATGTGAGTCGCGGGCCAGGCTTGTGCCGAGCAGTGGTGGGTGGCAGCAAGGCCTCCACCCTCAGCCGCGGGAGCCTCTTCAGTAACACACCAGCAGTGCTAGAGAATGTCTAAGTCTTTCTCCCTCTAGGATTCTCAGACACCAAGTTTTTGTTTCTTTGAAGAACTCTGTTGAACACATGACAACCATACCCAGGACCTAGCCATTTAATGACCAATAGAAATCAGGTTTTACTAGCCAAAAAGTTTGAGGAAAGCTAGGTAGTCACAAAAATTATTTTTCACTAAGAAATAAATGTGCTCAGAGCAAATGTTGCCAATTTTGTTTTTCCCGTTATCATACATATATAAGTAATATGCAAATATGATTATTTTAACCTGAAAATATTCAGAAAATACAAGTGGTCTAAGTGGTCTTAATTGACTTCAGATATAAGGGGCTCTTTCAAGTCCACACTCTGCTTTTGCACTTTTTGCTCATTGGGAGGTTCAGCAGGCGTGTTTCTACCCAGATCAAATACAGCTCTCCAGGGACTCCGGCAGGGGACCATGTTGTCCATTTAACATCCACTGTGAGAAGGCACTCGTGCCTCTGGAAACAACATGGCTGGCATGACCCAAGAGTCCTCCAGCCAGGCGCTGTCTGTGTGCTGACTTCCTTTCAGGTCGATCAACTTCAGGAAGCCTGGTATGGAGAGGAGTCTCTGAGTCTCTGGCAGGTTTACATGCCACCCGCTTTCCTGGTCCTCACTGTTCAGGGTGGCCCCGGGACTTTATCCTTGAGGCTCAGTGTAAAGACACCAGCCTTCTGCCTGCTGTGAAGGCAGGCTGAGGACAGAAACCCAGAGACAGAAATAAAGGAGGAGGATGAGGCCTGGGCCCAGGAGAAGCAATGGAAAGAAGGATCAGGGTGGACTGTCTGTCATCTACTAAGGCTCAGTGGCTGTGGTGGATGGCATGGGGTCTAACACCTGCTCAAGAATACACTGACTTTTGGGAAAGAGAAGCTGTGAAGGGGCTGAAAATAAATGCATTGTGACCAATCAATTAGTCCACTGAAGAACAACTTCATATGGGGTTCTGGGTTGCTAATAAGGAGTCACTTATTCACGCTGAGCTTATTCAGGGTGCTGTGTGAACAGACAGGATCCACCAATGAGTGACAGGAAAGGCTCAGTAAAGCTCATCATCATCAGTGTACCGTACTCTAGGGATAAAGTAAGTGTTCTTTCATCTGACATTCACATCCAGTGAAGAATATTCAATTATCAGACTGTAGCTTATTTATGAAGTATAAGAAACAAACAAATAATATTATTTGGGGGCTCATGCACACTCTGGGAAAACCATAAGCCATATCCAGGAATCTCAATATGAACTAGATCAGGGGTCGGCACACCTTTCCTATAAGGGTTGGACAATAAATATTTTAGGCTCTAAAGGACACAGGGTCTCTGTGGCAAGTAACTCAGCTCTGGCATTGCCACGCAAAGACAGCCAATGATAATGCATGGGCATCAACAGTGGGCATGAGTCTTTTCCAGTAAAGCATTATATTTATAAGAGCAGGTTGTAGACAGGATTTAGCTCAGAGCTCTAAACTCATGGACTAGTCTGCCGACTCCTGGACTAGAGCCATAGCACTGCATTTTACATGCAAATGCAGCAAAGATTCCATTTCTAGGGCTAATCCCAACAGAGGCCCATAGCTAGGTCTTATAAAATTGGTTTAAAGCTATATCCAGGATGCAGAGTGGTTACGAATGTTGCAACTTTCAGGTGAATACATATTCACTGACTGCTTCTTCAGAGTCAAGCTCAGAAGTCAGGTGAGCACACAGGAAGTATGAGTAATAGGTGTGTAACAAGCCAGGTCACCCACTTCAGAAGCCCATCAACACTCATAGCATTAATCATCTGCAAAGGTTTTAAGATGTAAAAGTTAAAAAAAATGCATGTAGTAGCCTTCCTGAGGCCATAATTCCCTTAGCCCAACCAGTCCCTCACCAATCTTCACAACCAAGAACTACTGAAACATTTTCCCAACTATAGGAGCATAAAGTAGTCTTTGATCACTTAGTCACAAATGCTACCTGAATGTTAAAAAGACATCGGCAGGAGCCTCGAGTGGAAAGCACGTACCTGGGCTGGACTCTTCAGGAGGGGGGCTGCAATCTGCACAGAAATGGAGGGCGACAGGGATGATTAAGGAACGGCACACAGTTCAAACACAAGCAGCTCAATCTTAGAGCAGCTGCATCAGCAGCTTGCAGTAAGGCAGCTAAGGCATAGGAGAAGAGGTCTGGGGCCCGTGCCTCTTCTCTGGAGCCTCGGGCAGGTCACCGCTGCTCCGAGCCCTCTCCAGTGGTGAGCACATGGTTCACCAGCACCAACACTCAGGTGGCTAATACATCAACACCAAATGCTCTTCAGGATGGGTGGACCAACAAGTATACTGTGAAACACATGCCACAGAACAATGAACCCACATCAAAGACACGGTAGTGATGGAGCCCCACGTTAGCTCACAACATCAAATGAGAGAGACTGACCAGCAAATGGAGCTTTCCTGAGTTGGAGCCCACTGCCCTGACTTACTGGGCAAGCCTGTGTTCAAGATCAACTTCTGCAATCCGAAACATTAAGACCCAGGAACGAAGCCAATGTACCAAAAAGAGTCCTAGGCCAGGCTTTCAGATTTCAACTACAGGGAAAAGCTGGGCCATCTGAGCAAGTATCTGATTAGGAGATTCTCCAGGTTTCCAAAGAATACCAATTTTCATTCCATTTCACCCACTGAGTCACACTGGGATGCCCTCATTTCAATTCACATTTCCCATAAAGCCCCTAACATTCCTGGTTAACTGTGCTATCTGAGGGGAAAAAAGTTTGAAAAGGTATCACAGGAGTAAAACTTCATTTAATTTTGTGCCAGAACATGTCAATCAAAGGATGTTCTCAGGATATTAAAATGAGGCAGCTTCAGATTCCCCAAACCAGCTTCTGGGACACTTCTATAACCTGCTGCCAAGTATCCTTCCCCTCCAATCAACTTTGGACATAGCTTCTTAAACTGGCAAAGGGGACAGAAGATATATATATACATATATATGTGTGTGTGTGTGTGTGTGTGTGTATATATATATATATATATATATTTGGTAAAAAAGGACAATGAAGGACCCAGGTCGGGCAGAAAACTGGAATGAACAGTGACAAAGCCTTTCCAAGGGGCAGAGTTGTTCTCCTAGAGTCAATCTGTTGGCATGAACACGACCTGCTCAATGGGCCAAAATGACCACCCCTGTGATTGGAAATGGTGTGAAAAGTCATGACAGCCATGCTCTGGCACTGGGGACACATGGATCTATTCACCAAATACATGGCTCATGGTCTCGTTCTTCCTGGGCTTCCTGACCACACTGGGGTCTGAACAGCTTCCTGGCTACACTGAAGGTTTCTAAGTTCAGGCCCACCCATAGTCACTTTGGGGGCACATGGCTTCCTACACTCTGAGTGCTGATCAGCAGAGTAAGGCTCTCTCAGGTGCATGCTTCACAACAGAGCTGATGCTGATGGCACAATGACAATCAAGACCTGAACAGTGCACAGATGTTCACTTAAATCACTTTATAACTGAATTTAAATGTGTTTAAACTATATCAGATGTGCCTAGAAAAAAGTGACATTTATATTATGGATATACAGTATCTTTTTAAAAAATATTGTTTTAGTACACACGAACACAATATCTTTTTTTTGTTTATTTTTTTAATGTGGTGCAGAGGGTGGAACCCAATGTGTCTCACGTGTATGAGGCAAGTGCTCTGCCACTGAGCCACAACCCCAGCCCTACAGCATCTTATTAAACAAACTAGCTCCTGATTTTTTAAAAAATCCAACAAATTACTCTTTTTATATCTGCAGAAAATTTTAAAATTACAAACAAGATTTTTTTTTTGTGTGTGTGTGTATGTGTGGGTGTTGCTGGGGATTGAACCCAGGATCTCACGCATGCTAAGGAAGCACTCTACCACTGAGCTACATCCCCAGCTGCTATAAACAAGATAATATTAAAGAGAAGTAATAAACTTTCATAAAATTTTAAAGAGAAACACAATTCACATTTTTAAAAAACCAACAATAAAACAAGACCACAATAGAGACAAATGAACACCATGACTCAATCACAGGTGTGGGAGGTTGAGGCCACAGTCCCTCATACATGGAAAAGTGAGTGACACAGATACTGTTTAACCAGAGGCCCAACAGGACAGTGCTCTGGAAACAGACTGCAGGTGGATTAAAGAGGCAAGAGCATTGTATACAGAAGAATCTATCAAGAGATGATTCTGCCTTGAATGGAAGGTGTCCAGTTGAGATTAAAGCTCTCATCCCAGGAAGCATAACCCTGGCATGTCTTGGCCTGATTCACGCAGCCTAATGCTCCCCCCCGCCCCCCTCCAAGAGCAAGCTGGGTCTATAGCCAGTTCCTAGCTGCCTGGCCTCAAATCCTTTCCAGCTCTTACAAGAAAGGGTGGAAGACACCTGGGAGGCAGGGACAAGGACCCACTCATTTAGAAAGCATGTGGTCCTCAGCTTTAATGACCTCCTTGGGGCAGAGGGTCTGGACATGCTCCGTGTGTGTGCTTTGAGGTGTGCTGCTCCATAGTACTGTCCCACATCTACTGAAGGCCCCCCTTGGAGGGTTGTGCTGAACAGGCAAACCTAACTCAGCCCCTCAGAGGCCCACAAATGGGGAACTGCCATCTGACTGAGCTACAGGTCCCCAGGAAACGGGCCTCTGCTGGTAAGAGTGCCTACCCAAGAACAGCAGCCTTTGGGCAAATCTTCGGGGCCTGCAGGCCTAGCTCACCCAGCAGTGACCCTGTAATATTCACCTTTCCCTCTGCTCTACTAGCTCCTAAAATGCAATAAACATCATATCAGGAAGGCATTCGCACCTCAGCTTCCTTCAACTTCTCAGGCTGGTTGACAAGCCTGAAAAGCCAGGGAGCCCTAAGCTTACCGTCTGGCAGTGTGACCCAGAAGGCCTGAGAGTCTGCCTTTGACAGATACGCAGACTCACAAGTGGGCTTCTGCTGCATGGAAGGGCCAAAGGGGCCTCTACCCTTCTGCCTGCTGCTTCGTGCACTGGGATGGCCCCTCTGCCTGACAGCCCTCCCTGCAGTCTGCCTGGGGCGGAAATAGAGTCAGAGACACAGACGACAGAATGATGTGGCATGAGGAGGTGGTGTGGGAAGCGTGGATGCATACGCACGTGTGCTCGGGTGAGGATGGCATGCAGCGGTGGGCATGGAGCAGGGGCATGGCGAGCAGGGGGCGTCACAGTGGGGGTCCTCCGGTCTGATCCAGTAGGCATGGCTGTCCCTGTTACCTTTCTTGCTGGTGCAGCTGCCTGCGCAGGGGAGGACGTCCTCACAGCCCGTGCCATGCAGACGCTCCTTCTGCAGCAGCTTGTCCACCCGCTGGATGATGCACTCCAGGCTCTTGTCCACGTTCAGCCACACTTTCTCCTTAAGAACCAAGAGGGCCGGTTAGGGTCAGCTCTCCCACTCACCCCCGTGCCCAGGCCACCATGTGCATTAGAACATCAACAGCTGAGAAATGGTAAGGTGACTGCTCATTCCCCATGCCTTATCTGCCTTCCAGAGACAGCAATGTCCTATGAGCACTGTGTTGGAAGTTTGAGAGATGATGCTGGTAAATCTATGTAGCACTGCTTTCCAGTGTCACCAGAGGGTCACAGGGTCACAAAAGAGCCAATCTCTTCCCTCCTCCCTCTACAGCAGGCTCCTACAACCACCAGGCACAGAGGACTAAGGTCTACTTCTGATGGAAGGGGATGGAGACAGCTGGTCCTGGGGATGGGGAGCTGGGGAGGAGACAGAGGGCTGGGGTGGTTTGCAGAAGACACACAGATCACAGGATGCCGGTGCAGAGGACCACAGTGCTGCTTAGTAATAATTCAGTGCTTCACAAAGCAATGCTTCAAATGACGATGATGCTGAACAATGTATCCCTCCCTCAGGAGACACAGACCCTGCTCTCAGGGCCAACTCTTGAGGAACAGCAATGTGACACAACATGTGGGCAGCAGCTCCAGCACCTGAGTTCCCACGTCTCCAAAAATACAGAAGAGGAATGGGTGGGCAGAGATAGATGAAGCTTGGTTGGTCTCAGGCAGCCAGCACCAGAGGCTGCAGTGGGCAGGGAGGGCAGGAAGACCAGAGAAGGCAGGGGCTCAGGGAGAAAACCTATCTCCTCACCAACCTGGGTGGAGACTGGTCCAGCACCCAATAGAGTCCTGCTGCCCATATGCACACAATGGTTTCAAAATAGTCTTTCTCTCTACATCAGGTGGCCCAAGAGCCATGTGAAAGACACCCTAGAGTTGACCCTCTAGGCACAGTAGAGGAGAAGAGACTGGCAACAGGTTCCATAGGTTGCAATCCAAGTTCAGAGGCAGGAAAACAGGCTGTAAACAGCAAACTCACCCATTCCTCCTCGTGCCAGTCCACCTGCAGGGAAGATCTGCTGTTCCTCCCTGTCCACCTGGCCATGAGGGTGTCCTGGTCGTTCCGAAGCATCACCTGCTCCTCCTCTGTCGAGGTGGGGGAAGCCTTGGAGGCGATGTAGTCAGGCCGTGCAGCGTTCAGGCCATGGATCGCATTGGCCAGCAGTTTGCAGTCGCAGACTGTGACCAGCTGCCGGGTCTGCAGGTACACAAGAGCAGAGCTGTGAGGCCTGCCTTCTCATGGAGGAGAGGATGGGCTAAGGCCTAGCCTCTGCTCTCTCCACAGTGCCAAGCAACTAGAGAGCTGCCTCCCCCAGAACGTCTGAGTGCAAAGGTCCCAAACGACTCAGCAGAGCCAAATCTCAGCAAGAACTTCCCATCAAGGATGGAGAACACAAGGAAGACGAGAGGAGACTGACATGTCTTTTCAGACACGCTTTGACCTGTCTCTGAACCTGCCTGTGAGGGGAAGGGCCTTCCAAGAGCCCCGTATCCCAGCTGACTTCCTGGGTTGCCCCTCTAAGGAGTAAGTCCTCAGAGCTCAGGCATTACTTTGATTCAACCATTTGAGACTTTTTGCTTTGCCTCTCAGCATATAAACCCAAGGTCCTGGGCTTGGGCAGCTGGACTATGGCACAGAATTTCTGGTTTTGGAAAATTTTGTACACAATGGGGATTCTGTGGTTCATAGAAATTTTAGAGCCAGGACCACATTTTTCTTTTCCAATGGATCTAATCATCATTTTTGCTGTGTGGACACATGTGAAGAATATAACACATCATCATCAGACAGCAGCTTGCTTGCAGCAAAGCAAGTGTGGGTGAGAATGTGTAATCAGAATGTACACGTATGTGCGCGCACACATGTATTGAGAGGCTGATGAAATCAAAAAGCATCATCCATGAAGGGCTGGGGCTCAGTGGTAGAGTGCTCACCTAGCATGTGCGAGGCCCTGGGTTGGATTCTCAGCACTAGGTATAAATAAATAAAATAAAGCTCCATGGACAACTAAAAAAAATATTTTTAAAAAAGCAACATCCATCAAAGGGTCTGATATCTCCACTCCTTTGCATGGACCAACATTTACATATTTTGTAATCAGGATCAAGTTATGGTTAATTAGAATGGGCTTACTGGCTACATATAAGCCAAGAGAATCATGTTGTTCTTTTCTTATGTCTGTATATTGGCTTGGTTTCTTTTTAGAAATTTAAGTACAATAGAAACGTGTCTAAAAAAATGCTGATAAGGCAGTCACTAAGAAAGCTGTGGACAGCATCAGCCCCAATAAAATGATTCCATGGACTTGCTGGGAGACACAGCAGCACAAAGCAGCACCCGAGAGTTGTAGGCCCTGGGCTGGCTCTGCCTTTGGCCAGTCCAGCTCTGCGGCCATGAGGAAATCACCAAACCTCCTTAGCATAAGACAGGTCATCCAAAAGTCACTGTCTTTGTGGCACATCTGGGCCATCCTGGGGAGTTCACTGGCTTCCAGAAACCCAAAGACACCCCCCTCTGTAAACACACACATACAACAAGGCAGCCCCTCCTACCTTGTCTGCCAAGATGGCAAGTGTCCTCTCAAGGCCAGTGGCAGACCTGTCCTTGGCCGCCCTTGAGAGCCGCTCTGCATAGTAACTAACTTGGGTTTTCAGGGTGTTGATCTGGGCAATGATCTCCTTGGCTCTGACGACATCCTGTGGTATGTAGATTATGGACTGGCAGCTAGAAGATGTACTAGAAAGGACAAGAACAGATCCTAAGGGGTTCTCTTGAGTCTGAAGAGCATGGCAACAGCATCCTAACCCTGGCCCATAGCTCGCCCTAAAATAAGGAAGTCTGTTACTCAGGGGTATCTTCTTGTGCTATATTAGCTGCAGATGGGCAAAAGGAGATTTTGGCAGGTCCTTTACATCTATGTGTTCAAAGCCTAACATATTAAAATAGGATGGTCTTTTACCTGCATTTGTACCTGTCTGTGTTTCTGCCATGTTATATGTATATGTGTGTACAAACATTGAAACGTCACACCCAGTAATCACCCAAATGATCAGAATCTTTACCTAAGGACTTCGTCCATCAACTTATAAGCAGTTCTTAAGTAGAGACCTGGGGTCCCCTTATGCCAGAATGGGTCAAATTATCACACTGAAGGGAAAGACCACAATTGGCGGTGGACTTTGCCAAAGAAAATAAGACAATAACAACAACAAAAGCCCCAAACCTGCTTTTTCATTTGGCCAATCAGGATGTCTAACTTTTTTTAAGCAGAACCACAGTTCTCCTCCCTCACGTCTGACCCTGGTGAATCCCGAGAAAATTGGGCTTCCTTTCCCTCTTCCCTGCTCCAGAATGTCCTTACTTTGAAAAATAACAGTCCATCAGAGAAAGAGAAAGTGGAGAATGTGCCAAGCCAGAGGCCAGGCCCAGCACCTCAGTGGCTTTGAAAACCTGGTTCTTCCTCCTTCCCACCTCCTCACCCACTATGCAGCATGTCAGTCTGGGGATCTGATGTCAAAGGGCAGCCCCGTTGCTGCTCAGCAGAACCAGAAGCCTCTGAGGGACCAACTCCACACTCCCTAGAGCCCGGGGCTGGGTCAGTATGTTTGTAACACCTAGGTGGCAAGGATGATTCCATGTCTCTTAGCTCAGATCCCAAACAATCCAATGTGATAAGTTTTTCAGACCACCTGGGAAGGCCAAGGAAAATGAGGAGTAATACAAGTAGTCAATATGGAAGTCTCCTAAAATCTGAAGTTGTGAACTCTGGATGCAATGGTGTCCCTTCCCTTCTGGAAAGAGGAACCTGACTGACTGACCCTTCAAGTTCTGAGGGACCAGTTCTCTCTTGAGTTCTGGGAACAAGGGATATAGGAGAGGACAGAGGGTACCACACCCTCCCTCACATCCTGGAGATGAGGGATACTGGGGCCTTTTCCAGGGAAAACCAAAAGTGATCATCAAGAAACTACGGCTGCCCCTTCTCTTGCTGGACTATGGGGGTGAACATGCAAGCACTACAAACCAGAGCACCCCAGAAAGAACACCACCACAAGCCCACACACCACAACGAAGAACAATGGATGTGCCAGAAGCCCATGCAGCAGACGGCGACCCAGCCTGTGTGGCACAAGCCATTCCACAGCGCCGCGTGCAGAGACCACCTTCCAATCTGCAATCACTCTTCCAAATGAATAGCTGCCATTTAAGATAATTTGGTCTTGAAAATACGTATCTCAAAATAGAACTTTTAAAAAATTGATGCTTCCCAGGCCCTCAATATTTAGAGTCCACATGTAGTAAGAACTTTACATAGATATACCTTTGTGTGTGTAAGTGGGTGGCTGGGTGCACACACCATCCCAAGGCTGGGAGGAAAACCTTCACTTGTACTCACTGGGCTCCTAAATAGCAGCCCTGGGACTGATGCACAGGAAATACATGGTGAGTGTGAGAAGGGGAACAATTCACAGAGCTGCTGTTCAGGTGCTCAGGAATACATAAACACACGTGCCCCGTTACCTAGTTCTAAAAGCAGGCGGCCACATGAAAGGAAGCCTGGGGTGCAGATGTTTTGCTCCTTTGTGTGAAACATGCCTTAACAGGGAGTCTTAAAGGAAGTGACCTGTCTGTTCTGTTAACTACCCTGGGGTCCCAGAGTGTCCTGGGGCAGCCCCAGTAGGTAACATCCTAGGTGTGGTCCATGGGCCACACATTAGGTCCCCAGCCGTAAGCCACTGACTCAGACCTACCCAGAGAGGGGTTAGGGACTAAAATGAAGATGCCAAAGGAACTTAAGGGTGGACTGTTCTGGTAGGGGCCAGAAATGGCTGGTATGGATGAGTGACAGTCCCTCTGAACATGAAGAGCAAGGCTGTCCCTGTGGAGACTGAACTCCTGAACCCTGCTCATAGTAGAAGGTGGGAGGCTGGGTAGTCTCTGACTGAATTTAGTCAGAAATGCTCCCTACCTGTCTCAGGAATGTCCTGTTTATAGGGAAAAGGAAGGTGGAGAGGTGGGAGTAACCAGGACCAGGTTGGGCTATGGAAGGTCTAGTCTCCTCAGTTAAGAGGAAACGACTAAAGAACTTTCCAGATAACTTCAGTTGGGACTTCCAAAGGGCAACTGAGTTTTTGGCCCACTTGCCCAGCCCTCAGACCTAACCCTGATGTTTCTACCCTCCACCTGTACTGTAGAAAAGGGTGAGGCCCTGGCAGAGAAGGGAAGAGTGGAAGCTACCCTCCCCAAGAGCCCTCCACCCTCCCTCAGTACCCCTGGGAGAAGGGCCTTCCTCAGGGGAAAGCTGGAGAGGCTTCAGTGTGGTGTGAGGTGTCCCAAGGACTTCCTACTGTCAGATGCTCCTAGCAGAGCCCCGAAACCTCAGTCAGGGTCCAGCTGTGGCCCAGAGCCTCACAGATCATCTGCTCCAAAGGGGCAGGTGCTCCAGATGGAGCACCAGTGCAAAGGCCCTGTTCCTGTCTGGGATTGAGGCTGTGGAGGAGAACCCTAGGTGTACACTTGGTGGCTTCTGGCTGCCATCTAGTTCTCTAGTGGAAAGAGTCACTCGGTCACAGGTCTGCCCCCTCAAGGGGTAAAACTGACTCAAGTAAGATCCTTTTAAAAGTCTGCACAAATTAATAAGTATATGGAAATGTAAGCTGGATTCATTTGTACAAGAGGTGGGGATGATTTGAAAACTGAAAAGATTCTTGTAAAAGATGGAAAGGGGTTCCCAACCATACCCATGGATCTGGGATCTTCCTCATCCTGGGAGACAAGAACCGGGCCCTGTCTCAGAATGAGGGCAGCACAGGTTTGCTGCCAGGTTGGAAAGGTGAACAGTTCCCTGCAGACTGGCTATTCATCATCAAAGCACATTGCAGTTGGAAGGGAGAGCTCCTCTACAAGGGTGTGAGTTAACTGCAGCCCAGGTGGCACTAAGGGGTGAAGCGGTGCCCTGGCCAGGGCAGGGGACAGCACAGGCTTTCTCTTCGTGAAAGCGAGACCCAAACAGACACTCTCTCCACGACAGAAAACTCACCAACACTCCTCAAAACTGCTAAAGAAAAGAACCAAAATGAAATATTAGCGATTTGTTAGCAAATACCAAATGCCAAATAAAAAATTAAAAAGCCAAGTTAATTTTTTTGTCAAAATACTTAAAATTATTTGTTGAGGCCCCAACTACAGGGATGATAAACTTGTGAGCCCACCATGCTTATTCCTTGAAGCAACTCAAGCCCAGGAGACAGCCTGCTGGGAGCACGGTTGGCCTGCATTAAAGGAAAGCTCAAACAACAAAACCCTGCCTACAAGTGACTTTATGACACTGGTAGGAAATTAGATAGAAACTTGTGTTATATATTGGAAAACCCCTGCAGAGCACTTTAGGAAATAAAGTCTGAAGTGAACATGCAGAGTAATCAAGTGTCAACACTTTGACCCTCCTGGGACAGGGATAGCCAGGTAGCCCCCTCTTGACTAGCCACACAGATAAATGGGCGCTCTCCTTCAGGGCCCCACGCCATCTCAGCTCGCACGCACACGCTCCACATGGCACATGCAATGGTGCAACAGACACGCTTTCTTGCTGGCTATGCAGAGCTGCAGTGGGCACAGAAGCGTCGTTGTCTTCCTGCTCTCCAAAGGAACACTGGGGACAGTGAATGCTGGGGCAGGTCTGGTCATCTGGTTTGTTTGCAAAAGGAAGAGCCCTTCATGGGGATGAGTCAAAGTCAAGGAGGCTGTGTGAGGCTTCCCAGAGAATGCTGGGCCCCTCGTGCTGACCCCAGGCCTTCCTGGCTTCTCCTTCTCCTATCTCCAGGACAACTCTGCTCCTGGCGGGCCTCAGGCAACTGCGTGTCTGTCTACACGGGGAGTCCTCCCTGTGTACTCTCTTCAGCTTGCTGCTCAGCCAACCAGGCTCATCCACCTCGGTGACACTCAACAGATGTCTCCTGACACCTTTGGTCACTGGCCTAAACTGCCCCACCCCCATCTAGACCATGGTCAATTTTCCCAAGCAGTGTTGTGACTCCTGGCCATGGCAGCAGTTGAGCAACAGCCTATTAGCTCTGGTGTGTGCATAAGCTCTTCTCCCTGTCTTCCCCTGGCCAACTGATGGGACTCTCTGGATGTTCCCTGGGCCTACGCTTCACTTGGCCTCAAACTATCTCAACTGATGACACTCAGACCTTTGAATATCACAAGCAGAGGTTTGCCCCAATACTTCATTTCATTCCTCCCACCTCAAAATCCTCTCTGCAACCCCATCCACTCTTCCTGACCCTGCTGGGCTGAACTATATGGTCTGCTCTTCATCTTCTTCAGAAGCCACTCTGTCAGCATTCTCTTCTGTTCCACCTCATTCAGGTGTATCTGCCCTATTGGCCTAACCACATGCTCAAGTCATAATTATTCTCCCCACCTGAGAACTTGGTGCTACTTCCTCATTCCGCAGTCTGTCAAAGATCTCACAAGATTATTTCTATTCAGCATCTCCACTTTTTACACTGTACCTTCAATCCATTTACTCCTGGAGACATTGTGGATGATCACTGAGAAATACCCCTCAGTGTCTAACACGACACCTGGGATTAGGGCTCTCCCCAACCCAGGGTGGATTGCTGCCCCCCCATGTTTCCAACACCCTCTGTGGGCCTGCTCCAGGTAGGATTCACCCAAATGGTGCTTGCTGAATTGTCTGCTCCTGGGAATGCCCCTGAGCTCGACAGGGTCAGGCCCAAATCTGCTAAGCTCTGGTCACCAGTGTCAGCTCAGTTTACTGAAGGCTGGCAGCAAGGCCAGCTCTCTGCCTCAGCTCCTCTCCCCCTGCTGCATATGCTGCATCCACCATGTCCTTGTCTGAAATGCTTTTCCCCATCCTGACTGCCTGGCAATTTCCTACTCAAGACAGTAGCTTCATGAGACCCCTGGATCTTTTCAATACTGGGAATGTTCACCCAGGCTCTCCTTCAGGAAAGGAAACAATGTGCCTCAGACTTTACACTTCTGTGTTCAAGTACCTGGCCTGGGACTCCAAAGGAAGCCAAGTCAGCAGATAGTGCACACAGGCTGCTGCCTGAAGCATCACTCAAAGGTGGATCACAGAATGCTGTTCACTTTGAAGGTCTGGGACCACCAATGCGGTGCCATCACCCACCCAGCTCAGTCTCTCTCTCTCTCTCTCTCTCTCTCACACACACACACACACACACACAGCAGCACAGGGTCCTGCCACGCAAAAGCAGATTGAATGGCTGGATGTTTGTGATTGTATTTAGATTATTATTATTTTTTTAACTGAGAAGCGTCAAACAGCTGTACAAGAACCACAAACCCCTTCCTTCTACTTACTGTTTCTTGGTCTCTTCAAATTTGTGCAGCTTTTTGCGGAGACCTCCTGATTTAAAACCTTGGCAGTGTGCTGCTGGTGCTCCAATGGTGACAATGTCGTAGTTCTGATCTGAATGACAGAAAGCTCACCTCTGTTACTCAGGCTCAGGCCTGTGGACAGCCAGCTACAGAGAGAGGCACACCATCTAGGATGCTGCCCCTGCAACCTTGGTTGCCTTGATTCCACAGCCTGGGGCTTGGGGGGCCTGCAGGAGCACTGCTCCACTGTCTCTGCAAAAGGGCTTCTCTGCTTTGGGTGGGCCACGTGGGGCTGCAGGAAGCTAGCGCAACACTCGTTCTCCCCCTTCCTGGGAAAGGGTGAATGGCGGGCAACTTTCTGCCATGGAAGCACAAAAGGAAGTTGGAGGGAGGAGAGACAGGAGCAAAGGCTCTGGGCTCTTGAACTGGGACCTTCCCAAGGTCCTAGGGAGGTGTTTCTTCTTGGAGTCACCTGGCAGTAGAGCACACAGGGAAACTAGGACAGATGTGGAGTAGCCCAGGGACCAAATATTCAGGGGAAAAAAAAAATGTAATGTGGTTCAAAAAGAGGGGCCAAAAAGTAGGTACCTGATCCGCCATCGTCTTGAACTCTCATCCTTTGTATATGCAGGTTTGTGGGAACAAATTCTAACTTTTTATCTGCTTTCAAACTGCTTGCTTTAAATGAGGGACCTGAAAAATGGAATATGAGAAAATGAAGGTCACCAGCAGATCATGAAGAGCACGCTGCTGCTGCTGCTGCAGGAAGGCAGGCATATACTGACTGACTTAGAAAACTCTGAGTTGCACACAAGCAAGTTTCGTCTCCAGGTGGTAGGTTGGAAGGCAGCTCACCAGCCAGGAGAACCAGCTTCAGAAAGCTACGGGAGTAAGGAGGACATGCCTTCCACGAATCAGCCTGCAACTCAGAGATCTGAGCCTGTGCCGCACACTGTCAACAACTCCAGGTAAGGCAATGGGTCCATGCCAGAGACCACCTGTTTCAACCCTAGAGACTGTCCCAGCCCAAGATTTTAGAACAACTGGTTTGGCTAGAGTAACACATCTCAATCCTAAAAAGTGATGGCAAGGTCTGCTCGTTCCCCCAGGTCCACAGGAGAGCAACAGAGCACAACTGCAGCCTCAGGGGCACACAGCTCACCAGCAACCCGTGTGCCAGGCTCGTTAGGAAGCCTGGTTGATGTTTTATAACCACTCTCCACAATCTTATTTCTCTGATCAGAATCTAGAATCCGTAACTAAGAACCTCATGCCTACCAAACGAAGGGATGACAACTGAAATGATAATCAGAAGAAAAGAAATAAATAGCCCATCTAGTGAAAAACCATGAATTGTACTGTCAGCCTGAGATGGCAGCCCAGCAGCTGTGTGGTTTGCATTCTGTCACAGGAGTTTACTCCCTAGAGTCTGATACTCATGCTGAGCCTCTGGGCCAGCAGCCTGGATGTCCTGGGACCTAAGAGAAATGAAGAACCCAGACCTGATTTTTAACAAGATTCTCAAAGTATCTGGAAGCCACTGACATTTGAGCAGCTCTCTACTCTAGAAAACCCGAGGCTGTGTGGACTCCACTTTCCTGGGTAACACTCATCGAGCATGGGTAAGTGCCTAGGTTTTTTCAGCAAATGCTGCCACTTCTCAGTGATACACTTAGACTTGCTCTTCGGGCTCAGATCCAGCCTATGTACCACCATCTTGTAAGACCTAGGTTTGGCTTTTTTCCACCCAAAGTTGTGGACAGGTTCACATGTTCTTTGCCAAAATTACATAAAGGGCTTATGATTTTTTCCTTTAACCCTAAAATATTATGTAGAGAAGAAGAAGGGAAGAATATGAAGACAGAATAATTTGAAGCAATAAATAGCAAAAAAACAACAAAAAAATTATTTCCAGTCAGAATAAAAGGGAAATGAGTTAAGAACTGCTTTCTAAGTATTTTGAAAATCAAATGGCATCTTTAAAGAATAAAGGGTGTAACGTGGGCTGGGGAAGTAGCTCAGGGGACTGCTTGCCTAGCATGCCTGAGGCCCTGGGTTCAATCCCCAGCACTGCCAGAAAAAAAGAAAAAGAAAAGGAAAAGGCAAGATGTTTGCACTTAGCTTTCTTCTTTGAGTCTTTTGACAACTGCTATGTTCAATGAATATTTAAACAAGAAAATCTACAAAACTGCTTTGCCTCAAAGCAAATAGCCTATATCCTTTTGGTCGCTTCAATGGTATTAGATGAAGAAACTACACAAACCAATAATAGCTTGTAATCTTATCTCCCCTAAATTTCATCCTACAGTCGTTGTATTGGCAGATAAGAGCAGAGAAGGACTTTTCTGTGCAATTCACATTTGTTATTTTAATTAACATCTGAAAAAAAACCCATATGTGAAAGAATTCACACCTACATGAAAATCTATTTTTAAAAACCCACTCAAGAGTGTCAGTGAGTATGTGAGCCACCTGGGTTCCAGGTCTCTGGTGGGGCAAGTGGGAAGTATATGCGCCTGGAGGGGACGGGCCACACCCACCTTTGTACTGATGGAGGTCGCTCAGGTTCTCCTGGTATGTGAGGATCACTGTCTGGTACTGGGTGACGATCTGGCGCCTGAGGCTCTCCCAGCAAGGGGAGAGCTCCCCCAATTCCTCCAGCTCACAGACTCTGCAAGCAAGATACATATTAGGCCATGGGGCTAGCCACAGAATGTGCACAGAAGTAGCACTGGTGCCCAGAGAGGGCCAGGTCAGCGGTCACACTGCCAGTCTAAAGGGCAACCAGGGAGTGGGTGGACAGACAGCTGCATGAAAGGCAGACCCGCTGGCCACAGCAGGAAACAGAGAAGCTTTCATAGGACCTCAGATAACTGCTCAAGGGTTACAACATGAAGGTGGAAAAGACAGGTGTCAAGTGCAGCTCCACTATGGGACACCGCTCAGGCACAGGCAGGACCTGCATGCCATCCTCCACATCAGAGAGTACTGGAGGCATGTGAATAACTGCCAGAGACCATCTCCCCTCAGGGCTATCAGGACAGTCTCCTCATCTCCCAGATTCTGATGAGGTGTAGGCTTTCTAAGCTTCTCGGCTACAGCCTAGGGCTGGCTCCTAGCAGCAGGGCCCAGAGCTCAGCTAGTGCTGCAGCCATGGCCCCTCTGTCTCAAGGTCCTCCTCCCTGGATGTGGGACAAGGACCATGAGGAGCTGGCACCTCGGCATAATCTTCCTTTCACTGCTATGGATATGAGGAACTGTCTGCATCTGAAAGTGGAGCATTGTGTCATTAGCTGGTTGAATCAGACTGCCCTTGCTTGGGCCTCGTCTTCTAGATGTGCTTGAGGGAGGGGATGGGTGAAGGGGAAGAAGGGAAGAAAAAGGGATTGTTATCTTCAGGAAACTCCAACTTGTGTAATAAGCACAAGCTCAAATATAAACTCCTTAGTTCAACGGTAATAACTACATGAGCATAAAAAGCAACACACGAGAAGAATTAAAGAAAAAGGATGACTGTATTAGGAAATGGGACTGAGGAAGGATAAAAGCTAAATCTCTCATCACAGAAAGGTAGTAGCTAATCCCTGAAGACAATTAATGACAAGAGGACTTGAAACACACAGTCAGAAACACAGTACTAAGCACCACACCCACGAAAAGCAACAGCTTCCATAAAGGACATCAGCAGCAGAGGGAAAAGTGAATTTAATAAAAGTTTTTAGGAATCAACTAAGTTATTTGAAGTTACAAAAAAAGTTTTGCCATTTTATCATTAGCAAAATAGCAAAATTAACATACAAGAACACCCAGTGCAGGCAGGACCATGGTGGAACAGCCCTGGTCTGAGGTCATACCTGGGCACAGGGGCTCTGCCGGCCACTATCTTGTGGTATTTTTGCCCTGTGTGGCACATGGCTGCTCTCTATATTCCAGGTGCCAGTTAAACATTGCCACCTCCCCGAGGCCTGCCCTGACCACCCTTTTTCTTGCTCCCTTTTCATGTCTGACACTCACTGACACATCTGGCTCTCCTGCATACTGCTCCCTGTTCTCCATTTCCGACCACACCTGGTGCCCCACTGACCACACTGCCTGACACGCTGCTGCTGCTAACAACACCACAACTCTTGAACTAAAGCACCTGTCCAATGAATGACTGCTTTCCAGTTGTACCACACAGAACAGGAAAGCATGCCATGATTAAAAACTAAAACATGAAAACTGAAGATACATGGGAAAACAGATTGCACCTATGAAAATATATGCAAAGATGGACAAAACTAAGAAAAATTTTAGAAATCAAAATTACTTCTAAAAACGTTCATGCAGAAAGTAAGCAAACTATTAACAGTTGGTGAAAATAGATAAAAGGTATCTGGGCATTCAATGCATTATTCTTGCCATTTTTCTCCAAGTTTGAATTTTTTTTCAAGAAAAAAATTAAAATAGTTGTATTAGAACAATGGGATTCTGGTTGTCTTGTTGTCTTTCATGCTTCTGTTCTATGGTGTTGATAATTAACATCATTTTAGAATAAGGAGTGGAAATGACAGCCTGGGACAGACAGACGACAAAGTCTGCAGGCCTTAGGACTGATGGAGTATGCCCTGGGATAAGTGGGGCTGAGGGGGCGGGACCCTTGCTCCAGGGAGCCAGAGTGCCTGGACAGGTCCTCCTCAGTCCTGTGGAGGCCCCACCTCTGTGGCCCTAAGCTAGGAAACCACCAGGCAGCTGTTTCAAACTTCCTGAAGGCCAGGAAGAGAAGGAAGAAAAGGGGAGGGCAGGAAGAAGTGCTGAGTTCTGGGCACACTCCGGGTCTTAGACACACCACCGTGTGAAGTCCTGCCCTGGGAGCTGTGATACAGATGAGCAAGCAGAGGCAGAGACTCAGTCCAGTGCACCTTTGCCCACCAAGTCTCGGGAAGGAAGGGACACCATGTAGGTTGACAAGTGGCTGCCCCTCAGTGGGGCCTCACCTGGCCGCGTCTTCTTCCAGCAGGAGCTTCACAAACTGCCGGGGCACGTGTAGGGAAAGCACACTCTCCGCCATCTGCTCCAGGATCCGCAGATGGTTGCCATCGGTGGTAGGGAACCGATACATACGGCAGATGGCGCCCCCGAACACTGAGGTAGAAGGTGGGGGAGGTAGAGGTGGTGGATGAGACCTGCCTCCTGGGTCCTTCCACCCAGGCCCTCAGCGATGCTGATGCTCCCAAGTCCTCTCCTGTTCTTCCAAGGGAGTCACCAAGCCACTGAGCCTCAACGTTCCTCCCCTGTGACAAGCAACCTTTTTGTCCCAGAAAAGGTAACTAACTTTAAAGTGCAAGGGGCTAGAGGTGGGGAATGGCAGTCACTAAACCAATGTGAAACAAGAAAGGGTGAAAGGAGGAAGAGACCCTTCCTCTAGGTATTTCAAACTCTGTGCACTGCTGAAATAATGGCACATTGACGAGCAACAGGCAGGTGACAATCAGGGCCCAAGTAGACAAGAGCACCAACCAAGGAAGCTGTTTACCTGACTTCAGTAAAGTGTCTTTACGCAGTGAGGCATATTTGGATCGGATTCCCAGGGCCTCAGTCAAACTCTCATCAACAGGCAGAACCATCTAAAAACAGGACCAGGAAAGCATGAGACCCGGCCTACTCCAGTGCACTCAGCAGAAAGGGGGACTCCCGCGCCACAGAGAAGCTCTGGAGTGGGCTGCCCATGCCAAGGTCGCTCCCCTCCCCGGGCACCCGGAAAACTCCACGCACACCCTATTTTCCTCAGAGATGCGTCTCCTCACTCACTTCACCTCGGGTTTCAGTGGTGTGGTGTGCAAAACAAAAGGGAAGGACAGGCACATTCTGAATAAGATGAGACACCGTCAGACCTTACAACTAGGACTACGCAGTGTTGGAACTCTTAAATTAGAGCTCTCGTTGAGGGCTCAGGGCTTCTGAGTGAGGGATGGGCAGGAGGGTGCTTGCTGGAGAGGAGTGGGTCCTGAGGAGATGGGGTGTACGAGGTGACTATGGGGTCTGTGTGTGTCTGGGGAGAGTTATTACCAAAATCTAAGGGATGACCTGGTCTCAACAGCCTCTCCTCTCACACTCTCAGGCCGAGTCCTCGCTCTCTCCTCCTCCTTGGAGCCATGCCTGGAGGATTTGAGTGTCCTGCGGGGCAGTTGCAAGGAGCAGGCACAGAGGCCCAGCCCCAACACCAACTGACTGGCCCTCCCAGTCCTTCTGAGGGAGAGAAGGAGGTGGCCTACTCACCCTGCCATTGACAGTGTCTACAGACCGGGTCACAGGGGGCCGCTGATCTGACTTCTCCTCCATCTGCCAGCCGATCACGGTGATGTTGCCCACACGATCACTCTCTGCAGACCTGCAATAAGCAGCGTGCTTTGGTGAGGGTTGTCACTGTGTGTCTTTTCTGCTTAAAAGCAAAGTTCAGCCATCCTGAACTTTTCAGGGGTCCTGGGAGTGGCAAGACCCAGCCAGCTGGTTAGTCAGTCACCTGTCACTGCTATGTGCCCCCTCTGGGAGAGACACACAAGGAAACCAGGGGGCGCAAGAGAGGGCTGCATCTGATGGGACAGTGTGGATGCGCCTGGTGAAGTAGGAGGGGGCCTCCCTGACGAGAAGCCACCACTGGCCCTGGAGGTCACTGCTCAGGGGTGATAGGGTGCATCTCAGATTCAGGGATAAAGAGTATCTTTTTCTGGCAATGGACCACTTTCTGCTCCTTCCCACCTCACCCTCAAGGCTTCATGAGCACTAGGCCTAGGCTGAGATTCCAGGCAAACTGAGACCACACAGGACTGCCTGAAGGCCCTGCATCCTGAAGTGATGTAGCCCATGCCACCCCAGCCCTGGTTGTCTTTACCAGCAAGGTCCCTCAGGGTGGATGATGGCTGTGCCCATCTGAATCATCCATCAGAGCGCCAGGGACACCTTCGAGCCCCAAGTGTTTCATTTATGATGTCTGAGTCAGTCTGGTTCCAATTTTTATCATATCTAATGACCATTTCCTTTGTGACTTTCTGTCACTGTTCTCATGCCCAGAGAAGTCCTTGAGCTCCTTTTCCAAAGGAAGATGTCCACTTCTCACAACTAACTCTAATCCAACTAGATTTAGTTCTGGCACTTGATCTACCTACATATTTTCCCTCAACAGCAATTTCCCTCACATGAGCTCTAATTTTAACCAATATTCTTCCTTTTCCTGCATTGCGTTCTCCCTACACACCCAGGACTGATGCAGGGCTCTCATCCTGTGGGCAGATTGGACAGCCAATGCTCCCAACACTGTCATTACTTATGGTAGCTTCCAAATGTCTCAAAATTGCAGAGACTTTGTTGAATTTTCTTTGCTATTTTAGATTATTCCCCTAGGCAATATATGTCCAATTTTTACATGATTTTGAATAAAGAACAACATGCCAGGGTTTTGGTGGGAACTGCCCCTAAAATCACTTGGAGAAGGACTGACATCTCGACACTTTTCATCTTCCTGTCTAGGGATGCAGTGGGGGTTTCCCTTTCATTCATTCACTCATTCAACAAACACTTCCTGAGCATAGCCCTGTTCTAGGTGGTTAGAATATCAATGAACAAAGCAGAAAAAAAATCCTCCCTACAGGAGATTATGCTCTACTGCGAAAGGGAAGATGACAGCTACATTTAGTATTATCAGGTCTGGGCCCTCTAGATCTGATACAGCTGTGCTCATATGTCCGACAGACAGCACGCATTTCCATCCTGACCGATTCTCTGATGGGCAGGGTGGTTCATCTTGCCTTACCTCAGCAGAAAATACCACTGGCTCAGACCTGCCTCTGGGGAAGCCAGGGTGTCCTCTCAGAAAAGGAAGTAGGGCCTTTCCCCACCTGTCCCTGGACCCACAATTCCAGAGCCTTTCAAAGGAATAAGAGCAAATACCAACCTTAGTGTTAAGTGTAACCTGTGATGCCTGTCCTGGAGCAGGTCTTTGACAACGAATGTTCCAGAGCCAAGTAAATACATCTGAAGAGGCGGAGAGAGAGAGAAGCATAAGTGCACTCATCTGCCTCTGGTCCAGTTGCCACACCCAGGGGAGTGGTGCTGCTTCCCATAGCCATCTCACACTCATCTTAGAAGCCCATGAGGAATGCTCAGAAAGCAATTCCCAAAGACAAATGTGTTAGACATGAGTTGCTTTGTGAGCCAGTAGTGAAATCAATCCTGTGCTCACCACTCACTCAAATGATTACACAACTGTAAAAATGGGGAGAAAATTCCATGAACCATGGCATGTTACTTAACTGTTCCCTGAGATCTATCTTTGACATCATATACAGATAATTTGATTTGTGTCATCTGATTGATAAGAGAGTCTTGAAAGAAGGCAATGCTGCTCAGAAATATAGGATTATTGGTTCCCTAGAAGAAAAAAGAAAATAATCAGAGTTGGATTTTTAAAAAATAATTGTTTTTGAAGTAATCTAACATTTTCAGAATGAGAAACTAACATTTTACTGACTCGGAGTACCTAATGTAATGGCAGCATGAGACCAAAAAATGTGCTATCCCAAAGAGGAAAATGCAGTCTGCCGCAGACTGTTAAGATCCAGACACAACAAATAGGCCTGCGGTGCAAGTTGCTACTGTGGGCTCATTTCTAAGGTTCCCACTCAGGAGGAGGAATTTTGTAAAGTGAAACCGTGTGCCACATGCACACCTATTCTCAGTGTCACGGCTTCAGATGTGCTGCACATTTGGACTTACCACTTTGGGCTATCTCTTTAAGATGTACAAACAGGGAAGAAGAAATGGCTTATTATTTCTAGACTCCTCTGCTTGGAATAATTAAAGCTTGACTTTTAAAAGCTATCTCATTTTAAAAAATATTTATTTTTAGTTGTTGACAGACCCTTATTTTATTTATTCATATGTGGTGCTGAGAATCGAACCCAGTACCTCACACATACCAGGCAAGTGTACTATTGCTGAGCCCCAGCCCAGCCCCAAAGCTATTTTTCTTTTAGGCCCAGCTGCTAGTTTCTAGATCATAGGTGGCTATTTCCTGGCAACATAGCCCGCCCCTCAAGGCGCTACGGCATCCTCTCTCTCAGGCAGTGCGGAACACCATAGCTAAGCTGCTCTGTTTCCTGTTGGCACCTGCTGTGATGCTGTGATGTCGGGCCTCTGGCTGGTTCTCTCTGCAGCTCCAGCTCCAGTCTCTCCATGTCTGCTGGACAGTCCCTCCTGGGGAATCTCCCTCCATCGTCCATGGTAAAGCTGTCTCTGACTCTTTCCAAGCAGGCTAAACACCTGTGGGCCTGCTTTGGTGCCTCCTCCATCACTGTCAACCACCCAGCAGCCATGAACTTCTACAAGCTCCACCTCCTGAGCCTCTCTCACATTCATCCCTTCCTTCCACTTCCTCCCTCTGCCAAAGTCAGTTCCTGCATAACTCCCCCAAACACCTGTCCAAATCAGGACACCTGGTCCTGTGACTTCCCTGCAGCCCGCAATGGCTGGCTGTGTGCCACATCACCAACTCTCTGGCCATCCAGTCCTTCTGTCCTTGCCCTCCTTGCCTGAGCCCACACTAAGCAGGATAGCTATTCCCAAACCCACATGATGCTTGCTATCATGCTGCCTTTGCAGAGCTACCACTGAACAAGCTCTTCCACATGAGGACCAGCCACGTGGGCATCACCTGGGCGTCTGTGAGGAAAAGAGTCCTGGGCTCCACCCTGGACCTGCTGGGGCAGAATTTCATCCAGCCCCTCTAAGGAAGCTGCTCTGACCCTCAGAGCTAGATAGGTCGCCGTGTCCTGGCTTGCCTCACCGTGCTACTCTACACTGCCCCAAGGTGCTGTGTATGGAGGTGGACCTGTTCCTTTCTGCCTCCCCCCTCACAGGCTGGGAACACCCGAGGACAGAGACTCTGCCCCTGTGTCATTACCTCTCACTGAGCTTGATGTGTGGGCAGTGCTAAAAACCACAACAGTTGACCTAACCTTGGAAACAAGTTTCTAAGAGACTAAAAGAATACTCTAGCTTCCAAAATGTAAAACTGTTTTTATGTAAAATTATGTACTATTATGTCTTTATGTGAAAATGTAAAAATAATGTAAATGCAGTTTAATTTAGTTGGTTATTCTTCACATTCCAAATTAAACCCTATGGAATTTCACACTGCAACTTATGTGATGCATCAATTATCTTAAGGGATTTTGTAAAATTTTTTCAGTACATGCATAAATTAATTTAAAGTAGAGTTAACATATATGGTAGAGCGCTTGCCTGGCACATATGAGGCACTAGGTTTCTTAGCACCACATAAAAAAGAAAGAAAGAAAGGTATTGTGTCTATTTACAACAAAAAAAGTACTTTAAAAAAATTCAAAAGGATGTAAAGATAGGCAAGGTGCAGAGGTGCAGGCCTATAATCCCAGCTCACGAGGCTGAGGCAGGAGGATCACAAGTTCAAGGCCTGCCTTGGCAAATTAGCAAGCAAGACCTGTCTCTACTACTAGGATGCAGCCTGGTAGTAGAGCACTTGCCTAGCATGTGCAAGGACCTGGTTCAATCCCCACTACTGTGAAAAACAAAAAATAAAAATAAAAACCAACAAAACTAAGGATATGTGCCAGTAAGAGGACTGATTAATAGACAGAACTCTTCCAAATTTTGATTAACAACCACAATTTTTTTCCTGTAATCCCAACTACTAGGGAGGCTGAGGCCATAGGACTAAAAGTCAGAAGCCAACCTGGGGAACTTTGTGAGATCCTATCTCAAAATAAAATAAAAAAGGTCAGGGATGAGGCTCAGTGGTACAGTGCTTGCTTAGCATGTATGAGGCCTGAGGTTCAATCCCCAATACCGTCACCTCCTTACCCAAAAAAGAGCACAATTCCAAATTAAACCCTATGGAATTTAAAAGTAGCAGCCAGCTGGAAATGACAAGGAAGAATTAGGCCTTCTTAAGAGGCAATGAACCTTAGAAGATCACTGCTCCAAATACCCATCAAATAGTTAATAAAAAACTGTCAAGGACATGGCAAATGAGTGGAATGAAAAATATCAATGTACTGAAAACTCTGTAAAACCAACAACTCACATAAACACAACTGTAGCTAAGATGCTCGGAAAGGAGCAGTGTCCGGTGAGGCTGTGAATACCATGGCAGCGAATCCCAGGCCCCCAGAACACCCACCTCAATGATCTCTGTCTGTGCATGCTTCGTCCAGAACGCCTGAGGAGGGGTGGTGACGCTCACTGCTACAAAACTATTTGGTTTTCGATCTAGCGATGGCGTATGCAACTCACTGCAAGCTACAGAATCAAGACAGGAAAAAAACAAATTCTTCAAAACCAGGCGCTGGTTAGCTGTATGTTCCAAGCCAAAAGAAAGCAGACGATGACACTCAGGAGGATAAGATGATCACACTGTCACAGGAAAGTGATTTTACAAATTTCAGTCTTTCCCCCTTCCTTTGCCCTTCTCCCGCCCTGCAGGACAGCAGGCCCACAGCTGCAGAGGCAGGTGGTGTTAAAGATGGCTTCCTACGTCCACACAACGGAAAACAGAGCTAGCTCTCTCTCTTGGGGGTCCTCCATATGCCCCCAACAGCTGGCCTTCGATAGTGAACTGAATTCCAACCAAATGACCAAGAAGACACAAGTCTGAAATCTACAACAGGGCTCCACGTGCCTGCATCCTGTGACAGTGTGGCTAACTCTAAGCCCAGCACCCCCCGCATCTTGGTGTGAGCATCAATGTATATTGGGAATAAAATTAAAATTCTATGGCAAAATAAAAAAAAAAAAAACACTTTATTTTGAAAATGTCATTGTTCATCTATTCTCCTAATAAGACACATTATGTGCAAAATACTCAGTGTAACTTCTCAGAACTAAAGATATCTTGCAGAACCATTTTGGTTGAAAAATATGATGTGCTACGTAGACTGAAGTACACATCTGATAGTACACTCTGAATAGTACACATCTCAGATAATTCTATCACAGAAGTGATCCACAGGAAAAACTTACATCTCATTGAATCTAACATGCTCTCTGACATAAAATGCACTATGAAAGGGGGAAAACAAAACCCACTGTCATTAAACTATGCTATGCCATTGAGAGGAAGTTATTTCCTTAAATTAAAGAGATGTTAAAATGTGAAAAAGGTATATCTTGGATTTGAGAAAATACACAACAAATCAATGTTCAACAGCAGTAAAAATAATTAGCTTTTTTGGTGGGATTCATTTAGAAAAACATAAATGTTCAGCTGCTCCCTTTAAAATTATGAATAGAGAAAAGTAAAATTAACTCAGTTTTTCAAAATGAAAACGTTCTGGAGATAGGTGGTGGTGGAGGCATATAATTTAATATCATTCAACTGTACACTTTAAAATGTTTAAAATGGTAACATTTATACTATGTGTATTCTGTCACAATGAAAAAATAGAAAGTCTACCTTCAACTCTAATTTAAAAAAACATCCGCATGTCCACAACAGGAGGGACAAATGCAGAGGTAATGCAGAAGGAGGAGAAGGCTTGGGATGAAGACAGTAATACAGACAAAAGAAGCAATAATTAGAAAGAAAGAAAATGATGAAAAGAAAAGTCAGGAAAATACAAAGCAATGGAAGGAGGAGAGGCAAACTTGATGGAAGGGTTGGGGTGGGAGACGCCTTGCTGTGTTTGAGGCGGTTTGGCTGAGAAGGTTTGTTCAAGAGGCCACTTGGAGGAAATTACTGGCTATCATTGTCCTTTGAAAGGATCTAACCATTGCACACAGCCCACACTGCTCTTTAGGGTTCTAATTACACTCTGCCTGCCATTAGCATGGCCACACCAGCTCTTCTGCTGGCACATGCATGTGTGTGCTTTATTTCACACAGCCACTCTTCACTGAGCTATGCCCAGCTTGCCCAGGGCCCTTCTAGTGCTTGGCTTTCCAGTCCTTTCTACACCTGTGAGCTCAACACCTCAGCACTGTTTACACTGCAAGTCTGTGTTCACAACACCTTCTTTCAGCTTTCATGGTCTGAAAATGTCTCTATTTGTACCCAAATCCTTAAGATTATTTTCTCTAGGCAGTTACTTTCTCTAAAACCTTTAAACATTGTGTCTCTGAGTTTCTATTTCTTCTGTTATGAAGTCAAGAGTCAGTCTAATTATTGCTACTCTGTGCTTTTGTACGTGTTTGTTTGTATTCTAGCAACTTTACTGATTTTCCCATTGACTTTGGCTTCCGACAGTTTAACTATGATGTATCTAGGGATATTTTATTTTTACTAGTTCTGTGACTTGCTGAATTTTATTAGCTGGGAAAAAATGCTCACCTATTAATACACTTTTTTTTAATTTGGTAGTTTTATTTTTTTCCCACAATTTTTATTGGTGCATTATAGTTGTACATATGGATGGAATTTGTTGTCACATACTTTATATGCATACAAATATATAATATAATTTGTCCAATACATACACTTCTGACCCTTCTCTGTTTCTTCTTGAACACAAACAGATACTCTCACTTTTTTTATACTCTTTTGTTTTTATTGTTGTTGTTTCCATTATTTTCTGTCTCTGGCTTCTTTTGGAAGTTCTCTTCTTGACTTATAATCTAAGACCATCAACTTTCTCTTCAACTGTGTCAATTCTGCTTCTCAGACCCACCCACAGGTTGTTAAACTTGCTGATCTGAATATTCACTTGGTTCTTTTATGGTTTTTCATTCTCTGATGAGGTGTCAATAATGTCTTTATTCTCTTTATTCCCCTTTAACTTAATGTTATGAACTGAATGCCTGTATCCCCTCAAAATTTATATATTAAAATCCTAACCCCAAGATGCTGGTGTCAGGAGGAAGAGCCTTTGGGAGGCCATTAGGCCGCAACAACAGAGTCCTCGTGAGTTGGAATTAGTGCCTTTAAAGAGGAGACATGCTCTCCTTGCTCTGCTCTTTGCTACATGAGGATACAACAAAATGGTCACCTGCAAAGCCAGCAGACAGTGGACCTGCTGGCTCCACAATCTTTGAATCCCCAGCCTCCAGAACTCTGAGAAATAAATTTCTTTTGCTAAAGCCACTCAGTCTCTGCTCTTGTTCCAGCAGCCCAACCTCACTAAAACAGCCAGCAACTTTCACATCCCAAATCTTTGTGGGTCTGTTTCTATTGTTTGTTATTTCTGTTTGTGTTTTTCAAAATTCATGAACTTATGCTGAATATAACTTTTTAAAAATTGTTTATAGGAATGACTTGAGGCCCAAGATGATGCTTTCTTCAGAAAAGACCTGTGATTGCCTCTACCAGGTTCTAAGAAGCACTGACATTCTTAACTTTTGGGAACTGAGTGGACCTGTAGCAAGCGCCTGCTTCTGGTTCCCTTTAATCTAGAAGTACAGTCTTTTCTATTCTAAACCAAAGTGAAAGGAATTTCACCAAGTATCTTTCCCCTTATGGGCCTTAGAAAAATAATTCCCATCACTTTGGTACTGAAGTATCTGAAGCCCTGCTCAGCTTTCTCTTGGGAGTCACTGTGAGCCCTCAAAAAAAAAACAAAAAAAACAAAACCAACAACAATACTGTGTCTCCACCTTCAGCTCCATTACAGAGTTATCAGTTTCCTGGAAACATGAATAAGATACTTCTTAGATTTTTGCTCCTTTTTTCTAGATTTTTCTCCATTTTTTCAAGTTGTCCTTAATGGTAGGATTTGGTTTTTCATTGTCATTTAGAAGCATGTTAAGTTTTTTTCTTTATCCTTGGAATTTACAAGTTTCAAAAGGAGACACCTAGCAGTTGGTGAACATTTTGGGTCTTACATCCACCCTTCTTCCAGGAAAAGATTCTTCTGTTACTTCTGGCCTGCGGTTCCTCTTTCTGTCTCTTTTTCTTCTTCTGGGTCTCCTAAGCATTTAATAATACAATGCCAGATATTGTCACATCTCTTCACTCAAAATGCCTGATTCTTGATATTTATTCTTTGAGCTGTGAGATTGTTCCTTTGTTTGTTTTTATGTGTTTGTACTCATTTTTAGTAGTGTACTTTTGATTTTTTTAAAAAAAGATATTTTCTGTAAGATCTACTTCACACACTATAAAATCCACCACCCTCAAGTATACGATTCAGTGGTTGGTAGGGTATTACAGAGTTCTGAAACCATTACCATTATCTAGTTCCTTAACATTATCATCACTTCAAAAGAAAAACAAAACTGCCCATATGGGCTGGGGTTGTGGCTGAGAGGTAGAGCGCTTGCCTAGCATGCACAAGGCCCTGGGTTCGATCCTCAGCACCACATAAATATGTATATATATTATGTCTACCTATAGCTAAAAAATAAATACTAAAAAAAGCTATGGCCATAAACAATCATTTGCCATCCATCCCTCTTCCCCAGCCCTCCAGAAACCACTAATCTCTTCTGTATATATCTATCTATTCTGGACACTTTATATAAATGGGATCACACAGAATGTGGCCTTTTGTCTCTGGCTTCTTCGATCTGGCACGGTTTCAATGCTTACTCCTTCTACAGCCAGTATCAATACTCCACTCCTTTTTAGTGATGAATCATGATCTACTGAATGGGCATACTGCATACCGTTTGTCCATTCATCAATTAAGATATTTTGGTTACTTACACATTTTAGTTATTACAAAATAATGCTATAAACATTTGTATACATGTCTTCACGTGGATGTATCTCTTCATCTCTCACGTTCGAAGGACTTTTTTGCTGGATATAGAATTGTTGGATGACTGGCTTTTCCTTTCAGGAATGGGAATATGTCATCCTACTTCCTTCTGAACACCAGAGTTTGTGATAAGAAATGTTTACTCTTGCTGAAGATCCCTTGTACATAGTAAGTCACCTCTCTTGCTGCTTTTTAAATTCTTTGGCTTTTGATGGTTTAATTATAATGTCTCCAGGTGTGAATCTCTTTGAGCTTATCCAACTTGGAGTTTACTGGGCTTCTTATATGTTTTCCATCAAATGTGGGAAGTTTCTGGCCATGATTTCTTCAAGTATTTTTTCTCTCCCCTCCCCTCTGTCTTTTCCTGGAACTCCATTGAAACCTATGTTGGTACACTTATTTGGTGTTGTCCCACACGGCTCTGACACTCTCTTTATTTTTCTTCTTTTTGCTTTCTGTTCCTCAGACTGAAAAATGCCAATTGACCTGTCTTCTACATTTGCAGTTTCTTTCTCTGTCTGTGGTTGAGCCTTGTTTAATGGATTTTTAATTTCAATTATATTTTTGAACTGCAGAAATTCCATTTGGTTCTTTTTACAAATTTCTCTT